GGAGTTTGCATTTGTATGCTGTTTCCCATTCTTGCTCCATTTTATTTCAGTGTAAGGGAAATTACAGGGGGTTTATGTCACATGCTCCAGTGTTCCAGTGTACTGGACTACTTATATGAATTCCAGTGGTGGTGAAAGGAAAGATACAAATTTCTTTTATTTTCTTTTTTTTTTTAATTTTAATTACTCTTAGCTACTTATAAATGAGAAGTTCCTCTGTTAAAAAGATGAATACTGTTGTGCACTGCCTGTCCTGACACTAATGCTAAGGGATCTGTGCATTTATGATGTTCACAGACTACTTGAAAGGGAAGGCATAAGAGGTTTTCTCAGTGTCTTCTCCTCCATCTACAGGCCAGGCAGCTGCCAGCTGCTGGTGGAAATGCTTGCTCAGAGCTCCAGGACATGTGTGACTGGCTGTGAGGGTTACACTAATGGGAGAATGGCAGACTGCTTGTGGAGAAAGAGCTCCTCTCCACAGGATAGTTCCCTCCAGAAGCAAACAAGCAACTGAGCAAACAGCTTGTGTACATCATCATGCTTGCCACTTAAACATGAGAAAAGCAGATTTTCTGCAAGTTTCACCCATTAGGCAATTTCCACCTTCAAATGCTCCCAGGCAGTGATGACTAGGAGATTATATGCTTTTCAACCAAAACAATGGATTGTTTCCTCTGTTATATCTAGATTGGAGACAGATCAAAAACAAGATGGACTTTGAATGGGTGTTAAGATATAAGGATTTCAAGTTTGTTCCTCTTTTACTCTTCCCATATGTTCTAAGTATTCCTGAACAGTTTTCCAAGAAGATCTTCAAGATCATAACTTGGGAGGAAGCCTCATTTCTACAGAGCTGTCCCTGGCTTTTGCTGGGCTCTAGGCAAACCAAGCAATAATGTGCCAAAACTACTCTGCCTTTGAACCCAAAGCTGATTATCTTGTAACTGAGGCCAAAATAAGGGAAAGGGGACTAGAGAAGCTTAAGCTTTGGTTCAAGTTCTGCTGCTACCATCCTAATTTGCAATAATTAAATGTGATTTCTATTTTTGGTTTTGTTTTTGCATTTATATAAACAAAAAAAAATTCTTACTGTCTTGACACCAAAATCTACTGTGGTTCATGGCATACCCAAATGCCATGTGCTGAAGGACATTGGTACACTTTCATCTACCTCACTGCCCCTGGGAAAAATAGTGACATTAATTACTGACATTTTACTAATATTATTTGGGTTCCAAAATTAGCTGTAGACTTTGTGCAGCACCGTATTTACTTAGAAGTGATACTTCCCCTCAATGCAGAGAAATCAAAAGCACAAGTTCTCCTTTTCAACTCACTTTCCTCTTTATAATGTGTCACAGCACAAACAATGTGTGTGAAAAAGAGAACTAAGTCGGGCCATGCATTTTTACTGTTTGGTGCTTCTTATGGAGCTATTGCTTAGCACTTTCCATAGCTAAGACATGTATTTTCTTTTGGATTTGAGAACACTACCATGACAATCCCTAAGAGAGATACAGTTGCTATGAAACATCTGTCTTATCTTCAAAAGCTGGATGTGAGTTAAAGAGAATCCATAGAACAGGAAGGGAAGTCATGCAGAAAAGCAAAGTGGTGAACTGCTGATGTCTATATATTGTACAGCTTGAATCATTATAATCAGAAAATAGGGAAATTTGTTAAATAGACTTTTCAGTCTATGAGAAATTGTTCAACCAGCAGTACCTCAAAGCTAATCACCCTGGACAGAAGGAATCCTGAACAAAAATTCTGCTATGGAAACCAATTTTTGGCCAGAAAGGCCAAGGACAGTAGCTGACTGGAAAACCAGAGCTCAGGTATAGAACCAACATGAAAGGAGTTTTCAAGGAAGCACAGTTCCCTGTTCATAATACAGTATTGAAATCCATAGGGACTTTGCAGCAATGTCCATGAGCATCAGAGAACGTGGCCCTCAGGGAATAAGCACCAGCACATTCCTGAACTGTGCAAAGCAGAGCTGCAGAACATACTGTGGGTGAGTCTCAGGAGCCTTTGGTTACCAATGTTGTGCTTTCCATCACACATACACACTCACACTGGGTTTCCTCAGCAGCTCCACCAAGGCTTGCAGCTCTTAATGCAAACCTTTCTATGTCTATTATGAAACTGACTTCCTGTAGGAAAGTAAAGCTGTGATATTTTGGAGTTGTTTTGAGCATAAAAGCTCAGTCTTTTAGATTGCAAGGGTGGGTTTTTTTCCTCTAGAGCTTTTTTTAAAAGCCATCTGATCAAACCCACCCTTGCTTGCTCACCTCTGAAACTAGCTATGCTTCAAAGCTCTCCAGCATCCATCCACGCCTACATTTCTAGTGTCACCTACCATATTTCTGCCCAAATGCTATGAGGAGCCTCAGTAATGCACCATGAACACTGCAGGTGAGACACACCAAGATAACACTCTGCAATGCTGCTGGTCACACCTGCAGCTTCCTCAGAAGGTCATTTTTTTAAGTGAAGTTAGGAATTCAAAAGGTTCAGAATTTCCAATCTAGTAGATGCAAAGAGAGATTATGGCCTCAAATATTTCTGGTCTTTCAGAATTTCAGACTTTCAGACCAGACTTTGGACAAACATTCTCAGAGAACTGAGGGAGCAAGACTCAAAAGGACAGAAAGACTGAGCATACAGAATAATTAGTATGAGAAGTGAGGGAATCTTTTAACTAATAGAAGATAGAATACAAATTAATAAGAAACCTATGTAACATGTAGCCAATGAACAATCATACCTTTGTTTGCCAAAACATATTAATAATGGAAGTTCTAATAGCTGTGGTGCTGGTTTTGTGAATTTGCCACCTTTTCTGTACAGAGCTGTAAATAAACCAAATACCTTGACTCTGTGTGGGGATTGGCCTTACTAACACCAGATGAAAAGAACATTTTGGGACAACAAAGGCATGGATGAAAATACAGGAGGAAATCCTCAGGATACAAATTAAGCTAGTTCATGTGAGGGCAAAATACTGACCTCTATAATCACACACAGGGACAACAAAGGCATGGATGAAAATACAGGAGGAAATCCTCAGGATACAAATTAAGATAGTTATGTGAGGGCAAAATACTGACCTCTATCATCACACACGTTATACATTCAAATTAAGGCCAGGAATTCATATTTTAAATGTAGAAAACCATAGAATGTGGCCTGGTATCACTTAAGCTGGTGCTTCCAATACTACTGAGCATGTTCTGTGTCCTCCTTTGGCAGTAGGGTAGTGTCCCAGTCAACATCCAAGCAAAGAAGCTGATGGTCACCTGAAAAGCTTAGGGTCTTCTCAGCTGTCTCACAGCCTCTTCTTTTCCAGTCTGCTTTTCTCTCAAAGACCACCTTTATAGACTACTCCACTAGATGAGCTCCAGCAATTCCTGCAATTCCTTTCTTCTTTCCAAGCAGCTATGGGTGTTGGACAAAAAGTGGACAACCAGTCTTTGCTGCAGTCATGAACTGGAATCACAGTAATAAGCTGAACTCTTGTTCCCCAAACTTTTGTTCTTGATGTGTGTAGGGATTGCTTCATGGATTTCAGCCTCAGAAGCTGCTAGAGATCTGCCTGCAGGGCTGCTGAGGGAGTTTATCACTTGAGGGGTTGTGCAGCACATCGGAATAGAGCTAACAAATAGCCACGTGAAATTTTGTACAGATTTCTTATGCAGTGATTATTTTATTGTCTCCTGTCAAAACAGACCACTAAAATTCAGAATCTGTATTTGTGCAGCTTTTCATTATTTTCTGTGCTGTTAGTAACATAGCACTGTTATTCTGAGATGTTGCTGTTCTTCAAAAGTGCACAGAGGAGTTCCAACACAGCCTGGGTGTGAGAGAGCCTGAAGAGGCTGATGTCCTGCCAGATCAGGCTCCATGTCTGTAAGTACTGCAAAGAAATCAGCTGCTCCCAGGAAGGAAACAGCTTTGTCTCTTCTCAGTGAGCATATGCCATGGAACCTGCTAGAAGTGGATCTCCTCTGCAAAGAGAAAATTCTTATACAGGTCAGCAGCTGCTTTGCTTATAGGAGCTGCTGTCTTGTGCAGGAGCCATTTCTTACTGGCAGCTGATAAAAACCTTGCACCCTGAAGCAGGGAGTCTGGATGTCATTGTGCTCATCAAATCCTTTTGCCTTTCCCCTTCAGACTCTGCTGGAACTTTTCTTAAAAATAGCCAGTGGAATAATAGTACAAAAAGTATCTGTTCACTCCAGCTGAAGAGGCTGATGTCCTGCCAGATCAGGCTCCATGTCTGTAAGTACTGCAAAGAATTCAGCTGCTCCCAGGAAGGAAACAGCTTTGTCTCTTCTCAGTGAGCATATGCCATGGAACCTGCTAGAAGTGGATCTCCTCTGCAAAGAGAAAATTCTTATACAGGTCAGCAGCTGCTTTGCTTATAGGAGCTGCTGTCTTGTGCAGGAGCCATTTCTTACTGGCAGCTGATAAAAACCTTGCACCCTGAAGCAGGGAGTCTGGATGTCATTGTGCTCATCAAATCCTTTTGCCTTTCCCCTTCAGACTCTGGAACTTTTCTTAAAAGCTATAGCCAGTGGAATAATAGTACAAAAAGTATCTGTTCACTCCAGAGTACAGTCTCCTTTATAGTTAATTTCTAATTTGTGTAGGTCTATGCATGATTAAAAATAGAAAACTAAGCAAATAAGCTTGCAGATCACCACAGAAGCAGCTATAGGCATCATGAGAGAAAGCTCATGAATGAACTTGGTTTTCAAAAGGTTGTTTGTCGTAACACCAGGTAGGCATGGCAAGGCAAGTGATGATTAGATGAACAAACATTCTGTCGGATGCTGCTACAAGCAAACTGTGAACACCATGTGCAAGCCAGACAAGCTCCTGTTTAATAGAACATCCTACTTGTCATTTTGGGCCAATGGCAAGAGACTTTGCAGGAGATGCAAAACTTATTTTGTTCAGGCAGAGTCTGTGAACATCTGAAAGACATACTTTCACTTCTGATGCACCAAGTGGAGCTGCAAGGTAAGTGCCCGCATGCTGCTGCCTTTATTCTTACGGATGGACTGTTGAACAGTATGGCTTTGGGACAGATTTGAACTGGAATGGAAAAGGAGAGGAAGAATTTGGGGAGCAATGAAAATTGTTACTGCCAGCTCTCATCCAATTCTGGTTTCCAACCAAATAAATGGATCCTAATTAGTGACAAGATCAAGCTCTTCCTATCAGGGACAAATGACCAGTGAAGGTAACACTGCTTGTTATACTGGGGCTGCTAGAAGGGAGGTTCTTCTTAATTTTCCTCTTTGGAATTCCCCCTCTGAGTGTTCTGGTCTTACTTATTTCCTCCTTTCTGCTGTCACTTTCTCTTAGCCCTGGGCAGGGCTGCCAGTTCTCATCAATTCTTGGTACTGAATCCCGAGAGAAAGCAGGTGCTGTCCAGTTTCCTAAGGTCAGTTTTTCTTCGATCCTTGAATGCATGCTTTTTTTTTATGGTAAATTCATCTTGTCTTGCTTTTTGTACATATTTGTAATTGCAGTGTCAGTATCTGGACTTGTGTTGCTTCAAATATTAGTGGGATGATGTCTAAATGTGGGTGAAATTTTAGAGAATTTTTTGTGATTTTGTTTTGTGGCTGGCCCTGCTACTTGCCCAAAGGGTTGCTGTGGTTTGTTTCAGACTTTGTTAAGAATATTCTTTTTTTGTATAAATGTTGTGCCTATGGAAAGTGAAACTGAGAATCACTGAAAAAAAACCTGGCTTATTTCCATTTTTTCACAGCTCTGGCAAAACAACCTAGAGCTTTACTTTCCCATTGAGGAAATTCTGTCCTGAAGAAAGCCATTGAGTTAAAATGTAGACATGTAGTCTGCTGTGGTCTTTACTATATTTCATAGCTGGGATGAGGGAGGTGGGCACAGCTGTGACACAGGAGGTGATACTGGACATCAAAGGCAAGTTCTGCTCTAAATCACAACTCTGACACCTGCAGGGCACTTATTACAACTCTGCCTGAACTTGTCCATCTCCTGCACCAGACAAGTAATATTGTTGGTTCTAAGCCATGCTCATTAAAAGGCAAAAACTTCTTTTACCTGATATTTATGCTTTATTAAACTCTTCTAAACTCATCTCTAACAGAAACAAAGGATAACAGGCAGGAAATAGACCAGGTTCTTTTTCAGTTCCATCTCTGTTTTTCTTTCATTTTAGAGTATAAATTCTGTGGAAAGTAACACCATTCCATCAGAAAGATAAAGACTCTCAGCAAAAGTAGTATCTCTTCTTGAGCTGGGTAATACAATGGAAAAAGTTAAACTGACTTTTAAACTGTTAGTTAACTGTAAGTTTTTCACAGATCTGAAATAGAAACTAAAACTTCAAAGCTAAATATAAGTTGAGCTCCATTACTTGCATTTTACAAATAATCAGGGCATTTCTGAAAGGAAAAGTCTATGTGGTACCTGTGGAGCAGAGGAATTGTTAGTCATTTATTTGGGAAGAGGAAAAAGATATAAGTGATTGGAACATGGAGAGAATTTTATCCTTCCCCACTGCTGGCTTGCCCACCTCCCAGATAAGCTTGTCCCAAAACATTGTCTGCAGCAAAAGCCAGGAAACAGCTCTGCCTTTGGGGGAGTGCCTTGTGCACCTTGACATCGCCTTTGAGGGGCACAAAGATGAGAGAAAACTTTTCTAAAGTTGGTGTAAGAAAACAAGGCTATAAAATCATGGCCAACAATACTGAGCTTTTCAATCAAAGTGCTTTTAAATCAAAGTACTGCTGTTTCACTGGACTCCTTTTTTACAGTCTGATATAATCCACTTTTTGTCAGCTTGTTTCACTCAGACTCATGGGTAGCACTTAATGGGTCTGGGGTGTTGGAGGAAAATAGCATTTGTTCAGCAATCTTTGTATTTCATTTTTCAACTTCCTGTCTTCACAGCAGTCCCACTGTTCCATTTTTCTGAATTCTAGGAGTTGGAATGTTATGAAAGACTTGGATGTTATATCATCCTCTGGTTAACAAGTGTGTGATTTGCATGGCACTACTACTCTTTTCTATGAATTATCCTCAGCTTCCTAAACTGGTCCAAAAGTTAAATTAGAGGGGGATTTCCTCTGTTCTTAAAATGACTTTATGAATTTTCATTTTCTTAACCTTTGTACTCATGTGGGAGATTTATTGCCTGTTAGTTCATATGTCAACAGAGGTTTGGGAAGGAAAGCCCCTAACAGCTCTCCTCAAATCTTCTGTCCTTTACATTATTATTGGAGTAAATGTTGCATTTTGGCCTTTATAATCCTTTGTTCTATTAGATAACATTTGATCTCAATTAGTAGCAGACCCATTGCCTGGAATCTTTAACATGTTGACCCTTTAAAATGTAAGGCCCAATTAAATCAGATTATTTGGGAACAATGATGAATCAAAATGACCTCCCTTGCCTTTAGAAATCTAAAATGACCAGTCTAACTCTTATGATTAATATGTGATTTAAGTGAACACCTACTCCTTCTTTGTCCTTTTACAGTGATGGTTACTGTTCCTTTCACTGCTTTTCCAGCCTTTTTTAATTCACATGTCACTTGAACTCCAAAAGAGCACTGAAAAAAAAGCATTGTGAGTCTTGGAAGTGAACCATATTGTCATGCCATGTATGCAGGATGCAGAGCTGAACCAAATGCATCCTGAGCAGAGACCTGGCAGTGTCAGGTGTGCCCAGAATCGCTGCAGAGGTGTCACAAAGGGCACACAGGGTGCCAAGCGTGGCTGTGCAGCTGGAGCATATCGGCTGCTGGGGAAAGAAGGTGTTATTTAAGGAACAATATTTGTCTTAACCAGTAGCCAAACCACAAGGGACTGAACTCTCTGAATGGCATGGAAATAGATTTGGAAGTACTCCCTGTCTGTCCCTGCCCAGCACATGCCCTTTGTGCGTGGGAGCCTCGCAGGTGGCCCTGGGACTCCTGTCCTGCAGGTCCCTGCAAGCTCTGCCTTGCTCCTACTGGGACCTCCACTGGCCTTCACATCCCTAACACAGAAATCATCACAACATTTGTTATTCCTCTGGCATGAGACTGCCAAATGCCCATTTTGACAGCACTGGGTCCCATGAGACCCCAAAGGGAATGTAATGTCAGTAAACGAAGTTAAAATAATGTATGAAACAACAGAGGAAGTGCTGAGCAGTACTGAGCTTATTCACCCTTCACCTCAGACAGGACTGCTGGGATGCTGTGACAAAAAAAGGGGAAGCTCTGGGAAAGGAGTTGCTGCTGTAAACAAGCTTGGTAAAGGTCTGGTTTCATTTTGTGTCCTTCAGTTGCAATATGCAGCAAAACACTTGCTGTCCCTGATGTGTAGTTTTCCTTGCCTCTGCCTCTATCCATGTAGAAATTTCCACCTTTCAAAAACTTGCTCCTTTATTCACAGTATATTTTCCATGGTGGGACCATGTTTTAATGCAGCAGAATACAGCTATTAATACAGTTATTAAAAATGTTTTGGTTCAAATTAGAAAGAAATCCCAGGATCCTAAATCCAGTGTAATCACTAGAGAGGCATTGATTGACACAAGGATTTGTGTCGAAATGAGAACAATGAAGAAAAAACACCAGAGTAAGGTGAGGGTCTTTCAGACTGGTGTAGCAAACAAAGGCAAGCAACCAAGTTTTTCATTTTTGAAAGAGTGGCAATCTTCATTTTGCTAAGGTAGAAGAGTATGTTTCTCTCACTTCTGTGCACCTGAGATGTACCATCTTTTACATTCTAGTTTTAAGCTCCATAGCCAGACTTGGCACTGCCAAGACTTTCCCTTGGTTGCTTCCTGACTTATTGACCATTATAGCATAAAACATTTTTGCATTTTGTATGTATTTATCCACAGAGAAATGCTATTAAAAGAAAAGCTTAAAGATAGAAAAGCTCTTATGACTATAAATTAATTAAAGCCTGGTATTTCCATGAAGATTAAGTAGGCCTACTCAGTCTCCTTCCCTAGGACATGCTCTTTTCTTTGTGCTGTAATCAAGCAGTTTGCTAATCACTGAACTTGGAGTGATAGATTTGTCTGTTTTGCATTCCCCTTAAGCCTTCTGCCCAATTTCTTCATGGACTCTAACCCCAAAATTATATTGACTCAGAGGTAGTTTTTCAACACAAACTTTATTCACAAAGTCTGGCAGCTTGGCCTTCTGAAAGGCCCTATTTAGATTTTCTGTTAATTCAACAAATGGAAGGGGCAAAACAAAGTGTTGCAACAAACTGAAAATTTAATCTGTTGTGTTTATAACTTCAGTCTTGGTTCTCAGGCAGGTTTCTCAACTTCTTCTTTCCATTTATAGCTGCCAGGCAATAATATCAAATTTTTGTAATCTTGGTAATGTAGTGAGGCCATAAAACATGAAAAAGGAGAACTATCTTAGTGCAGGCTATTCCTGCTCATGGATCCACACCATGTTCACCTACTTTTCAAACTTCTGGCTCTAGATTTTGACATTTTCTGCAGCAAATGCAGAAATATCCATTTCCAAGCTGTTCAGAGGGAAAACCCCCTGGAGGGGTAAGAGGAATGAAGATGAGTTTATAACAAGGCAGCACGTGGTAGTGTGTGATGAGGTCTGCTCTGCCTTCTTTCCTCACAGCTGCAGTGTTGGCTGTTGTTGGTTTTTCCATGTTGCATGCAGGTTTCATGGTACAGCAGTTGCTCCCTGTTTGCACTCCTCAGGAACAGAGATGGGTGCAAACAGGGACATCAGTGGTCTTCTACTAAGGGCAGAGTATTTGAGAGCCATTTACTAGATATTCTTCATTGCAAAATATGCTGTTTGGTGTCAAACTGAAGCTTTCCATGGTTGTGGAGTGTGGACACCTATTTTAACAGGATAGAATCTGAAAATTTTGGTGGTTGTTCTTTTCAACCTCAGTATTATGCTGGAGTAAATAATTTGGATCACCAGCTCAGGTGGCATTTACACCAGTGATCTATAAACACTGAAGAGCCAATATTTGGGTTTGAAATAATTTGATAGAGATGATGAATAAGTAACATGTAGTGTTATTCTATACTTGTGGAATATCAAGGAGGAATGCTTGAACTGATTCTAGTTTCTGCTGCAGTAACTGCATGGAAATACAACGGAATTTACAATGATGTGGAGGAACAGATAAACTTTATGAACAAATGTGGCTTCTGGATTCTCCCATCATATTCACTGCAGTCTTCTAATTTCCCTGATACCTACTGGATTTGTGCGTAATTTATATCCTGATAAGATACCAGGGTTGCCACTTATTCAATCTTGGCACTTTTGGTCCAGGTGGTCAGGCTGAAGTATCCCACTCCTCTCACTTCAAGCTGTCTCTGCATCTCTACACTGCAAGCTGTCTCTGCATCTCTCAGTAACTCAGGGTTATAATTCAGTGCAGGTCTTGGTAAGAAATGCCAGCTCTCCAGCCTCAAGATCTGTGTCTTGTCAACAGAAAGCCACAGTGCAAGACTTGTGGATCTGACTAACAAAAGCTGTGGCTGTGTCATAACTAACTGCTGTGCAATTTGATTTCAGACAAAGAGACAAACCATGGATTCAGTATTTGTGCCTGAAAATGGCTACCTTGATTTACTGCACAGTGATATTGACCCATTGCATCTGTGTACTTTCTTTGATCCTAAGTCATCTGGAGATGAAGAAGGTGACTTCTCTACAGGTTAGTAAGACACTAAAAAAATACTTGACTGGTTTATTCCTCACACTGTAAGTTATTGCCATCTCCTCTCAGCTCCAAAGCCACCTCATGGCAGTTTATCATGGTGACTGAGTTAAAGTCTAAAGCACTTGTTGTTAGGATGTGGTAAGTTGGTCTGTGTCTGTATATACAATGACTACTTCCAGAAACTGTCATGATTTTAAATTGTACATATTTATAGCATCCTGCTCAGTCAGTATAACAAACACACTGTACTGTCACTCATCAGGGCATGACAGTGTCTTTCATTTGGATATCATTCCTGTAAGTAGTTTATTTACAAATGTTCCTGTCATAAGCTGGCCACGTGTAATTGTCTACACCTCTATGGCTTGAAGCCAAACGTTTTGCTAAACAGAGACTTTTAGATGAATTTGTGATGAACGCAGTCCATGAGCAAACTTTAGATTCTGAAATCCTAAGGCACCAAAACAATGGAGTTTCATTACCAGATGCCATTTTCCAGCTTTTTGGGACACGGTGATTTTACAATTAATGAGAAAGCAGAAGGGCAAGAGTATAAAGTTGATAATTTCTTGCAATTCAGTTCCTACAAGTAATCAGATCAGGAGGTTGCCCTAAATCTCAAACTTTGTGCTCCTGACTTTCTGTGGAAATTGTGGACTGATCTGCTCTCCCTTCCCTGAGTGTTCTGTTATAAAAGTGTGAAAGTCTGTCTGTGGTATGGAGCATTAGCTGAGCTTATGTTAAAGAAATGAGCTGGACCATGGATTGAGAATGGCAATGAGAGGAGAAGAGCTGGTGTATGCCAGGCATGCAGGCTTACAGCTCTGTGCCAAATAGGTGGGAAATATTACCAGTTTGGAGCATTGTGGCTTTCTTGAGTGATCAATGCCAGTAGGCACATGGGCAAATCAGTGGAGAACTGACCACCAGAATTGTCTTTGTGATTGATTATTTCCCAGGTTGGGCTTTTCCCTCTCAGTTTCTGACTGTTAAAAACAGCTGCAGGAGTGTTCCTTACCCCATGGCCTCACTTGCTCAGTGACTGAAAGTAGGATGAATTAGGGGCCAAGCACTGACTCATGCTATCACAGATGTTTCACTGATTGGAATACTTTTGAGCCTTAGCAATGTCTGAGATGGTGCAGGTAAATCAAACATCATCAGGACATGGCACCAGTTACTGGAAGCTGGGCATCTCTGCTGTGAAGGTGTTAGCATGTCCCTGGCCACCTGGCAGCTTCACAGGCAATTTGCAGTGCAATTCAGGGATTAGCATGGGCACAGCATTGTTCTGAACAGGGCATCTGGGTGATACCACCATATCGTGAAGGATAAGAAGGTTTAATAAGCTGTACCATCATAGAATGGATTCAGGAAGTATTCTATTTACTAGGAGAGATGAGGTCTCAGAGTTTAGCAAAAGAAAAGTGCTGATTTCCAGGTGACTGTGAATTACTGAGAGTTCAGTTCTGTTCCTTCTTAGCCAACACACAATGAAAAGCCAAAGCCTTCTGCTGAAGTAACAAATCTGCCTGTTCTGCATGTCCTGCTGTCTGTTTTTTTATGCTTGGTTATGGCATTCATTGAGCCAATGCATATTCCTTATTAACTCTAGATCTTGAGGTTGATGCCAGCAACTATGAACAGTTAAATAATATGGATTTCCCATATGAAAATGGAGATGGGTTCTACCCCTGTTGCAACACCACAGATGCTTATGCTAAAATAGGTATGAAAGCAATTTTTTTAAAAATCATTATTTTACAATCATTTGCTATAGCTATTTCTTATAAACTCTATTCTCAATCTGAAGCCATGGCATTTACTTAAGTAGCCTTTCCCTCATGTGTGGTAGATCTAATTTAGAGTACCTGAACCTGTGCATTGTGGAGAAACCAATTAACAGTAGCTTGTGGTTGTTGGGGGAAAATCTCTCTATTAATGTCTCCTTCTGCTTAATACTTCCTTTCTCTACTTCTCTTTTCTTGTGGTCTTTATTTCCTGAACAACAAGTTACAAGAAAAACTTAATTTAACTCCTCCATTTTACTTACATTGCAGAGTTCTGTTAATGAGGATAAGCTTATTAGAGTTTTGCTGTGACATTTACTGTGTCATTACTGTGTTCCTCTTTTGTTTTTTTTTCTTTTGTTGCTAGCTGAATTAGTAGAATATGTGCTCAAGGATCAGCAGGAGAAGCAGGTTGAAGACATTTTTGGTAAGATTGATATGGCAAAAACTTTCTCCATGGCAACAGTGTTCTGTCTCACATTTGCTTCATCCCCCCAGTTTGAACACTAGTAAAGTTTCTATACCTCTGGTATCTTCTTCTTTCCTCTTGGGTACAGTGTCCCAGGATTTTCTTGGAAAACTTGAGGATTTTATGCATTTTTGTAGGCCTTTCTCAAAGATGGCAGTTTTGTCTCTAACCAAGCTGCTGATCATGTCACCATGGCCATAGAATATGCACAGCTTCACTATCAAGTGCATTAATAGCCTCAATAGCATCACACTTACTCTGAGCACAGCAGGGATGATACACATAAGTCCCCAGAGCACTTTGCATGTGTATAAATACAGTTTACACACACTGATTTCCGTCCAGGATGCACAGAGCTGCCTGAGGAAGCGTGTCAAGTTTTACTTCTTACCCTGATTAATGCAGCAATGCTATTGTAGTAAATCATTCCTTCATCCATTCTTGACTGGAGATATTGCTTTACTTGTGGTACCAAATCATTGTTTTGGTAGCAGTACAAATGCAGCTATTTACTATTCCAGAACAGATGTATCAGTAGGTGGCTGTTGAGAAATCCATAGAACCAGAAGGTTCACAGAATATCTGTATATCCTATTTTATGTTTGAGCAAAATAATTTGGACTAATTTACTAAAGGTCAGTCTTTCCCTGGAATAATCCTGACTGTGGGAAGCTCATATGGCTTTTCAAATGTTTTATGCTGCTGCCTGGTGTGTTTAGAATTTGGGGGGTTTTGCAGCTAATGGCAATATTTTTATTGGTTTTAGAAAAAAACAGAATGCAACATTAGTTCTTAAGTATTTTCTGGTAAAAGTATGGTGTGGATAACTTCACAGTTCTTGCAACACAGAATATAAAATCTTTTTAGAACCCTTTATTCTGTCTCTTAAAGGATCTAATCCCTTTAGCACATAAATAGAGTAGTACTGAGATCACACTGTGACACAGCTGCAATGTTTTATCCTTTGCTCATCATTAGAGCACTGAGAAGCACTTATCTTTTATTAGCCACTGCCAGTAGATTAATAGTTTGCAGTTCAGAAATTAACACAGGGTGACAAAATCTGCACTCAGAGCTCTGTGGGCTTTCTAAGTCATGTGGATCTGGGTACATCTTTTATTGCATTATTTGGGTTTTATCTTTGGAGCATATTTCATCTTTAATCTCTGTTAGTGTGTTTCTATTGCTTTTACTCCTCTCTGTAATTTTTTTAGGAGAACAAAGTTTGACATTGTACCATATTTCATGTTTTTAGCAGGGAACCTTATTTTGGATGACATTGCTGCTGAAAACACTGAGAAATTTCCTGACATAAAGATGCAGTCATGTCTTAAACGAAGTAAGTGTAAACAGTGAGAGGCTTTGTGCCTGAGTCCTAAACTTGCATTACAGCCCTTTGCTTTAGCACAGCCCCAGTGCACTTGTCATGCAGTTCTTCAGTGACACCAGACATGCTTCCTGTGGCTTTGCTCAGGCTCATGGCAGGAACTGAAAGCTGCTCTTCCAAGTGTAGAATTTACAGTTCGCAGAATTTGTTTTCCTGTAACATAACATTAAACATGTTATACTTCTTTGCATTTTTGTCATCCTCGTGGCAGTACTGACTTTGTTTTCAGTGTATCTAAAGCTCAGTAAGCACTGGCTGAACAATTGCCTTTTTAATAGCAAGAACAACAGCAAACATCTTTGGCACAAAAATCTGCAGCCTAATTGAAACTTCACAGAGCAAATTAACATGAGGCTTTTCACATTCATTTTTATACACTGGACCTGAAATAGCTGAATGGAAACTGGCAACACCCCCTTCTACTTAAAATAAGTTTTGTGGGGTAAATTTAAAATTACCAAAATGTTGCCACTTACTATGACCTTGCTTTCTTTCAGCTTTCTTAGGCTCCCCAGCAGAGAGTTACTGTGATGCTTCAGAACCCAAATATAAGAAAACTGGTAAGTCATTGGCTGAATAAGACAAGGTTATTGAACATGTATTGTCTCATGTTCCAAAATCTCATCCTCTATTAGGTACTGTAACTCTACCTTCCAGAAAAGTTTGCTCTCATACATTTGGTGATTTTGATCATCATGCATTTTCATGTTTCTGCAAAAATCACACTTTTAGATTCCCCTTACTAATTTATGATGTAACAAATCCACATCTTCTTATCTGCAGCTGTTAAATTGTGCAACTTAGGATCAGCTACATGGTAGCCTAGGAACAGTTGGATCCTTATACTTCAAAAGTTCATGTTCCTACCAGGTGATACGAAAATTACTTGCTTAACATCAGCAGAGGCACAGTTGACCTTTTCTAAATCCACATGAGAGGAGAAAGGAAAATAATGGAGACCTGGGTCTGTGCCAAATTTTGTAAATTTTATCACATACATCTTTTTTTTCACAGGATTTTTGGAAGATGTCTCACTTGGACCAAAAAAGATCAAACCCAGGAAATGTAGATCTATGACGTGAGTCATATTACCCATCAGGTCATAGCTCCACATGCCTTGGGTTTGAGCCTCTTTCTTCCAAGTGTGACATCTTCCAAAAGTCCAGTGAAACATCCAAGTGAAAATAATAACTGTGAAAAGATGATTTCTTGGCCCAGTCCATGCTATAAAGTCCTTTAAACTGAAAAAAGAAAGGGAGAAAGGGAAATTTGTAGGTTTTGCACATTGTTAGATCATCTACAAGACAACACCTGGGGCCAACAGGCAGGCTGGAACTTGTCCCCTAAGTGTAAACTGGTGCTGATCAATGTTTTATCCTTTGCTCATCATTAGAGCACTGAGAAGCACTTATGTTTTATTAGCCACTGCCAGTAGATTAATAGTTTGCAGTTCAGAAATTAACACAGGGTGACAAAATCTGCACTCAGAGCTCTGTGGGCTTTCTAAGTCATGTGGATCTGGGTACATCTTTTATTGCATTATTTGGGTTTTATCTTTGGAGCATATTTCATCTTTAATCTCTGTTAGTGTGTTTCTATTGCTTTTACTCCTCTCTGTAATTTTTTTAGGAGAACAAAGTTTGACATTGTACCATATTTCATGTTTTTAGCAGGGAACCTTATTTTGGATGACATTGCTGCTGAAAACACTGAGAAATTTCCTGACATAAAGATGCAGTCATGTCTTAAACGAAGTAAGTGTAAACAGTGAGAGGCTTTGTGCCTAAGTCCTAAACTTGCATTACAGCCCTTTGCTTTAGCACAGCCCCAGTGCACTTGTCATGCAGTTCTTCAGTGACACCAGACATGCTTCCTGTGGCTTTGCTCAGGCTCATGGCAGGAACTGAAAGCTGCTCTTCCAAGTGTAGAATTTACAGTTCGCAGAATTTGTTTTCCTGTAACATAACATTAAACATGTTATACTTCTTTGCATTTTTGTCATCCTCGTGGCAGTGCTGACTTTGTTTTCAGTGTATCTAAAGCTCAGTAAGCACTGGCTGAACAATTGCCTTTTTAATAGCAAGAACAACAGCAAACATCTTTGGCACAAAAATCTGCAGCCTAATTGAAACTTCACAGAGCAAATTAACATGAGGCTTTTCACATTCATTTTTATACACTGGACCTGAAATAGCTGAATGGAAACTAGCAACACCCCCTTCTACTTAAAATAAGTTTTGTGGGGTAAATTTAAAATTACCAAAATGTTGCCACTTACTATGACCTTGCTTTCTTTCAGCTTTCTTAGGCTCCCCAGCAGAGAGTTACTGTGATGCTTCAGAACCAAAATATAAGAAAACTGGTAAGTCATTGGCTGAATAAGAAAAGGTTATTGAACATGTATTGTCTCATGTTCCAAAATCTCATCCTCTATTAGGTACTGTAACTCTACCTTCCAGAAAAGTTTGCTCTCATAGATTTGGTGATTTTGATCATGCATTTTCATGTTTCTGCAAAAATCACACTTTTAGATTCCCCTTACTAATTTATGATGTAACAAATCCACATCTTCTTATCTGCAGCTGTTAAATTGTGCAACTTAGGATCAGCTACATGGTAGCCTAGGAACAGTTGGATCCTTATACTTCAAAAGTTCATGTTCCTACCAGGTGATACGAAAATTACTTGCTTAACATCAGCAGAGGCACAGTTGACCTTTTCTAAATCCACATGAGAGGAGAAAGGAAAATAATGGAGACCTGGGTCTGTGCCAAATTTTGTAAATTTTATCACATACATCTTTTTTTTCACAGGATTTTTGGAAGATGTCTCACTTGGACCAAAAAAGATCAAACCCAGGAAATGTAGATCTATGACGTGAGTCATATTACCCATCAGGTCATAGCTCCACATGCCTTGGGTTTGAGCCTCTTTCTTCCAAGTGTGACATCTTCCAAAAGTCCAGTGAAACATCCAAGTGAAAATAATAACTGTGAAAAGATGATTTCTTGGCCCAGTTCGTGCTATAAAGTCTTTTAAACCAAAGAAAGAAAGGGAGAAAGGGAAATTTCTAGGTTTTGCACATTGTTAGATCATCTACAAGACAACACCTGGGGCCAACAGGCAGGCTGGAACTTGTCCCTTAAGTGTAAACTGGTGCTGATGTTCTCACCCAGCTGTAGGCTAAGGGGTATCTCAGGCAGAGCTAAACCAACAAAATACTCTCCCAAAATCCAGGTGAGAACAACCTGTTTTAACAGCAATAGATTTAACTATTTTATATTGTGTTTTGAATGGACATCTGACTCATTTTATATCAGCACACCTCACGAGCCTCCTAAGGGGACTCTGGCTGTACCAAACCCTAGGGGCCATGTACATACTGGGGGTTGGCCAAACCAGTGTATAACCTAGAGTTCCATCCAGAGTTCTGGGATCTGGGGCTGCACCTCAGCACAGTTCAGATAAGGAGCTGGCACAGACTGTGTGAAAATCCGAGAGAACAAATGTGTGCACCATGACTGTGATCCAAGCTGTTCTTGTGGAGTTCTGAGGGACTGGGGAGGGAGAACTGAGCAGAAAAACATGTTTGGTAGCTCTGGGGAGGTTATCTACTCAGAGTTTCTACTGAACTGGTACCTGCTGGCTGTAGTTATTTAGACACAGGTGAAGTTCCTGGCAGTTAGTAACCGTTAAAGGTGGATTACTTTCTATTTGCTTAAGTTCCTTTATAGATTTGGCACTTTTAAAAGCCTATATTTATGCCACACTAATAATAATAGTTTTCCATAAGGAAATGGCACATCAGTTCCAAATGCCTCACCCTACAGAACCTGCATTCCATATGAAAGGACCATCACAGAGCTAACAGGTGCTTTGTGAAGCTGCAGCCATCCTTTTGCTGGAAGTCCTCAGATATTATCAGTTTCTCTACTGTCCTTGACCCAGTGAAGGTGCTAGGAAGGAAAATATACACAAGACAGTATAATACTGTGTAGAAAAATCTAATTGACAAAAAGATGAGCTACCTGACAAAATCAAGAGTTTATTTAACCTGTCATGGGTGTCACAGTATGATCCTGCAAAGGAAAATGCATCAGCTCTTCAGAAGTGCAAGACTACCTACATCAAAGAGAATAATGTGTACTAAAGTTCAAAGCAGAAAGCCAAGGATGGGATTCTTTCAAAGGAATTGAATGAAATAGTGGCACAAACCCTAGAAAGGTTTGTAGCTCCTCATAAAAACATCAGACCACAGAAAGTGATGAAGTATAGACTTACTTGTTGTAGCTAGACAGGAGAGGGAAAGAAAAAACAAAACCAACTCTGAGAATAGGGGTGTTGTAAAACCAATGAAACTAACAGACTAATTCAAATAAGCAGGTGTGACTTACTTGAAGTCTTTTGATAAGCAGATGAAATTGTACAATCATACACAAACCTCTCACTCCATTTGTTCTATTCTTGGAGGAAAAAAAAATTTGCTTCAGAGGAGATGCATCTTTAAAAGCTCTGGTGTTTGTGACTGTTCTTTGGGAGACACTTAACACACACTCTGTCCTTACAGGCACTGTAGTGTCTAATTAGGGAGTCAAGGTTCCCAGCTGATTGCTTGTGGGCCCCTCTGCTCTCGTGCAATATTGAGGCAGCAAACTGTGCTTGGAAAATCAGTACAGCCAGTGGAAGACATTGTTATGTCTTACCTGTCAGTCATCCATGTGTAGGGTCAGGTACATCTAGATACATCTGGAAATAAGAGAGGCCAGGAAAGATGAAGAAAAATAAAATTTAAAGAGAAACTACTGAGAAGAAAAAGTGGTCTACTACAGAATTTAATAAATACATTTTGGATTTTGAGAACTAAATAGTTTTCAGAAAGCTATTGTGAATTTTTCTTGCTTTTAGAAAATCAAAACACAGCTGATCAGAATCAAGTGGTTTATTGTATCTACTGAGACCTCTTCTTTGGTTCCTTTAAATTCTACCAATGAGATAACTTTCTCCTTTTGTTTTGCTATTTTATTTTAAAGTGGAAGTCCCTGCAGCTTCCCCAGGGAATGGCAGTTTCTTTGCTATGCCTCTCAACAGCCACCCAGTGAGCTGCACCTCCCTAACTAACCAGCACATGTCCTGTTCTGTTCCTGCTGCCCATGGGCTGGAAAGAAGCCTCATAATTCCTGGTATGTAGAGTACAGCTGTGGGTGTGCACCTGTACACAGGCTGATTTCTCATGGGGAAAACTCTCTTATAAATCTTGTCATTGACTATGAGCAATGCCAGGAAAGTGGCAGGTTTGGCAGCTCTTAAAGGTGTGGCATCCACTAAAAGAATGAAAAATATTAAAGGGAAATTAAAAGGGCATTGCTCCTAATTGAACAGAATGACTCTTTCATTTAATTGGTACAGGTTATAACAGAACAGTTATTTACTATATGCTAATCTAAGTAATTACTTACTTGTCTTAAGAATAGGAAGTCACAAAATTTTCATTATTAAACTTTAATTTAGTTCCAATTTCTTTTTCACCCAGAGATTTGTAAAGGACCGAGGGATAATTACATTTGCAGCAGTAGAGCAAAATCTAGGCTGTGATTCAGCTGATGAAAACTGAGCAGTAATCCCACTGATGGGCTGTGCAGGCACCTGGCCTGGGCCATGCTGGGTTGCAGAGGGTGCTTGTGGTGCACTGAGCAGTGCTAATGACAAAGGCCCAGTTCAACACCTTTCACTGTTAAGTCAGTGCTGGAAAGGAACCAAAACCAGTGTGTAAGTTGGAAGTCTTGATGTACCTCATGCGAGCTGAAGCAGCATAAAGTAGCAGAAGAAATTCTGTCCCACTTACAGAAATTCAGAGCTATGGCTGATTAAATTGCAAGCACTGAATCATCAAAAAACTTTCCCAGTGTGAGTTGAGAGGGAGGATGCTTGTGCAAGCTGCATGATGTGCAGTTATTTGGGAAGGATGTAGTGCAAGGAAGGTAAATTTAATGCAGATACACTATTTACACTTCTTCTCTGGATCTTTGAATTACAGACTTTGCCTTAAGCACTTTTCCTTATGATAATAGAATTTCTCTTTAGACCATTGAAAACAGTGGCTGCTAAAAGCTGGGTAATCCCTTGTATTTCAAGCTCATCATGCCTTGTAAGAATTCTTTTTTTAATGGGTTCTATGGACCTCATGTGATCCTGTGAATTCTCCACCAGGAAGATTTGTCTAGAAGCTGCCAGAAAGGACTCTCTCATACAGCTTTTTCTCTCTCATAAAGCTTTAGAAAGCAGAATCCTTTAAAAACAGAAGAGTAATTATTCTGCACTCATTTCAGGATTGTCAGAACCTTTGACCTCAGAGTGCCTACCAGTCAGTGTGAAAGGGTACCAAGAGAATCCGGGCTTGGCAGGTCCTCCTCAGCAGATATTTAACTTTGTTCTTGAAAATAATACATCTGATGTTCTAGTATATCCAGGTAAGAGCAATAGTCTTTTTTCCCCATAAAGAGGCATAAAGTGCTAAAAAATCAATGCTGCCAACAGCAGCATTGATTAAATTTGGTTACTGATAGCTGTGATATGCTGAAAACTATGCTTTGTTTCTTGCCAGTGCTGACATCTTCCATGGAAACATTCATGTCTCCAAGTTTTCCAGTTAATTTATGTGGTAAGTAGAAAATTGGGGTTTATATATGTGCAGCACTTTGAACTGGGAGAGAAACCATATTGCTGCTAGTCAAAGCCACTTCTCCCCTCCAGGCTTTACTCATATTGACCTTAAAAAACCAAAAATGGATGGTATTTCTTTCTTTGTATTGATCACTGGCTGCTTACTCTGATCCAAAATGTACAGATGAGAGCTGTAGAGCTTCAGGTTCAGCAGCCAATCCCCTGTGTTTGCCATGGCATCCAGTTTCTGGGAGAAGTCAGGTTTAGTTAAGGCAATGCAAAGCCCAGGGTGCTGGAGCACCCTCAGAGAGTCAGAGATGATCTGGTGCTGGCATGGCCTGAGCATCTTAAACGCTCAGTGCTGGCAGCCAGACTGCAGCCAGCTCCCATGGAAGCCCCAAAACCATGATGATGACTTATGACTAAGCAATACTGAAACCTAATGCACAGAAAGGCTTATAATGAAATCAGAGCCTTGGTCAGAATTTAACAGTCCCACTTCAGGTAATAAACTTTCCTGAGATGCTTTGCTTCCAGCCCTCAGAGAGCTGTTGGAAGCCAGAACTTGATATCAGTGTTGTTTCTGGTCCCTGTGCCCAGTGCAGGAGTTTGTTGCCCTCTGGTGGCTTCCACTGCCCCAAAAGCAGAAATATAACATGGACATTAAGAGGCAAATATCCCTAGGTGTGGGGAAGTCTTTGTAAATTATATTTACTGTTTATGTAAATAAACAATGCCAATAGTTCCAACTGATTTACTACTTTTTATTCACAACATATGTATGCCACAAGCCCTGGAATTCCAGATGTAGCAGCAGACAAATTAGCACGTACGATGCCAAGCAATTTTCCTTTTTTGAAAGTTCTTCACTCCTACCTGCTTTAACCAGTTTTCCACTTAAATGTCTCATTACACTTTTCTTTTTTCGTTCTTCCATTCTGTTTTCTTAGTTAATAAAATAAACAGTAAATAAAAAACAGACGCTTGCCCAACCTTTATTTAATATCTTTCTTACTGGAGGCCTGTGGTGCTTCCCTTTTAGAAGCAATTTTGAACTCAAACCATTCTGAAGGTTTCTGGCATGCAGGGTAGGAATGAATTTCCAGATCTCTGCAACTGTAAGATTTGTATTTCTTTTAGACCATATTCTACATCAAGATAATCAAGATAATATTATGGTATGAAACACATTTGTACACTTTTAGGGAGATTAATCTGGTTTGGTTTAGGTAATTTTTTGCACATCTCTGCTGTGTGTAGTTACAAGACTCTGAGGTTGAGTTTGTTACAGCCTCTGTCAATTTAAATTGTCTTGCATCTGCAAAGTTCTTCCTACCAAAAGTTTTGTCAAACCTGATACTCTGCAATTACCAATCTGTAGAAAATGTTCTCTCTGAAAAATTCCCAATTCCTTTGTGTAAAGGAGACACTGTTCACCTGACCCAACTGCAAAGATCTGCAGTAGTTTGAAAGCAAACAGGTGAAAAGAAAGAACATTGGACAGCAACAGGACTTTGTCAGAGACAGTAATGGGTAAATACTGTTACCAAGAGTCTTTTCTCTGCCACTTTCATCTTTAGTGCTTGGTTACAAGGTGTAGAATAACAAAAGGAAACTATTGCTTTTGAAGACATAAAGAAGCACTATGTGTGAACATGAATTTATGCAAAACTGACATTTGAAAAGAACAGTGGATGTCACCTGGTAATGGTAAATCTGCTTCCCAACTGTCAGAACGGCTGTGGTCTTGTTTGATGCCATTCTGCCCCTAACAGTGCACATCAGCAGAATTCTACTTGTGGGAGAAGTTTATTCACTTTCCTTGTACGATTAACAAAATATTTCTTACTCTGAATATAAGCTACAATAAACTTTGAAATTTGCATTAAACTTATTGTTAAAATTAGTAAAGCAGAATCAGTGATTATCTAGATGTCTTTGTCAAGTATATTGTTTTGTTTCTCCAGATTTAGAGAAATTTCAAGAAACTCAAGATTCTATGATTCCTTCTGAAGAACCTTTTAAAAGGCCAGGTGAGTTTAGAACTCTTGAACTTAAACCTTCCAGTATTTTTTGGAAAAAGATTCTGTGTTTCTTTCCATACAGAGAAGCTCCTTGTAGGAATCATTCAACAATTTGTGAAGCTGTTCTGAGGGTCTGAGCACAATTCCTGGTTTCTAGATATTAGACTTGGCTTCCTGTAGATATCTAGCTGTAGTACCTGCTTAGCAGCTCAGTGTACTTCAGTGGTTTTATCATCTGTACAGAGAGCTCCAAAATTATTCAGTTCATAGATGTGAAAGTGTCTGTTGTGCCTGCACTTCTCAGCTGCAGTTGCATGGGGTAGATCCAGCCCTATGAGCTTTATGGGAATGCTTGTGCTTTCATCATATTGCAATCAGGCACTTGAGCCACCATGAAATGGTGCTGTAGTTTGGGGACTGGTTCCTTCAGTTTGTGTGTGCTCTTTATTTCTCTAGAGCAAGTGGAAAGTTTCTGTTCAGCCCTTAAGGATTATTTCCGAGACACGTGCAGATCTGTGAGCATGGAGCGGGAAGTAAATCTGGATCACCTGTTCATTGATGGGACACTTGTTCAAAGTCAAGCTGAAACCAAGACTGGAAAGAATAGTGCAAAAGCAATGGAAAAGGAGCTGGTAACCTGCAGCCTGCAAGAGAAGGAAAAGACAGCCATTGATAGAAGCCAAATATTTCAAATCCCACAGCGTAAAGACTTGGAGACTAAAGTGATTGTGGTGCTGGGAAAAGCAGGAATGGGCAAAAGCATTCTCGTTCAGAAGATCTGCCAGGACTGGTCCAATGGAGAATTTTCTCAGTTTGAATTTGTATTTTGGTTTGACTGCAAACAAATAAGCTTGCCTGAGAAGCAATACAGCCTGAAGGAGCTGCTGCTTGAATTTTTTGTAAAACCTCAAGAGGGAAGCAAAGAGATCTTTGAGTATATCTTGCAAAATCCTGATAAAGTCCTTCTGATTTTTGATGGTTTTAAAGGGTTGCACGATCACGAGAATTTTCCTCGTTGCTCAGCCAGCCAGCCTGAAAAGGATTTGTGCAGTATAAAGGAGCTGCTTTCAGGACTCATCCAAAAAAAGATACTCAATGGCTGTACTTTATTATTTACAGCAAGACCAAAAGACAAACTGTACCAGTACGTGTCCAAAGTGGATAAGACTATTGAAATCGTAGGATTTTCCCCTCAGCAGAGAGAATTGTACATAACCAAATACTTTGAAGAATCACTCTACTGTGATAGTGCACTGAAATTAATCAGGGAGTGTGAGTACTTGTTCAGTCATTGTTACAGTCCTGTTATGTGTAGGTTTGTTTGTTTTCTCTGTGAGACAGTGCTTGAAATGGGAGAGAAAAGCCTTCCTTCAACTCTTACTGAAGTCTTCCTGAAATTTTTTCAGCAGAAGATAATGTTTATGCAAACAGATGTTACAACCACACAAAATCAAGAGAGTCTTGCTACCCTAGCTCGTGTAGCCTGGTGTCTTGGAGAAAAGCACCAAAGCGCCATGAAAAGTGATCTTATTCCTTCTAAGGAAGTTAAAGAGTTTGCTCTGAAGTATGGGTTTTTCCTGCCATTTGCATTCCCCAGACATTCAGATAGTGAAGAAGAGGAATTTGGGAGCACATTCTCTGATTTTGTCATTCAGAATTTCTTGTGTGCACTTCACCTTTTGTTAGCAGAAGAGCTCAAGGATAAAAATCTAACAAAGTACCTATCTTTTCTATCCAAGAAGAAAAAACCTTATAACTGGTTAGATTTAATGCCTCGATTTTTGGCTGGTTTGATGTTCCTCCAGGATGACCCCTACTTCTGCTCTCTTTCAAATGAGGATGAAAAACAATCAACAAAGAAACAGAAGACACTCTTGAAATACATCAGGAGGCTGCAGATTAATAGTCTCTGTCCAGAGAGGTTGCTGGAGCTTTTGTGTTGTGTTTATGAAACACAGAACAATTATCTTCTGCAGCATGTGGCCTTAAGACTGGAGCCAGAGTTGTCTTTTCTGGGCATGGTTCTTACACCACCTGATGTCCATGTACTGCACTCTATTTTGAAAAGGTCAAGAAAAGAGTTTTCCTTGGATTTGCGGAACAGCAGCATTGACATGCAAGGGCTGCAAGCCTTGGTGAGCCTGAGGAATGTGACATCATTCAGGTTGGTCACTCTCTGTACCCCACAGCACCATCCACAGCACTGTGTGTAGATGGCACTTTCATGCAACAACAGCAGTCACATCTGTTGGTTTTGCATGTTTTGTCACTTCACAGGGCTTCTCTCAGTGACACAGTCAGGCTCTGGAAATCTTTAGAACAAAGAAAAGACTACGAACTGCTGAAAGTATCCACAGAGAAATTTGTTCTTGATCCCTTTAAGGCAAAGACAATGAAGGACATCAGTGACCTCTCCGACCTCGTAGAGATGCAGGAGAAGATGATGAATTGGTAGGATCATTTATGATCAGAACTCCTCTTATAGCAATTTATACCAATAGCGGTTTATGAAAACACAGTTTCACCACCAGTGCTGGACAATGGAGTTGTCTGCTTGTCCAGAGGAGAAGTAACTGAGGCAGTGCAAGCTCCTGGGTCATCTCAGGGGGTTCTCCTCCCCCATGTGAGGTGGCTGTCATGGTAGGGATGAGCAATGACAGCACTGAGCAGTCACCAAAACTGCCACTGAAAGGGCCAGCTGTCATTTCTCTTTAATCTCTGAGTATGGCATCTTCCATTTGCTTTCAGTTACAGAACTGGGGCTGATTCTTTCTCCCAGTAGCACCTGGGCATAAAGGAAAGCCTTTGCATAGGTTCCAAATGGCCTGAGTCAGTCCTCTAGCCCAGGAGGTAAAATCTTGTGTCACATGGTCTAGAAACCCTGTGCTCCATCCCTGCTGCTGATGTAGTTGGGGGATTGGTTGCAATTAAAAACATGCAGAAATAAAATTTTGGGGTTTGTTTTGTTTTTTTTTTAATGATGACTTCTATTTTAATATGTGTGGAGTATTTTGATTAAAATATAGTCAAAATAGTTTCATGTTTGACAGAAAATAGTTGATTTAGAAAGATGTATTTTCAAGTTTTATTGGAAAAAGAGCAAACAATTGAACTATGCAAGGCAATTATTGGATTGAAATTACTCAGTTGTAGAAAGGTTGGAGCAGAAGTTACTCTGAAGTTTCCTGGTTCCTCAGTTAATGCAACAGTGGTTTATTTTCTGTAAAAACTTGCTAACAAATTGTTTTTAAAGCACTGTTTTGGCTGCTAAAATATTTATCACACCCTGATTCTACTGTGATTTATTTAGCGTGCAAGAAGCATCTGGTTGCACCAGCTATGAAATTCCTGCCATCAGAAACCTCAGAAAAGTCGAATTTGCGTAAGTGCTGAACTTCTGCAGATTGAGGTGGTCATGGTTGAGGAGGAGCAGTCTTGGGTGCTGGCTACAGCCATTGCACTGATGTACAGTCAGCTTAAAGCCTTAAATAAACCCCACTTATTGCTATCTTGCTTTTCTCTGAACTAGATTTATTAACTTATGGCCAAAACTCAAAGAACATTATTTCTGGCTCCAGAAATACAGATCAACAGGGCTCTACCTTTTTTGTTGTTGTTGTTGTTTTAGTACAAGTTACCTCCTGACCACAAGGTACTGGTCTTGTGCCACAGGGGATAAAATATTTTGACTGTGATCCAACTACCTGGAAATACTTTTCCCCCCAGAAATGCTGAACTTTTCTATCTGAGTCTTCTGATGTAACTTTCTACCCTATCAGAGCTAAGACCATGGGAGGATTACATCAGAGAATGCCTCCCAAATAAATTATTTAGCACCCTTTTCCTGGAAGATGGAAGGTTGACTTGGTAACACTACTTTTTTTCCCCCAAACTGTAAGCAGCCTCCAAGGCTATTCCATTGCTCAAAATATCCTGCGATAGCATGTGAATTCATTTGGGCAGAAACTGCAGCAGTGCAATGCAGAATTCTCATCAGGTGTTTTCACCTGTTTCCTGCTCTGTAAATCTAACCCAACCTAGGACAGCTATGCTTGGCCTCACTTCTGATTTTATGCTTTTAATTCTCTTCTGATTTCCTCTTCCTATTTCCCCTTATTTAAATTTTGTTTAAAATGCTAATCCTTTTAAATAGCTGAACTTGTTCTGATATCAAAGACATTCCAAATAGGATATGAGAGACAAATGCTTGGAGCTTGAGTACCAAAGTGCAATTTATGATTTAAGCTGCAGTAAAATGTTGATCTTAAGTTAGACTGAATTGCTATTAGTTGGGGGAAAATAACTTTGTTTCCATTTCTCAGTTATACTGAGATAGATATGTATTTCATCTCAAGATTATACTTACAGTGAATAACCTGAAAAAAGATAGAGAAAGAAATGCAAGAATCTAAAACAAGCGAGGTAAGTCTTGCAGAAAGGAAAAAGTGGGAAATGTCCCAGTGCTGCTGTGCAAGCTCTGTCCTGCCTGACCTGAGCCTTGTTGGTCCTCTGGAGGCTTCACAGCAGAATTCCCTGGTGCAGGGGTAGGGAATGGCTCCTTCTGAGGAGTGTAAACTAGTTTGCACTGGGGGCTGCAGGGGAAGAACTCAAAAATTCCTGAGTTTGGCTGTTTGTGAAAAACCTGCTGCATGTCTATATTTTCTTCTAGGCTGGGTCCAGCATGTGGCCTTCAAGGATTGCTAAAACTCGTGAAAATTCTTGCAGCATTTCCATCACTTCAGCATTTAGAGTGAGTTCTGCTAAAGATTAACTTTGCTAACATTTCTCCTCAGCAGCCCCTGATGATGGAGAAGCTCTTGCACCCAAGAAACATTTTATTTGCCAACAAGACTCCTTCTTTGATGACCAAACTGACCAGCACAAACATTCCCAAACTGTAGCAGCAGTCTAAAAGCTGACACTCCCCATCCTCCCTGGAGACACCTGGTGTTGGTTTGTTGAGAACCCTCAGTCCCTTCCTGGGGTGTTCCTGGGTGGGTAAAGGTTCAGTACAGAGCCCCTGGGGCCCCCTTCCTGCCCCACTGACCAACAGCTGCAGTGACTTCTGGCTTCACTGGAGCTCCAGAACACCCATGACAAACCAACTCTCTCTCAGTTTTAAGCTTCTTACACCAGAAACAAGTGTACCAGCAGCAGTCAGGGTTGTGCCATGGCACCTGTGGGAAGGTTCCTGGGCCTTGGGAGGGCCTTTGGCCTTACACAGCCCATTGGCCATTTTTCTGTCTTGTAGCTGGCCTTTTCAGGATATTTCAGGAAAACAATAAAATATGAAATATATCCAATATATTTCATCCCAGCATTATCTGTCAGATTAGAAGGGATCCAGTATCTGAAATGCCAGTATCTGACTAGATATGAGGAAAACTTCATTTTTAATACTCCCTTTCTGGAGAAGGAGCAGTTAGGCAAGGATTTACAGCCTCTGCTGGATTTTGTCAGTTCTGTATTTTTGTGTGCACAGGAAATCTCCTTTCAGCTTAGCTGGAACACAGCTATTTCATAACTATTTTAATAATCTTGCATATCAAAGGAAATGGGTCAAGGCATTCAACTAGTGAAAGAAAAATTCTTATGCTTTAAATTTGGGCAGCAGAAAGCTGCTTATTAGAGAAGCTGTAATTTGTGTGATGCTTCATGCTGATTGAGGCTAGTGCAGAGAAGCTTTTCAAGATAGATAGAGTGGTCTCTGAGGTGAATAAACCACAAAAATTTAGATTAAAAGGGAAGCTAATTCTCTCTTTGTCGTCACACAGCCTTGATGCTCTGAGTGAAAATGGCATAGGAGATGAAGGAGCAAAGAGTCTGTCTGAAGTCTTTCCAACCCTGACATCACTGGAAACATTAAAGTAAGTGCATTAAAGTAACATTTAAGTAAGGTTAACAGTACAGGGAAATTTTGAGAAGAAACAGATTAAACCTAGAGACTAAAGGGACTGTCTGTTAACAATTATGGGCAAAAGTATCCCATGGGCATGGAATGAGCCTGTGGAGATACTTAATCAGTATATTCATTAAACAAATAGATTAATCCTTCCTGGCGTCTTTTCAAGTGCTCTATCTTGCCTTTTTCTCTGCATTTGGTCTAAACAGACTGTACAAATTACATTTTTTTTAAAATTGAAAATTAATTTCTCCCACATTGTAATAAATGAGAATAAATGTGCTCGACTAACAAAGTGATGTCACTTACTGTAGTTTATCACAGAATAAAATAACAGACCTGGGTGCAGAGAACCTCGCTGCAGCTCTCCCTTCCTTGTCTTCCTTAAAAACACTAAGGTGAGTAGCTGTATCCTGTTGAGTTGTTTTGGAAGCATCCCTTGCTGTCTCTGTCAGAAACTACTGAACAGGGAACAGAGGTAACACTGTGCAGCAGCCAAGCTTTTCACTTCATTTTTGCATAAAGTCTTCAGAAAGAGGAGAAGTATGACAGACATAGAGAAGGATATCTGGGAATATAGCAAGGACTGGACTGATGATTAAATGCAGTCCATAATACCCACTTATGAATCATGCCCTGCACAGATGTGCACCACATCTGCTGCAAACCCAAAGGTGTCTGTGGCTGCTGATACAGGGGCAATGGTCCATCCCACTGCACTGGGATATCTGGCACAGGCCTGAGGGAAGCAGGGAATGCAAGAAACCCTGGTGTGCAATTCTGGAGCAGTTTGGTGATGTGGAAATCTTTTGAATTCTGTACCCCAAATCTTTAAGCTCCATTTTTTGGCAGATTTTTAATTTTATCTGTGTAGACAGAAATGTTCTTATTATCCATAGAATAATAGAATGTAGACCACTTTTGCTGCACCTGTGCTGGGGAAGAAGGATGTGGCCATTTGCCTTGCTTGATACAGGAAATATGAATATGTGTTTTAAACCTTAACTGCAAATAAGGATAAAATGAAAGTTAAGATGTACTTACCATATTTGACAACCCTTGATCTAATATCTGTGTACATTATCCATTATTCAATTGTGACTATTCTGGTTTGGTTCTCTGCAGCTTGTACAATAACAGCATTTGTGATTTTGGAGCAGAAAATCTGGCAAAGGTTCTTCCTGCAATGAAATCTTTAAGAGTGCTAGAGTGAGTATGAAATCTTTTGAGATGGCCCAGGAAAGATAACCTCATTGGATACTGAAAATACAAATGTTCCATGTTTGGTTTTGGAGGAGACAGAAACTGAGGAAGGTTTTGGGAAAATTTCACAGGGGAATGTGCTTCTTCAGAGTCCAGATAGTCAGTGATTAGAAAGGATTAAGGAACAGTTCACCATAAACCCAGAAATGTTGGTGTTAAGGTGGGAGAATAGGCTCATGGGGGAGCTAGAGAATGACCTCAGGAACATGAGAAAAGGAATCCCTCAGATGAATTAACATAGTGAAGTTCCCATTCAACTTTCTGAGTATATTATTTGAGATTTTTTGAATCCACAATCTGGTTTGGGTTTTTTCCTTTTTCTTTCTTCTCCCATCTGCAGATTAACCTATATAGTAATTTTTATTTTGAATAAAATGTTTGATTACACCATTTGATTTGGTTTAACAAAGTTGTTTTTATTCCTCAGTGTTCAGTATAACAAAATAACTGGTGTTGGAGCCCAGCAGCTGACTGACAGCCTACGCAAATGTCCCCATATAAAGAACCTGGTGTAAGTCTCTTGACAGGCTGTTTGCTGTACCTTCATCCTGTAAAAGTGGGTTAGCAATCATGCTAAAGCTGCCTTCTGTATTTGTCAGATTTAAAAGAGGCACAAACAAAGACATCAGCAAAATACAAAAGCAGAGATGTTAAAAAATGTTGTCTCTGGTTTCAGCTGCATTAGTTCCCAGTGGTGCCATTCAGCTGAGCTTGCCTTGACTGAAACAGTTTCCACTGAGCCTCCCTTTGTTAATCTTCTACCCTCCCAGAGAACCAGACCTACTCTGAGCTGCCCACTTGTGTTTGAGGGATAAACAATGAGCAGCCATCATCAGAGGTTAAATAGACTGAAGGTACTGGTACACATTTGATGAAAGGTTTAAAAACAGTTACAGAGACAGGAGTGCAGTTGTGTCCTGTAACCAGGGTCAACAAGATTATGGAGTACTGAACTGCTTTTTTCTAAATCAAAATGCATTTTCCTTTGCTCCATAGCCTATGTACTTTCATAGCATAATACTCAAAAGGAAGGACAACTTAAAAAAAAAGAAAAAAAAAGAAAACAACAGCAACAACAACCAAAAAAAGGCACAAACACATCAAACACACCAAAAGAAGGTAAAACAAATTACACTTCTTAAAATCATTCCTTTCTGAATTTGCCCTTACAGGATGTGGAATCCCACCATTCCCTATGGAGTTCTGGAACACCTTCACCAGCTGGACTCCAGGATCAGTGTGTAGATTCAGAGGATTCCATAAAGGTAACAAACCTTGGCTCCCTGAGACAACCAGGTTTGTTTCTGTGGGAGCTGTTGATTCCAGGCTCACTGACAGCAGGCACAGTAACAGCATCCACGTGTCCATGGGCAAGTGTGGAGATGGTGCCCTGGAGTGGCACAGATCAGTGTCACATCAGGGCCCCTTTCCCTGCACTCACCTTGCACCCCCCTCCTCCCTGGCACCTGCACAAGCAGACTGCAAGTGCTTTATTAAGAAAAATGGACCTCTAGAACTCCCAGTCCAGCCCAGTTCAGTGACTGGCAGCTGCCCTGATTACCTTCTCATTTTTGTTGGGGAAAACTAAAGCTCTGTGTACTTCTCATGTTTAATAGATGAGTTCTGTACTCCTAGAACTTGTTTTGTGTTGATTTTTAGTAAGTCCTTTCACTTTTCCTTTGTTGAATACAAATCCTCAACAGCTGCTTGTCTGACTGTGCAGCTGTACCTGCACTGTACTCAGAGCAAAACACTCCCTCCTACATCCCTTGTTCTCAGTGTCATTGTGTGGTTTAACCACTGGCAGCCACTTTTACTTCATTGCCTGCACAGTTTCAAGGATCCTTGAAGTAATTGCATTGTGAACAATTTAATAAGTTTGTCAATGATTACCAGGATCTGATGCTTTGATGGTCCTGGACTGAAGGAGCTGCAGCCAGCATGGGAAGTTGGGGGTTTGTGTAGGATTTCTGTTCCCAGTTTTCTGCCATGTGCTTCCTCTAGCTCTTAAAAAAAAAAAAAAAATTATGCATGTTGCATCAGTTAAATGATCCTAGTGAAGAATGAGATGCCAGAGTCAAGCCAGATATCAGATGTGCTCCAGCTGCCAGTGGCTCCCTGGACCACACAGTGAGCCAAGCTTGTGCATGAGCCCTGCTCTCAGTGCAGCAATCTCCAGATGTGGACTGGGCTGTCTGTATGGCTCTGACCTGGCTGCAGCTGTGGAAGGTTCAGGTGCCACAGCACCAGCTTTATACAGCAGCAGTGAAAAATTGTGGTGCTCTTTACTAGCCAACAGTCAACTAAATCTTGGTCCTGTTGAACAACCCTACCTTCTTGAGAAAGGACACTTGGGATGTGATCATGGTAAGGAAACCTGCACTAGCTCTGAGGATAAATAGCAGCAGGAACTCTGGATCCTGTCTCCCAACCTTGAAACATTCACCACCAGCCACTGTTGTCTGTTTACAGACCTCATTAAATATATTATTTTTGTAATCTTAATGAGGGTTAATTTGCTGGGTGTGCATCTAATGTTCTGTTTTCATCATTTCACAGGTGTCATAAAGAAGAGGGGAGGGTGTCCTCTGTGTTTTCCTGTCTTCTTGCTGCTTTATGAATTGGTGTTCTCATGTTTGTTGCAAAAAAATCACATTTAAGTTTCTAAGCAATGCTTGAATTGGGTGATTACAGAATTTTAAAATGCTATTCAAAAATCCAACTGTATTTCTACTTAAGTAGTAAAAGTTAAGCAACATCAAAGATGAAAAGAGCATCTGGATACTGTGACCACCATTAAAGGAGACCAGGAACCACAAGGATATTGTGAGTATAAAATTCCATCAAGTCATTGAAGAGCAAACTGAAAGCTGCTCAACCTGCAACATCTGAAGCACTGACAGATCAAATCTGATTGTTTATTTCATGGTGCCAATGATAACTGCCATCAAATTTGATCTGATGATTTTGGACTTTCAAAACTCAGTGTTACAGATTTCACCTGTCTGTATGGACTGATTGGAAGCACTAGGGTGAGGAGCATAAAAAAGAGTCATCAGCCCTAGAAAATGTTCTGATAAGATTATCCACAAGATTCTAGAAGTTGCTCTTTTCTTCTCTAATAATCAGTGCTGCCTTAAGGGATAGAAACATATCTTCTATGACTTGTTACAGAATCCTTCAAAAAGATTGGGGGAAAAAGAAAGAAGTAATGAGAAGAAAGGAACTGAAAGTGAAAAACTATGAAGGATTCTTCTAACATTATTGCAGAAATCCAAATAGATAAAAATAGCCAGTTTATGGCACACAAATCCTCAAACAATCTTTAAAGGTTTTTACTTTGTCTCAAATGAGAACTCTGAATTCATATACCTGGATTGGTATTTCATTTCTTAAATGCAGCTGGCAGCATAAATGTTTACAAGAACCAGTTTTATACTTGACAGTGATATCACTACTGTGTGGGGTTTATGTGGCCTTTGGTTCAGAGTTATGAGTAACCAGGCAGTCAGACAAAAGCACATTTCAAAGCACTATCATGCTTATGCTGCTGGTCTCAGTCATATGTGGGCCAAATATTCATCCTGCTGACTGCAACAGCAAACCAATTTTCTCTTTTATTCTTTTTTTTCTGCTCTGTGAACATGAAGAGAGCTTAAAATTGTGCAGAGGCAATTGTCAGGTCAGGAGCCTTCCTATCCAGATACAGACTGAGACAGAACAACAAAAAGGGCTGGAAAAAGCTAGGAATGCTCAAAATGCTACAAATTGGGAAGTCCTTACTTCACAATTAGCTCAGGATTAGTTCAACAACCTCTTTGAAATCTCTTCTGCTAGGAAGCACTGACAACACCAACCCAAGGATCTGTGCAAACTAGAATCTCTCAACTAACCTCCCAAAAACTCTGTTTCTTGGTCTTTAAAAATTCCCAGATTTAAACAGCTCAAAATCACAACATTCATTTTCTTTCCAGCAAGTTCTGGAAAGTTCTCTGCTTAAGCAGGGATGTAGACAGATTAAAGAGAGTGGACAAATTAAAGAAAGAAGGGAGGAATAAAGTTTGTTTGTTATTTCTGAAAGCAGGGAATGAGACATAACATGTAAAGGAACAGAGAGCAAGGTGGGAAAACTCTGTGGAGAATATGATTGAAGAAGGGAGGAATAAAGGTCTGTTTGTTATTTCTGAAAGCAGGGAATGAGATATAACATGTAAGGAACAGAGAGCAAGGTGGGAAAACTGTGGAGAATATGATTATAATTAGATGTGGTGTTTTTCTTAACTATCTGCATGGTTCTCTGTGACCAAACTCTAGCCAGAGCCATGGATAAAAATCTTACTTATTCTCTCCTCTTGGAGCTTGAATGGGAGGTAGTTTGAGTCAAATCTGGTGTGATATTCCCATCAGCCTGTGGCACTCCAGCTACACACATCCGTGGTGAGCCCTTGTCTTGACCTCTCCTAACTAAGCTTTGGATGACAAATGCCCTTTAGGGATATATTCTGCTGCTGCACTTTACCATGACTGAGTCTCAGAATGTGCTAAATATTCCACAGGCAGCTGAATGTTACAGGATGCTGTCTGGACTGCTAAAATCACGTTGGGTGTACTGCTGTTCTCTGAATTAGTGGGAATGTATGTTTATAATGTACAGATTGTAAATTTCAATACAGTGTTTTGGTTGTCTTTACATATCTTTTTTAAAGTATTAATAAAAGTAAGTATTCTGTTTAACAGTACCTTCTATTTCCCATTGAAATTTTGATTTTTCTCTTGGAAACACTATGAAACCACAGAGGAAATGCTGGCTTCTGCCACAGTAACAGGTTTGGAGCTTTGTATTGCAGGCTAATGGAAAGCACTGTGTGTGAGGGAGACAGAATGGACAGAACAGTTCAGTGGGCTGGAAATGGAGAAATAATTCTTTCTTAAGAGGAACAAGTTCTTGCAATGCCAACTGACAGACTGTAAGTTCAGGATCAGGAGATACAAATATGCTGACTGAGGCTACCTGCTAATAAAAACAAAAAGGGGTTTTCATCCTTTCTCAATCTTTGCAGTTAAAAGTTCTAAACTTAATCTGGCTTGCAAGTCTGGATATTCTTATGGCACCAAGCTCCTCCAAAATATTGTTGTCAGAGAAGTGCCTTGTGTATAGAAACTGAATTCACTAGCTACCCTCTAAGAAGCTGTTGTGATCAAATCTCTATTCTAAAACAATCTTTTAGGATGAGAAAAATGCTGCTCTCTTTATGTCCATCTCTTTTTGTTGTCAAAGAAGCCTTGCTAAAATGCAAGTCAGTGCCAGTAACACTCTCCCCATCCTTTAAATGCATTAAGCTGAGCTGTTCTGAGAAATCAGGAATCTTAGTCTAAGATTCAGAATCTCCAAAGTGACTGACTCAGGGAAATTTGTATTGTTTTATTGTGCACTCTGTGCACTGTAGCAAATTTATTACAAACTCCTAGGTATTGCAGTAAGTACCAGTAGTGACAAACTGAACCATGTTAAAAAGGCTTATGTGGGACCTGACCAACTAGTGAAGGCACCTCTATGAACACTATGAATTAATAATTACAGAGGCAGCAGTAGCAAAATTCAGCCTTTACTGTGTTAGTACCAAATGGGCTTGACAAGTTTGTAAACTTGGTTATTCTTTCTACAGCACCTAAATGGGGATTTGTCTTCCCTAAATATATATATATATAAAAATGTGTTAGAATATTGTGCCCTAAGTGACTTTATTCCTGAATTGCTGTCCAATATATATATATATATATATAAAATGTGTTAGAATATTGTGCCCTGACTTTATTCCTGAATTGCTGTCCAGGGATTATGTGGAACAAAACACTTGTCAGTGTTTAATGGTCCTGAACTGCACCTGATGAAACCTATCTTGGAGCAATGCTGTTTGATTTAGTGTCAGTGCTTCCCCTCCTGCAGCAGCTGCTGAAAATTGCATTTGGAGCACAGAATTTTGGGATCTGGGAGCTCATTTCTACTGCCTAGGAACTAAAATGCAACACACTGGGAGTATCAGGATACACAAGTTTGTCATTGTTTCGGGGGGGATCTAAGCCATCACCCTCTTGTTCCCTCACACTGGCTGAAGAGACTCCTGACACAATCTGTGTGCAGCAGGGAGCCCACGCTGGGAGCAGATGCACACACAGACTGCAGAGGACAGACACCGTGCAGAGAGTGTCAGCAGAACTGTTTTCAGTTCTGCTTTATCCAAAATGTTCTTGATACATCAATTCAATTTAAAAATTGCACAGTTACAAAATCAGACTTTTCTAAAAAAGTATAATGACAATAAAACAAAACCAGTCTGATGCCTGCCCTAATACCATGTGGGTTACTCCCCCTCCCCCCCACACACGGTGCCAGATGTTTCAGTTCAGGTCTGATTTTTGTTTAAGCTGTTCATGAGAAGGATTTCCTACCTGCTGACCATCTCAGCAATCTGGAACTACTTGCAGGTACCTGCAGGAAAACTGGAATTTCCTTGAAAGCATATTTCAATTATTTTATTTTCAAACTGAAGAAGAACAATTTCAAAACAACTGCTTACTTTTTCATGGAAAAGGACAGTCTTTATTGTATTGCTTTCACATCTGTACATAGCAACGTGAGCTTAAACAATCTGCAAAGTATCCTGTGTTAAATAATGAATCCACCTGACTTATATAAAATTCACTCTCTGATCTATTTCAAAACTCTCATTTTAAATAAAATATCTTACTAGCACAGTTCTTGCCATTATACTCCCTGAACAGAACCTCCTTCAGTCACTCCTGCACATTTTCCCCTGAGAAAGCACTGCTTTTGAACTACTGGCTGGTAGAATTTTCAACATGTGATTGTAAAACTGGCTTAAGCTATATGTAGAGTGTGTCCATTTGGGTGACATGGTATTCATTCAAAAGTTTATCAAATCTGGGTAACAACTTGATTTTCTGTTACAATGGAACATAGCTTATCTTATTTTTTCATCTAGTCCATCCCAGAATTACCTATGGAAGCCCAGTATGGTGCATGAATCACTGCAGTAAGTGCACACACAAGAGGCAAAGACCGTGAAGAGAAGTCACAACTGACAAGGTCTGATGACAACTCTTCTTCTGGTTCTCTTGTCCTTATTTTCATCTCTACATTTCAGAGTACAGTTTCTTTCCAGGACTTGATCCATTAACCTGGTCATAATCCATTTCAGGCGTTTAATGAATCTGTTTAAAAGAAAACACATACATACAGTGACCCTCCATACCTAAAATGAACAGAAAAGTCACTGAGTATGTGACATACAGCACCATGTTGTTGACTTATTAGAAAAAAAAAATGTAAAAATCAAACCCTTATGTGACTATGGATAACAATTCTTTGAGAAGTAAAGACCTGCACAACCTTTCAGAAAAATCAATGCCACAGTTTCTGTTAATGTCAGAGCACACCAGTCCTTAGGAGTTTTAACAGAGCCATAAGATACCAGTGTGAGGGGTGTGAGAGTAAGCTGTGAACCACAGTGCACCACATCAATTCCTAGGGGATGTTCTTAAGAGTAAAAACAGCTGTGACACACAGTGGGATAACCTACTTTATCCAGATTTCATATCATTACACCTATTAATTAAAACTGATGTTTGAACTGGCTCATTATCTTGACTAGATACCATTCATTAGAGTGTTTTTATTGTTTGGATCATTGTGTTCGTTAAGTGTTGCCTACGTTTGATGTAGTCTCTGATTTTGGTCACTTTCTGTCCCACTTCAGTTGCATTGTTCCAACTATTTTGGATCCACTGGTAAGTAGTTACAGAACTACATAACATTTTGGGGTAAGCTCTTGGTCTTGCTGCCAAGAATAAATTACTGTTATATTGCTTTATCCCAGTTTATCTGATTTTCCTTGACTGACTCTGCTATTAGGAGGTGATTGTTTACAATCATCAGGGGTAAATAAAAGCTGAGAAGATTCCTTTAAGTAGAAGCAGAGCTGTGGATTACAAAAGTGCTGGGCACTAGTGACAGCATTCACCTGGTCTTGTGGTTTACAGATGGCCAATGAGTGTGGTGTGGAATGGTGCAGCTCTGAGAGGGGACTGGGCACGAGTCTGTGTTGAGGAGGAGCTGAGGTACAGAAAACCACGAGCAGGCGGTGCCTGCAGCTCAGGACATTTCTGTGTTGTGTCTGAATGGACAGCTCCTCCCTCCTTCCCCTTTCTGAGTCTGAATGAAGAATGAAATCTGATGTCACAGGTTCTGCAGGAGCTTGGATAGGCACAGCCACAGTGTCATTAACACAGGTCTTAAAGGAGGCCAAAAGGAAACAGGTTGACACAGGACAAGGGGAAAGGTTCTTTTATGGATTGAAAGCAGATTAAAAGATTGGAAGCAAAGAATAAAACTTGGTAGGAAGGAACTCAGTAGCAGAGTATACCAGGGACCAATTTTTATTCATCACCATTAGTGACTCAAAGAAGAGGATGAATAGAGAAATCCTCCAGACTGCAGAAAATAAGCTCTTTCAAATATTCAGATCATGCACTGATAGGAAGGAAATCCAGAGGGATTTCATAACACAGAGGGGGCAAAGGGTGGTGGGTTTGGAAAACATTTGCTAAAGGGCTGGGCAGCAACGTGCCATCCAACATCCTGCATTCTGCCTTGGACAGAACAGAGAGCAGCCTGCAGATTTTGGCCAGGGACATGAGCTCTGCCTGAGATGGAACACAGGGCTGTGAGATGGTGGTCTGACTCACCACAACACTTCCCATGGTCCTGTGTGCCACTTACTGCAGATACTAGGTCAGAAACAAGAAGCACTTTTGTGTCCAGTGAGGCATTTCTGTCAAATGTCTGTCAGCTACAGTAGCTGCTAACAGAACACATCTGCTCAAAATCCTTTCTCTCAAAATGAGGACATGAAAAGGGGGAACAGCAGCTCTACCAGGTTATTCACTTCATGTTTATCTGATTGCTTTCCAAGTGGAACTAAAACCTCAGCTACAGCAGACAGTACAGTGTGGTTGTTAGTATTCTGCACTGTAGATCAGATTCTAGGCTGACTTAAAAATAGCACAGCAAAACGTATTGGGCCTCCAAAGCAAAGGGTAAAGCTGTCTAATGGTACTTCCAAACACTGCTGTAGGGCTGCTAGTCCAAGACTGTGATTTGTTGTGGCAGATATTAAATGGGGTGTAAATTATACAATTGGCCAGGATATTCAATCCTGCCTTTCTAATTTTCAGATTAGAAATCTGTCCTTCAAATTTCATGAGAACCTATTTTTTAACAGAAAACTTCAAAAATTGCAGAAAACTGGAAAATCAAGAGGTAGGCAATATTTTAAAATATTTTTTAGATCTCAGAACTAGAACTTTCAACAGCCTGGAACATACCTGCAAGCACTGAACAGTATGGCTGTACTAGCATTAACAGCTCAGTCACAATATCTTTGTTAATTCTGCCCTTGAAGTTGCTGCTCCTCACAATGCAGGCTGGAGCAAGGGACACATGGTGCGACTGTTTCACATCCTGACACTGTCTGCTTTCTGTTTCCTCACTTTCTGCAGCAGTGTTTCAGCTCTCGTGGCCTACTTGGGCTCCACTGCCTGAGCAGCCCTTGGGTCTTTCTGACCCTGCAAAATAGAATCTAGCCTTGAGTCTGTGAGCCGACCTGGAGGTTCCCCAGCAATCCATCACTCAGTGCACATCATCATTTTCCATTATACCATCATCTCCCATACATGGCTCCTATTTGTCCTGGCCCTTTTCATCACATATATTAGACACATGCTTGTGTCTTCAGAGAGCATCATTCCAACAATTCAGCTATTTTTCCTTTCCTAAACTGTAGCTGAAGTAGTAAAATTCAGCTGTGAAAAGAAAGACAGTCAGACAGTCTCCCTGAGCAACTGGAAAGATTTATCCACTTGTGCATATTTAATTCTTTGGGATAGTTGTACTACTTATAAGGTAGGATCATTATGAGGGGCAAATGCAAAGAGTTAGAGACTAAATGTCTCTAAACATTATTTAGAACATTATTCTTTTCTTCTATTTTAGGATTTATAGTTATTAGCTGAACTATAGTGTCACTTTGTTCCTCCTCCAGAGGAAACAAACATGAAGAATTAAATTGGATTTGTTTCTTAATTCCTTTGACAGCTTAAAAGTAGTAACTGGCTATTAACCAATTAACCAGTAACCTCTTGAAGCAAGTTTATTACAGAAAGCTTGATTTTTATAGAAAAGAATGAAAAATTATTTAAAAAATTATCCTTTAAAGTTACTTGTGGCTGAGGCTTTTAACACATGCAATACTCAGGTGTAAATGATGTCTATCAAAAATTGAACATCTCTCTAATTTCTGTGCCTCATTTTAATTCACATTATTAACAGCACTGCTTGGAAAACTTTTTGAAAAATCTGCTTACTCTCTCGACATTATATAAATAAATGCTTTTGGTAGAAAATCATTTAGAACTGTCCATGGCTGTGGTTAATGAGTATGGACAGCTGAACAGTTAACCATGATTTTGTCTTCCTTCCATCTAGAATGGAATTCCTGTTAAGTATTTCTTTAAAGCAGAGCTCTCAGGTGAGTTTGAACATTAGACTTCTATTAATTTTAGTAACAGCTAAAAATTCAAAACATGGTTCTAAAAATCATAGCAAATGCTCTTAATCCTGTTGCTACTGTAACTCATAAAACAGCCAACTGCTGTGTATAATGGAGCCAACAAATCACCTTGGCAATCTCTACCAAAAGGGGAAAAATAGTGAAAAATGGCAAGGTAAATTAAGTAACAAACCACTCTGCTCTTATTTTTAATATTTAAAGTCTGAAAAGAAAGAAGTCAGGCAGTAGATTCTGATACATTTAAATGAATCCTGACAGTGCTAGTGACATCATTCCTCTGATCTGTCCTTTGCAGGACATCTCTGCTTCAGAACAGAGGCACAGGGGGTGGCTGTCTCACAGGCACTGAGCCTGCAGTTCTAATTGGCACTATATTGATGAGCTGGAGAGTTAAGCTGTGTTGGGGTTTTTTGATTCAGAATTTAGATGCTGGCATTCATTGGAAGTGCTGAGTCACAGGTTTTTGAGTGCTGGATTCTGCTCACTGAAGATTTTCATCACAATTCATCTTATGAAAAAATACAGGTAAAGCATGTACTGCAAGATTACATAAATTCAGTCTTCTTACTCAGTCAGTTTTCATTATTGATTACTTTTCCCATTTTCCTTCTGATAGGAGTACTTTCTGATGAATCACATCTGATTTTATGGAATTATTAGAATAGTCATATGACCTTATTCCAGGGGGCTTCAAATACATAGTAAATAACCTGGCACCCTCACGAAAACACTAGATGACACAAACAAGCCCAATTCTGTTCAGTTTACACAAATTAATTTCTTCATTTGAATAGGCCAGGAAACATTTTCCAACTGCTTACTGATCTGCCTGCCTTCAATCTCTGCCACCAATTTTGCTCAGAAACTTCAACATCATTTTACTTCTGTTGAGTTTATTCAAGTGAGGGGTTTGCTGCCAGAGAGCACAGAGCTGTTCTGATCCATGTGTTCTTTTATTTTTACATCTAAATTAGCCTCTCCACATAGTGCAGAAGGGCCTCCTGGGATGTGCCCCCTCTGTTTTCCTGTCACACATCACTCACGCAGGGTGAGAGGCACCGCTCTCCCAGGCACGGAGGACGCTGCAAGGTTTCAGCTCAGGATAATCACAGCTCTCTGGCTGCTCTCAGAAATCACTGGTGAGTCACATGAAGAACCCTGCTCTTTAATGCAAAGAGTGGGCCGACGTATTTTTCATCACTGCTGCCAAAACAGACCCATTCTTCCTGCAGTGTCTTGTGAATCCTCAGCACTTCTGGGTGAAGGGAACAGGGCGGGTGGGAAACCTTCCCAGGCCAGGAGGGCAGGGGTTAACACTCACACCAAACTCCGTCACTGCAGGCAAGGCACCACAAGAATCTAAATCTTCCCTTTCAGGGCCTTAGTGCTGCTCCCAAAGCAGAAAACACAGCTCCAAATTAGGGCCCTCTTCTGCCTGCTTTGCTACTACAGAACTGGCGAGGAGGAAAGGCACAGAGCAGTGGAGAAACCTGGAACAGGACATGAACTCAAATCCCTCATGGTGGAAACGCTGTGTCTTTGCCTGGTAGCTAAGTAATTATGCAATTTGTGGCCTGGTTGCTATGTCTGTAAGTATTATTAAATATATAAATAGATGAAACAGTAAATTTTTTGCTGCCTAAGAATTGATCAAACTTTTGGGATTTGTGATTTGATTCTCAGTGGAAACCACCATCTACCTTGACAGCTTCCAAATGAAAGATCAAGGCTGGAGCTGGCACCTGTGCAGAGCTCCATGAGCTCTTGGTGGGTAAAAATGGAGCCTTACTTCTGAGCTTTGAGAAAACCTCTGCATTTTGGTTTCTGCATGTGGACGATTTTATAGTTAGAATATCAAGAAGTTTCCAGAGCTGCTTATCTTATTAATAAGAAAGAAAATTTTAAGAAGCCAAATAATCTACACTGAATGTGCTCATATCAAATGGTATTTGTATAGCAGGCATTTTTTTCCCACTGAGGAAAATTGTGTCTGATGCTCTCCTTAGGTCTTACTGAAAACCAGACACAACTCATCAAGACAAATTCTAGACAGAAAAAAAAAAGTGATTTTTAAAAAAATATTTTTAATCCCTCTACTAAATAGCATTGGAACACTAAGATTTGGAGTTTAGGAAAAGGTTTTTTGGGAAAGAAAATCAATACAGTTTTTAGCAACAAAGATTTTGCTTGAATTCCCATTAATTTTTAGGAATTTCTTCCCTGGAATACAGAGCATGTGTATTATTTGTCCAGCTGAAAAAGGAGACAACCACAAAAGTAGTCAATGGTGTTTTGTGGGGAGGATTGTTCTGCTCCACATTTTCTATTCTAGCAGAAGTGATTCTCATCCAGTTCCTTGGGATGGACCACCAAGTGCTGGCATAGACACTTCCATTTGCAGTGACTATATGCAGTGAGATTTCTTCAGCAGCAACAAAATCTGTTCACTCCCTCTTAGGCTCCCACACGCCTTTGGCCAAGCCTTGTTCAGCTGTGTTTGTGCAATCAATGTTACTCCAACACCAAAAATGTCCAACTTTTCCTTCTAAATTACTGACCAAAATCAGCTAATATTGCTTTATACAGAATCTGACTGGAAGTATTCAGGAGATAACTTTAACCTATATGAAGGACAGAACTACAGGAAAGGTTTGTTTGGGTTTGTTAAATTAGAAGACTGCTTAAAATAGTTTAATATTAACTGGAATGTGTGTAGTGTGGTCACTGAGTTTATACTTGTAACCTTATAACTGAATTCCCTATTTCCACCATTTCAAACAAAAAAATAAATATGTCTTGAACTGGATTTCAGATTTACAGACAATATTTTGCTAAAAAAATCTGCTGGCAGATTTGCTAACACATTTTAATTTAAACTGTGAATGTTTTCATTAACATACATTTGGCACAGAAAGTCCTAGCTAGAAATAGTGATTTTTCTTCCCAAATGCATTTCAGAGTTTTAAAATGCTAAATCCTTACATTTCCAGAGTTTAAAAAAAAAAAAAAACAAGCAAAACCCTCGTGCTACAGTTAAAATGGTGAGCTGGGTAGTTTGTCATTATCCAAGAGAGTGGTTTTAAAGGACACAAACTAACATTTCTGGCTCGATGAAGGTCTCGGAATTGTAATAAACGTTAACCGGGATGCTCATTTCGATTCAGGGCTGCTTTCAGGACCGGATCAGCAGAGTTGCTGCCCGGCTGTACAGGCAGCCCCCCGAGCACAGCGGCAGCGGCCCGGAGGATGAGTCCCGGGGGAGAGGGTCGCTGTCCCCGCCGGCGCCGGGCGCTGCGGGGCGGGGGAAGCGCCGGGGGCGGCCCCGGCCCTTTGCCCTCAGGGCTCGCCCGGGCCGGGAGCTGCGTGCGGCGGAGCGCGCCCCGGGGCCGTGCCCGCTGTGCCCGGGCCGGGAGCTGCGGCGGAGCGCGCCCCGGGGCCGTGCCCGCCGTGCCCGGCCGGACACTGAGGCGTTACTTACTTCCCTGGCGAGCCCTCTGCGCCGCCGCGGGCCTGCCCGGCGGCAGCGGGTCCCGGCTGGCCCTCTGGCCCCCGCACCGGCGGGGCGGGTGTCGTTTGCAAGGGAAGGTGTTGCGCAGCAGCCGCGGCGGTGCCCGAGCCGCGGCCATGCGGGCACGCCGGGCCCCTGCCCCGGAGCTCAGCCGCTTCGGAGCGCCCTGGGGCGTCACTCCAAGTACCCGTCAAAGACATCCAGCTCGCTGTCCGTCTCGTAGAGCACGGAGCCAGGGTCGGAAAGCATCCCCAGATCCACCAGAGCCTGGTCCATATCCTCGGGCAGGAAAACGATGCCCACATTGAGGACGATGTACTCCATCAGGAAGGCATAGTACAGGATCAGCACATTGACAAAGAATAAACCCACGTAAAACATATAGGGCAGCACCAGCAGCGCATGGAAGGCCCAGGACTCCACCGAATCCAGACGTGCGGAGACCGCGGCGGTCATGCAGCCGTGGGGGCTGCGGGGGCAGCGGGCACCGACCCGCCCGGCCGGCGCGGGGGGGCGGGCGGCAGCGGAGCTGGGAGCGGGGCAGCACTGTGCGCCGCAGCCCCGGTGGCAGCAAAGGGCAGAATCTCTGAGGAGCCGGATCCGGACTCCGGGAAGAGGCGAGCCCCGCAGGGGCGCGGAGCGGCCGGCTCGGTCCCTTCAGTCCCGGAGGAAGAGGCGCCCCGGCGAGCGGGCGGGCGGCCAGCGCGGGTTCAGCGGCGCTGCCGCAGCCCCGCCGCTGGCAGGAGGCTGCTCAGCGGCATCTCCAGCCCGGCTACTGCAGTCCCGCCGCGGCTCCCTCCTCCTCCTCCTGCCGCCCGCAAACTTTGCGGAAGGAGTCCGCAGGCGCGTTGGGAGGCCGGCTCGGAGGACCTGCCAGCGAGCCCGGCCTGCGCGGCAGGACCGCGCTGCCCGCCCGGCCCGCGCCCCCGGCACTGGGGTCCCGCTGCGGCTGCAGGGGACAGGGGCCGCTCGCGCTGCGCCGCCTCGGCTGCGCGCTGCCGCCTGCCCGAGCTGTGCCGCAGCTGCGGAGCGGGGCAGCGCGGGGCTGTGCCCTCGCCCCTGGAGGTGTTCCACGCCCTCGGCTGTGACCGAGGCCCTCCTGGAGCAGCACTGCGGGCCCGGCACCCTCGGCTGCGGTGCGGGTGTTTCTCTGCTGACCAAGGCTTTACCCATACCAAAATGTAACCGAAGGCGGAATTTTAAACTCGGTGCTTTTTTTATACTGCCTGACAAACTCTTCAGCTTTTACCTAGATTTAGTTTATTTCTCTGGCTAAAGCAAAAACAAAAAAGTAATTAAAATCCAAAACTAGGTCAAGACAGTCAAGGGTCCCCTTCTCCTCGTTCTTCCTTAATTTTTAAACCGATTCAAAATCTTACTAGAACGTCAGCAAGGGGAATGCCAGCAGCTGAATTTCTGACGCTGCGTCTTGCAGCACAGGAGCTGAGCCCACAGAGCAGCTTCGGGTTGTGCAAGTCGAACAAGGAATGTCAGAGGCCAAATTCTACCTCAAATTACAACACATTTAGGACGTACGCTCTCGCGTTTAATGTGGTTTGGTTTTTTTCTGGTTCGGGTTCCGATTATTTTCATGTTGTTCTGAGCGAGCCGGCCCCAGAGCGCGCCCGGCGCAGGCCCCGCCCCCCGCCCGCGTGAGGGCTTGGCCCCGCCCCCCGCCGCGCATGCGCCGCGCGCCCCGGTTCCGCCGCCGAGGCTCCGGGCCGGTCCCCGCTCGCCGCTCGCCCCGCGGGGCTATGAGGCCGTAGGGCCCGCGGGCCGGAGCCGCCTTCCGCCGCCAGCATGTTCGGCCGCTCCCGCAGCTGGGTGGGCGGCGGGCACGGGAAGGCCTCCCGCAGCATCCACTCCTTGGACCACCTCAAGTGAGCGGGGGGCGGCGGTGAGGGCGGAGGGTGGCGGCGCCGTGAGGGGGCTCGGAGGGGCGCAGAGCTGCTCGGGGCGGGCTTCGGGGCAGCTTTCCGTCGGAGCCGGCTGCGGGGCCGGCCGAGGAGAGGGCGGCTGGGCGGAGGACGCTGCCCCGGCGCTCGCTGCCCTCGGCGGGGCGTTTTGCCGCAGCTCTCCCCAGGGAAAGCGCCCGGAGCAGCCCCCGCTGGCGGAGGCTCTGTGTCGGGTGTCTGCCTGACGGAAACCAGCTCATCCGTCCCAGGAGCTCTTCAGGGCAGGCGTAGCTCGTCATGTAATGTCACACGCCGGGCTGCCATACGTGTTTGTTTTGTTTTTAGTAATGCCACAGAGTCTTCGGTGGAGTAGAGTGCGAGGCGTGATAAATACAAGCAGTGCCACATTCCTCGTGAGGGAGAGCGCTGTTTGTTCCCGGGTGCGGGGGGCTGGTGCCGGGTGCGGGCGGGGACGGCCGCGGGCAGCGGTGACTCACGGCCGGGATGTGCCCGGCGCTGCGGGACGCAGCCGCTCCGCAGGGGGAGAGCTCTGCGCTTCAGAGCTGGGATGCGTTCGGAGCCCCACAGCCGCGTGTTACTGCTGGCTGCCCAAGGTGGAATAGTTTTTCCCTTGTTCTGCCACTGGAGAGTTGGAAGGGTGGCAAGGGATAAAAGATTTGATTTCCCTGTTGCATTTTAAGTGTTCCGCTATTGCAAGAAAAATGAGAACCACCTTGATAGCTTCTCTTTGGACTGAACGAGAAAAAGAGGTCATTGAGAGACGAAGCACTTTCTAAATGAAATCACTGTGACTCCGTAGCTCATTGAGAAAAAGTGCCTAGTAGTTTTCAGTCATCTGAAGAGGAGGGCATGAATGGGTTCTGACAGTAACGAGCAGAATGCCCTGTACAAGATTTGGATCTTGCAGTTGCTTTATCAAGATGATTTATGGATTCTGTTCCTTGTCTCTAAACTGGAAAAATGTTCAAAATGAGCACGACTGCCTGAAATGCAATGCTTTGTACTGAAGACACAGACCTCAAAAACTAATGAGGCAGTAGCATTGCAGAAATAATTTTGAAAGCATTGTAGGTCAGACTAGCAAGCCAATGTAATCTGGTTTTACAGGAAAAAGGGAAAAGTCATGCTCAAATGAAAATAATAGGAATGTTCTGTTGAACATACAAGGAGTAGTTATTGTGTACTGCTCAGCATTAGTGGAGCTTTAGCTCTGTCTGGCTTTGATACATGACTTGAAGATAGAGCAAGAATGCTGATGTGTGATGAAATTTGAAAAAACTTCGGGGAAAAAAAGAGCGAGACTTGAGACTTACTTTCACATTTCCGAAAAATGTGTCCGTATGATCTGTTGGGGCCACAGAGAATAGAAAAATAACACCCAACTCATTTGTAGCAATGGGTAATGGGCTGTAAGTGTTGTGGCTTGTTATCAGAGAGTTGATGTATTTATCTACTGAAGTACAAGCTGGGGCTGTAAGTGTTGTGGCTTGTTATCAGAGAGTTGAAGTATGTATTTATCTACTGAAGTACAAGCTTTGGTGTGTTTGCTTTTTTGCATGTGATTTCTGTAATTATGAATCTGAAATGGTCGTATGTAAAGGACAGATGAGATCTTTGATCTGTTTCTATGTATATTTCAAGTGTTTGTTTATCCAGGCTGTGTGAATTTCACCTTCTAGCTAGATGCCAACAGGAAAGGTGAAATTTAGGTCTTTTCCAAGTGTTGAAGTGGGTAAAGTAACAAAAGGGAAAAGGTCAGTGAGCCTTTGTTTTGGGGTCATGCAAGAAAGTCTCAGTAAGCTCACTTGATGGGCGGTTTACCTTCTCATCTTTTCAACTCATCAAAGCCCCCTTTTGTGTTCCATATGAAGAAGCTGAGTTCAAGACACCTGCCTTGCCATTACAGGTTAGCTCAGCCTGTAAAAGGTATATTATGCTGTGTTACAGGGGTGAAATCAGTCTGGGTTAGCCTTGTGGGAACATTTTTATTTTTAAACTTGCATAAGGTAGAGTTTAGTCTAAATTGTAAACAATCCACATGCTCAGTGATACCAGCAGCATTACTGCTTTTTGTCTGTAAATGCTGGCTCTTTCTCATCAGCTTTAATGTAGTTTGTTTGAGGTTTGCTTTTGAAATTTTGATATTCAGTCTTCCTGCAAACATGCCAGAGAATGGATTGGCTGAAGGAAAATTGTGAGACTTTTTATTAGGTGTTTATAATCTAGTGAAAACAGTTAAAATTTAATCCAGTTCTGCAATGTGACCTAGAGAAGGATGACACAGTGCTACTCCCTGCCTGGGTATTTCTCAGAGATCTTGATCTTTTTGTGTGTCTTTGTTTCTAAGTCAGACTTTTCCCCCCCTATTTTTCTATGGTATTTTACACAGCCCTGTTGTTACTGTCCTGCACATTTCCCATGGTTGCTTCTGTGCTTGGTATTTGAATTGCATTGTGATTGCACAAAAGGTTCCATGCCATTAAAATGGGGTGCTGAACATTTCCCATGCCTTGGTCACATGCAGTGTCCATAAAGGTGTGCTTGAAGGCTTTTCTCGGGGCTGATTCATTTCCTGAGGCACTGGCAGGGCCATGCAGCAGGTTTCCTCTGTGAGAACAGTATGCAATTACCTGATTACAGGCAGTGTGGAGGAGCAAGCCTGTTATGGTCAGGTCTGGCCTTTTAAAATTTGAGTGCTTGACTTCTTAAACTCTTACCTACTTTAGTGTATTTTTGTTAGTAATAAGTAGGAAAGTCATTATTATGCACTGACAATGTTCATGAGTTACTATGTTACCCCTTTGAGCATGGGTTCTAACCAGAAAAATGTTCAAAATTTTGTTTGGTTTGTTAAGGTGCTGGCAACATCTCCCACTGATTCTGATGGTACTGAGTGCTTTGGCACTTCCTGCATGATGTGGTTTTGTTTAACCCAGTCTTCAGATATAGAGATGACAAAAGTCTCCTCTTTGATAGTTTCATGTTTTGGAGCACAAATCTGATCCCTCTGTAATCAGCATTTAGACTCAGCCCTTAAGGATTTATCTAAATACAAAAATATTAAGTTTGTGTGATATATCATGTTCTCATAATATGGTATTTCATGTGTCTGTAAAGAAAAGCAAGTATGTGCATGCTTCCTTGTGCATTTTCCAGCAAATAGGATAAATAAAAAATGAAATAAAAAGGAATAGCTTGAAGCTGTAGCTCAGGTTTCCTCTAAGTGCATCAGTGCCTTAACAGATGAAGGAATTTTGCAGTAATGCTGCTACTAAGTAAATAAATTTGGAGATAATGTATTCCTGATTGTTAAATGCTTCTTGCTTTGTGTGCTTGTAATACTTATGTTCCATAAGCTCCCAAAATGAAATAATAGATTGTTATTCTTCCCACTGCATCCCATACCCAAAATTCTACTGCTGGAGTAAACTTGAATCCCAAGTTTGTATATTGTAACTTATTAATGAGAAATACATGTTCACAGATGCAATAATTTCTCTGTGACTTCAAATTAATAGTCTAAAATATGTGAAGTAATACAGTATTAATTACTAACTGTTTCAGGAAGTTGTTAAAATTATTGTGGAATGAACTGATCTAATTGCCATCTCTTCAGATGTTCCGTGCTCCATTAATGGCTGCATCCTCAGAGCAGGGACTGACTCTGTGCTCTGTCTTTTGATTCACTGTCCTGATGATTAAGTGCCCTAATGGGAAGTTTTTTCGTGTGGTGTTTTAGAAACCCCAGGAATTCTCACAGGTGGTCAGCCTTAAGCTCTCCCATCTTTCCTGTGAGCCATCCCACTGTCAGTCCCACAGACGGAATCTTGACCTGTGATCCTCAGATTAGTGGAAGAGGATTTCCAGGAGCTCTCTGCCTTGCTTGTAATGACTATTGTGGTACAGCAGTGACCAGGTAGTTGTGACTGTAGGACACAGCTGAGAATCAACTTTTCCTGGAGTGGTTTCAATGTGATCAGTGACTGGTTTGGCTTTGAAAATGAATGTTGATTTAAGAGTGAGAGGAGGAAACACCATGAAGAGGGAGAGAATTTTTTTACTGAAGAGAAAGATTAAGAAAAAACAATTCCCCCTCCACTTCTCCCCCCCCCAACCACCTATTCCCTTTTTCCTCCTTTTGGCTGCCTGGTGATAGATATGTGTGATAATGGCTTTGGTAATGTGGTGCAGCTTTGTCACATTGCTGATTAGGGGCGTCAGGGAAGGCAGCATGTGGTTTCAAGTTGGTGAGAGCTGTAAGCTTCGGAGGGCTGTTTACCTCTTGTGTCCTTGTGCAGTGCTCAACACAGCAGAATTGTAATATCAAGAACAGGAAGCACAGAGTGTTTTGCCATCAGCTTCTCTGAAATTGCACCTGTTCCCTGCATGGCTTGTGAGGACAGACTGCTGCAAGTCCTGGGAAACTCTGCCCAACTCAGTGGCAGCTCAGCAGTTGAAGAAGGCTCCCAAAACTGAATTTGACAGATTTTGAATAAATTGTAGATATGATTAAAGTTCTTGTGTGTTTGTGAGAGGTATTTTGAGTTCAAGCAAAAGGTTCTGAAACTAGGTGATGTCTTGTCTTGTCTTTGTAAGTCTGATAACTGTTTGGAACAGCCTCACATGAGTATTCAGTTAAATGGCATTTTAATCTCTGGCTGCATGCTTGCCCAGGGCAGTGATTCCATTTTTTAGAGTTGATAAAATTGATGGGAATCCTGTTTTTTGAAATGTGATTTCAAGTCTGTTTTTTGGCCTAAACATCTTACTTTAAGCCATAAACCAGACACCCCAAAATTTTTTTTTAGAAATGCACTGTTTTTTGGAACCTTACAGAAGCTTGGCAAAATTCTGTTAATGAGATTCCTAAAATTTTAGTCTGAATCACTGAACAAACTCTCATGGAATCCAAAACAATAATGAAGGCTGCCCCAGGGTCAGGACACAGGCTATTTTCACAGAATTAGATCCTGGAAGTTTGATTAACTCCACTATTTATGGCAAGATTAATAATATGGGAAATCTGTCATCCTTTCCAAACACTTGTGAGTATTTGCACAGAAATGCTGAGGTGTTGCATAATAACATAGGAGCTGTGTTTAGGAATCTAAACTTGTGCAGTTCTGCAATGACATGAAATTTCCCTCTCTTTTAAAATTTATTTTCAAAAACTGTGCACCTTTCTTATATTTACCCTTTTTTTAAAATCACTATATAAAAGAAAAAAAAAGAGGGAGAAAAGCAGTGGTGGTTTTTGTGCTTTTGTTAGAATTTCTGAGACTTAAAACCCAAAGGGCTTGCATTCTCTGTAGCTTCCTCTCACCTGTGGTATAGACATACCCTTTTTTAAACTTCACCAGACAGTCTGAAACTCTTGCCCTTTGAAATGACAAAGCTGGATTTTACCCCCTTTCCAATCAGTGTTTCTGGGAAATACGGATTTCTGGGAGTGCTCAAAGGACCAGAAACCTGATGAAGCTTTGCCAAGGTGAATGAATAGTCTTTAAGAGTCCTGATATTAAACATCAAAATTGATGTGAGTCTGTGAGGGGGCTCTGCAGGCAAGAGAGGGGATTGAACTCATGTGCCACTCAAGAGAAGGGTTGGACCTCATTGCCACTTTTCCATATCAGCTCCTGCATGCTTATCTGCTTCTTCTGTTTCTATTTCTCTTGCTCATCACTGCTTTGACTTCAACATGTTCCAAAGAAATTCTCAGAAGAAGCACCTTGGGACCAGTTGCACAGTTTCTAGTTCTATGTTAACATATGCATAAGCACTCATAACTCACCTGCCTGGGGGATATTTGTTTCCTTTGTCACTCTGTTTAACAATTATTTTTCTCTCTGCATCAGTGTTAGAAGGAAATTTTAGGGTTTTAAAATTGTACAACTATTAGACTTAGTGTGTGCATATATGTGTGTCTGCATTAGGACAGTGATGAAAGACAAACCTGGTGCATGTGACAGTGGCAGGATAGCACATCACTTGTACTTCTTTTCTCTTTTAGGTACATGTATCATATTTTGAGTAAAAATACAGTAGTAACAGACCACAACCGCAACCTGCTGGTGGAGACCATTCGTTCCATAACGGAGATCCTGATCTGGGGGGACCAGAATGACAGCTCAGTGTTTGAGTGAGTACTCCTGAGCCAATTCTCTCTGAGACTCTGCTTTTGTGTTTGAAGAATGCTTGGAGTTGTACAGAGTTCTGTACACTGTTACTGTTAACTCCTCTAAGATGTATTTCATATTCATGTCATGCAGGAATTTGCTGCTTCTAAAAAGTGTTTGGATTCCAGAGCCCCTTTCACGTACTGCTTTTGTTTGACTCTCCATTCTTTTGATATAAATATGAACTCTAGCCTATTTTAGGGTCCAGATTTACTCAGTACGTCTGTACCTAAGATACTACAAGTTCTAGCTGTGGTATTTAGAGCTGCCTGATAAACTGAATATACTAAAAATACAGTAAGAAAGGCCCTGATTACTTGATACCCTTTTTTTTCCTGCATAATTTGAATTTTTAAGCCTTCCTGTTTAGTATTTAAGGTTTTTTCAAAGATATTATTTTGTTATACAGATGCAACTTTGCAAAGTAATTCTTCATAAAAGCAAAACATGCTGTTTGTCAAAGCTGCCTTGAATCATCCCTGCTCCTAGCCAAATTATGTTCCTGTTACTTACAGCATGTGACTTAATGACACCTTTATTTTATTTCAGCTTTTTCTTGGAGAAGAATATGTTTGAGTTCTTCCTGAACATCCTGCGGCAGAAGTCAGGTCGTTATGTGTGTGTGCAGCTGCTGCAGACTCTGAACATCCTTTTTGAGAACATCAGCCATGAAACATCCCTGTGTAAGGACACACTTCCAAACTGCTTAGGATGAAGTGATCTAGATTTGATTGGATTCCCTTTCATTCAATGAAATTTAGTCCTAGTACCCCTGGACAGAACTATATGAATTACTAACAGTCTTTTAAATTGAACACTACCAAAAATATGGTATAAACTGATTTCACAATACCTTTGAATGTAAATTTTCGGTGGTTTTTTGGTACAACAAGAATTTAGCACATTTCAAGGGATTCCTTAAGTCAAATTATTTGTGATCTGAAATGTTCACTTGCTGCCAGAGGTCATGTGATGAAACTCAGGTGTGTAATTTGTGCTGTAACTGTTCTGACATCATTGGTGCTGGCAGTCAGCCACAGGAGGTTCCTTCAGGGTTTTTGGCAAAATACATCGAGGATGGAGAATTAATAATTTGAAATACTCCACAACTGTTATGAAAGTCATCATCAAGCCTTGGAGAGTTAAGTGTGATTAGCTGCAGAGCCTACCTGAATTGAGGAAGATAATGTATATTCTCAGTGTTCTTGTTCTTGGTAGCAAAGACCTTTCTAGGGAGTAGATCCTTTATATTAATGCTCAAAGGCATCATTTGAGCTGTTTGGCTCAAAATTGTGATCTTCAAGCATCAGGTTGTTGCTTTCTAGCTGTCACTTTAAATAGCAGCCTCTTACCACAGCGATTTTTTTTGTTAACCTGTGTAAATAATTTTTTTTTCAGACTACCTGCTCTCTAATAACCATGTGAATTCTATTATTGTCCACAAATTTGACTTTTCTGATGAGGAGATCATGGCATATTACATATCATTTTTGAAAACTCTTTCCCTGAAACTCAATAATCACACTGTACATTTCTTTTATAATGAGGTAAGTAAAGAAAGTTGCAGTATAATGATAAGAGGACTTGAATTAGAAATTGATAGGAGTATGGCACATACTCTGTTTAGTCTCTTGTCTCATAATGTCTTGCTTTTATTTTTATAATGGCCATACCAGTGGTTGTGAATTTGTTTGTGAGGATCTCTGCACAAGCATGGCTTTGTCCTCTTACAACTATGATAAACTAAAAATCTGGAAGTTAGTGTTCTGTTGGATAATTTCAGTAGTTTTAAAGTCTGCTTCCTTGAGAGTTCAACTTGTTTATGCTTTGTTTTCTTGTGCTTTCATAAACAGGATCTTTTCTATTGCATCACTTGGTTCTAAGAGGTTTAGTCCAAGTCCAAAAAGCTGAGTCAAAGGGCAAAGTTGAACTGGGTTTTTCCTCTGCACTCTGCTTTCTGCCAGAAGAGGGCATGAAAGCACTGGCTATGTGTGCAGTTATCCTGGGAAGCTCTGGTGCTTAAAACCGCTCGTTTTAATGCAGAGCTACAAAGGCAGCTGAATGGACATTGTAAAATCATTTTGATTACTTAAGTAGAAGGTAAAGATACCAGGTTAATATAGGGAAAACATAATTTATACAGAATCCCAACCCCTCTTCTTTACATGTTCAATGAATAAATATTTTCTTTCCTCTTGTTACAGCACACTAACGACTTTGCTTTGTACACTGAAGCTATTAAATTTTTTAACCACCCCGAAAGCATGGTCAGGATTGCTGTTAGGACTATAACTTTAAATGTCTACAAAGGTACGCTTTTTATATATTAAAAAAGGTATGTGTAGAAATCTTGTTTCATTGTAGTGTAATTCTGACTTATTTATTTGTGAGGGTTTTCTTCTTTTTTGTGAGACTGAAAAGCTTAGCATGTTGACAAGTTTCACTTACGCATTTTTTACTTTTGTGACAGCTATCCCAAACCTGCAGTAGGTACTTGTAAATAAATAGCATTTTCTCACCAATGAAACTGGTTGAAAGAAAAACCCCAAAAGTGTCAGGCATACACGAGGAACTTTAGCTTCCCTTCCAAGAGAGGTCAGAATGTGACTGTATTTAAAAAGTAAACAAACAACAACCCCAAAACCAGAGTGTTTTAAGAATGAATTATCTTTTACTCATGAGATTGAGCTTTCTAGTGTATGAAGCAGTAACCAACATCACTGCCTTTTGGACTGGAAGTGCATTACAATGACTGGAGAACTGTTAGGTGCTGCAGTCACTCCAGTCTCAAGAGGAGCTGGACCATTACCAGGGGTGCTCAGTGAAGGCTGCAGTCTCAAACTCCTCTGCTGGGCATTCCAGTAGGACATAAAGAAGAAACCTAAAGTTTCACTGTTAGAGTAGTTGAGCAATGCAAGGAGTTTTTCAGAGAAACTGAGGCATCTCTATTGCTGGAGGTCTTCAAAACTCAGCAGGGACCTCAGCAACCTGGTTGAACTTTGAAGTTAGCACTACTTTATGTCTACTCTAAACCCAATGTCCAAAAGTCACTTCCCCCTAAATTTTTCTTGGGATATTTAAGATTTTTAATAAACTATTCACAGTGTTCTCTGTAAAAAATTGTTTATTCTGAACTTCTACCTCTAAAATCAGCATGCTATAAAGTAATATGTATTATGCAATATGTTCATGCAGGATCTCTTGTTCTTTAGTCCATTTTAAGTTAAATTAAGTGTTGAATTTACACAACTTTGTCAATTAAGAGAAGTGGTTTGACAGTCTTCATAGAAGCATATGAGGTCTTTTTTAAAACAGTGAGCTGTTTGCTTTGCAAGTGACTGGAGAGCCTGCATAGCAAATAGGGTCTTTACAGTGTTGGCTGCAACACTTTTTCTAGTATGAGAAATGGGCACTTGGTACTTGCCTTCTACTTCAAGCAACTGTAAATGCAAACATGAGCCCACACAAAAGAGCAGATTATAGGCTTCATATCCTATTTGTGATATGTTTATGCAACTAAGTTTTTTTATTTTTAAAAGATTACTTTTCTAGAATTTTCATTGACTGTTGTAGTGATATAGAGTTGAAAAGGCAGAGCTCAGATGTTCAGGATTGATATTTTTGACTACCTGTTTGCATATATTCTGCTCTAACTGCTTCCCCATATGTTTTAGTTTAGATGCTTTGTGTTTTAGCATTTTAAACCCTTTTAGAGGATGTCACTATCCCAGTTCCTAATCCTGTTAACTGTTGTCTGTTTCTTTTGCCCTTCCTTCACTGATGATTCCTGTGTTCCTTAATGCAGTGTCATGTAAGTCTAACTAGCTTGACTCTCAGCATTACTGCTTTATTCTTGCGCTTCTCTCTTCTTTTTAATAAATAATGTGCTAAAAGAACCTTGCTGAATTCCACTAGATTTGTTTATTTTCAGACATCTGTAAATATATCAACATTAGGCTCATTCAAGACAGATAAGAATTGATGTGACATTTTTATAGATTTCCATTTCATGCTTAAGATTGTGTCAGGTATATACTCATATGGAAAACCAGCATGTAATCAAATTCAGAAGATATTTTATTGTATTTCTTAAAAAAAACAATAAAAAATATTGGCAACTGATTTTTCTTTTGAATGATTTCTCTTCAGTGGACAACCAGCCTATGCTGCATTACATTCGAGATAAAACTGCAGTTCCTTATTTCTCCAACCTCGTCTGGTTTATTGGCAGCCACGTGATAGAGCTGGATAACTGCGTGCAGACTGATGAAGAGTAAGCTTTTACAAATGCTGCCTATTGAATGCAAATGCTTTTCCCAGATGTCAATGGTGTCCTTTTTTGGTCTATAGTAGTCCAGTTAAGTTAGTTTCTTGATATGTTCCCATGTAGACAGTCCTGACTTTTCACTCTTTAAAGTTTTTTAGTTGATTCTTTAAGGTAACAGTGCTGTGTGTCTGATCTGTCCTGATATCCCTACAAGTAAATTTAGTGTTTGCAACAAGTCTTTTCTTTATCTTTCTTTTGTTCTGCTAGAAATAGCAGATATCCAGAAGACACAACAGGTATTTTGTGCTTCTCAGTCTTATAAACGTTGTCTTTCTAGCATTGTTTTTCTATGTGTCATCTCATTCGAAGAGCTTTCTGAAAAGATTCTAGGAAAAAGATTTAAACTAGAAAGATTAACTTGATTGTGAGTTGTCAGACCTGACATGACAGTGTAACATTCCACTGTCAACTACAGAAATACTTTGTTGATTCAGGTTGTTCTTGGTTTGTCTTGCCACCCCCACCTGAGAGTGGCCATGTGTTTCTTGCTTTCCTAAAGTGAAGAGGTAGGTGTTAAATACAACACCTAATTCTTCTTTCATTTTTGGAAAAAAAAATCTTCTCATTTTTGTAGTTGACTTGTGAAAAGACTGGCAATGGAAGCAAAGCTTTGTAAAAACATGTCTTGTGAAAACTTGGGAAAAAAACTGGGCATGTGCATCCTAAAGAAAATACAGACAACTGTTTAACAGTTGCATTGGTTAACTTCACTGAAATATCTGCTTTGGGCAGTCTACCTGAGCCAGGTGATCTGTGGCAGGGATGTATGTTAATTTTTTCCCTAAGCATTTAAGATTTGCACAATTGATCACATAAAATTTTTTATTTCTGCTCTCTTTTCAGGCACAGAAATAGGGGCAAACTGAGTGACCTGGTAGCAGAACATCTTGATCATTTGCATTACCTGAATGATATCCTTATCATTAACTGTGAATTTTTAAATGATGTGCTGACAGACCACCTACTTAATAGGCTCTTTCTTCCCCTCTACGTGTATTCATTAGTAAATCAAGACAAGGTGAGCTAATACCTGCAAACAGCTAATTCTCAAAGGTGCTGCTTGCTTTCAGTGTGCAAAGTGATTTGGGCAGTAGGTGTATGATGTGTGGTTTACATAAAACACCTTAAATAAGGTGGCTGTAGAGGAAATAGCCTGAAATGGAATTCAAGAGCACAGCAGATCAAATTTTATTCACCAAAGAAATGCTGGTTTGGGTGACATGGTGGTTAAAAGCTCACAGTAGTGGAGACCAAGAAGAACTGCAAATTTGGAACAGGGTTTAAATTTCTGTGACACTGGGAGATGTGTGATTTCCTTTTCTGATAAGCTAACTTGTTTTCTGGCAAAAGCAGAAAAAGCAAATCTGCCATGTTCTAAAAATCTGTCCAGGTAGAAAATACAGATTTTTGGGTTTGATACTCATTTCTTCTATTTGCAGAGAAGCTGTGTTTTAACATGATGTAGCTGAATTTATTTTTAAAGCATAGCCTTTAAATTAAGTGGTGGTTTCACACAAACAGGTTTTTAGTGAAATAGAAACTGTTTTTTTAAACCTGCACAGGGTCCTGCATTCAGTTCTCTGTTATGGGTAATATTTCATTCTATCTGAATAGCTAATTTTCAGAGCAGTCTTTAATGAATGTTAAGTGAGAAGAATTTTTGCAATGAATAGTAGCATAGTGAAAATGAGTGTACTTCTCAGATGTTCACCTGTTTTAAGTTACTGAAGTGATCATGAGAGACAGTAACTAATTGCAATTTTTTTAACCAAGGAAGAGTGAGGGATATGCTTATTTGGAGAGTCTCCATTTCAAATAATTTACAAGTAGTGAATGTTAAAGATAAAGAGCTTGATGCTTTCTGAATACTTTGTAGCAGAATGTGGAACAAGTTTCATTTTAAATAAAACATTAAGCCATATAAATTCTTTGTATAAATAAGTAAGCATTTTTCATAACTTTTTCTGTAGGGTGGAGAGCGTCCAAAAATAAGTCTCCAGGTTTCCCTCTATCTTCTTTCTCAAGTAAGTATTTTAAGTATTTGTCCTGTTTCAGAACAAATTTTGCAGTACTCTTGTGATTATAAAATAGTGTATTTTCATCATTTTGGGAAAACCATCAAAGAAAATTCATCAAAACAAATTTCTAACTTTTCAGTTTCCATTGAGAAAAATGAAGTAAAACATTTTTTGCAAACAAAGTAGCTTCTTATTTGAGTTAATGTCATTTTTCTGTGGATCCCATTGCACAGGGTGACCTTTAGAGCATTTCAAATTGTGTACACCCCCTGATAAATAAAGTGTAATAGACTTGCAACATGCTGGGTCAGAACTTGGTACAATGGCAGATGAAATGTACCTAGATGCTATATTGCATTTTGAATCTGCTTGAGCTATGGAAAATCTCAGGTTTGAATTTTCCTCTTTGAAAACCCAAACCCCAAAAACCACCACTACCAAAATCTCACTTTCTCACAATATGAATTTCATTATGCCTATAGCTTAAATCTGTAATTTAGTACTTATGTCTTGCTTCTATCAGTTCCACCTCCTTTTCCTTCTGGAACTTATTTTCAAATTAAGAGTTTTACAGTAGATTTTATTGTGTTGTAGAGAAAATTCATCTGTTCTCCCTGTAGTCTTCAGTGCATTTCTGAGAGACTATTTTTTTTTTAATTACATTGTCTGAAAAGAGTTTTGACATGTGTTCATAGAATTTATACTTCTTTTTCTTTGATCTTAGAATTTTTCAATACTCATTGTGATCTGGCCCATAATTTCATCTTTTTTGCTGGAAGTATGGGGTTGGGTATTGTCTGAAAAGAGTTTTGACATGTGTTCATAGAATTTATACTTCTTTTTCTTTGATCTTAGAATTTTTCAATACTCATTGTGATCAGGCCCATAATTTCATCTTTTTTGTTGGAAGTATGGGGTTGGGTTTTTTTTTCCTAGAAGAATATACTTTGATGCTCCTTAATTTAAACCTAAAATATTGTGGTGGTGTGAGGGTTATTTACCACAGATAAAACTGTGGGAGCAACAGCTTCTTGGAACCAAAGGGATCTGCATCATACAGTTGTGTAAGGTGATCTCTTTTAAAGTCTTTGCTTTCAGTGGAAGTATTGACAAGGTATCACTTCAGGATTTTTATCTATGTTCTTCATTCTCTTTAAAGAAGAAAATGGAAGTAGTCATAAAGAACTGAGAACATATTTTGTGTATCAGAAGGGGATGTGGTATAGAAAATGAAGCGACTGTTTCTGTGACTGGCAGAACATCTTCTCCCATCTCTTTTAACCTGGAGTTTGTCTGTGGTGGGGTGGGATCTGCCAAACCTTGCTGACTGTTTCTGTTCCTGACACCAGGCATCTGCTCTAGGCACTGCTCTTATATTAGACACAAGTGCTTGAGAGACTCATGCCAGCACCTGAAAATGCACTGCTGGGATTTCTCAGCCGCTCTGACAAAGGGAACATGTGCTGTTCTTGCACCAGATCAGGCCTGTGGACAGTCAAGCAACACTTGCTGAATTGGCAGAAGCTGGAGTGATTTGGAGGTTGTTCAAAGCACTTTTGAAGTGTGTTGTGACTTTAAACTTTAATGTAGATCACCACTACATGCTAATAATCACTTCCCTTTTGGAGGTCTGGAATGCTTCTGACTTTAATCAGAAAACCTGTGGAGAACATTTAGCTAAATATTTTCAAAGCTGTGATTAGGTTTAATGACTTAGGAATTATTTGGGAATTTTACAGCTAGAACCACTGATAAGGGATCTAGCCTTGATATTCCTCTGAAGGGAATGGATATAAGCTGACAGAAGGCTATTGCAGCTGGACCTGAGCTGGTTCTGTCCAGGAGCCAGTTGTTTGCTGGCCCAGACTTGTAAGCCTTGGCTCAAAATAGAGTAGTCAGTGTAAACATAGAATTCTGGTAAAGCACCAAAGCACTTGTGGTGAAATGCTTCAATGCTCCAGGCACTATGGCCCTTACTCCTGTGTTCTGTAGCCATTGTGTAGCTCACACTGATTTGCTGCAATTGCAGAGCCAGGAAAGCTGCTTCTGATCCAGCTCAGCCTAGTGCACAGCCTTTAGTCATGAATCCCTGCACAGTGGTTGTGTGCACAGACCTTTCTGGAGTCTGGCCACTTGCTGGCACACAGGAAGGTCTGGGCATGCTGTGCATCATAATCAGTTTGTTGATTCTAAAAAAAAATAATTTCTGGAATGGTTTTAATGAGTTCCTTGCTAGAATATCACGTGACTTTCCTTTCAAAGGTGTTGAAGAAAGAGAATTTACACTTCTCAGAAGGAGGAAAGAATATGAAGAATTAGTAAAATCAGATAGCTTCAAAGGTAGAGAGGTCAGATACCCTTGTCTCCTTTGTTTTAAAGTCGATTTTATGAGCTCTCTGTTACCAGTTGTACTTATAAGTAAACTAAAGATAGCACTTAACAAGGTCAAAAGTATGTTCAGCTAGTGAAATTGTGAAACTGTGTATTCTATAAATATGTCTGATTGTTTTCTCTGCTCTTCTTTCAATAGGTTTTTCTGATTATACATTATGCTCCTTTGGTGAACTCGTTGGCTGAGGTTATACTCAATGGGGACCTCTCAGTGTTTTCTTCTAAGATTGAGCAAGATATACAGAAAAACTCAGTAAGTGGCCAACTGTTTGTAAATTATTTTTTTTTAAGGCAAGGAAGATTTTTGAAAAATAAAAGCAGGTGTCTGGAAACTGATAAGCCAAGGTGTTTATGTTTAGGAGTGACAGCAGCAGCAGACTTTGTTGGTGGACCATAATTTTGATGGGACACTTCTGTAATCCAATCTTCTGTGTTCAGTTTTTATCTGCCCTTTGGTAGTGAAATAAAAATGATTCAGCACAACTTTCCTGTGAAATTTTCTTGTGCAACTTGTAGTACAAATGAGAGACTTAAAAAAATTCCAGGCTTAACATTTTCGTCTGAATATTCCCAATGTTTTAGCAGTAAAACTGATCATCTCTGAAAGTTGTGCATCAGTGAGCATGTGAGAAGAGAGAGCAGCCACAGAGAGAGGGGAGAGTGGCTGTCTACCTTCACATTTAACCATGGGTAGATGTTGCTAGATGCTGATGCTGTTGTTACTGGTTTTGTAGGTGTCATGTTTTTAATATTTTCCCTTTTGTTGTGGCTTTCACAGTTTGTGTAATGCTTGCCTGCTACCTTTTAAAGGCCTATTTTGGGGATGGTAACAGGTAGGGGGGCATGACCTTACTGTAACAGGCCTCTGGCTGTAGTTCTGCCTAAAAATTGAGCATGACCCCTAATGGCTGACTAGCCAGCAGTTGCTGACTGAATGTTTACTTCATAACAAGTAATAGATTGGTTCTCATGCACCTCCTTTCCTAGCAGTGGCTATAGCTCTGGGAGTTTCAAGGGGGGAAGATATGTTCCAACTCCTCCAAGACACATCAGATGTTCCAGATTTCTTCCCACTGGGCATTGGAAGCTGTGTGGACTGATCTTAGCCAGTACCTTTTGGGTTCTGGTGTTTTGTTCTGTTGACCTTAATATTTAGAATCTAACCTTTTTTAGAAAAAACTATGGTAGAATGTTAGAGTTGACTGATTGCTTTAAGATAAAGCAATCTCTTACTTTTGTTAGGAAATGTCTGACATTCTGCTAACAGCATACTGTGTTGTGTGTTACTTGTGCAGAAGAAGCTTTGTTGCTAGGAAATTTGTGGCAAGAGGGTGGAGTACCAGTTGTTACAGAAGTGAGATTTTCTTTTCCTGTCATGGTTACTGTACAGAGTTACAAAATACCTATAGCATGTGTTTGATTACTTGCATTTATGTTAGGAATATTAGGGGTTTCCTATAGACTGTTCATCTCTTAATTTCGTGAAGATACTAGGTTGCTGCTGCTTTTTGGCTTTAAAGAATGTGTCCTCTTAACATGTAAACTGGGGGTTCTGTTGTAGCTGAACAGGTACTAAAGAGGAGAGGTATTGGCCTTCTGCAATAGAGAAACTGCCAGAGGTGGAGCTGTCTTCCAGGGAGTGCAGAGCAGTGGGTAAAGGGAAAAACTTCCATGGAAGAAATCTTACATTGTTCAGTGAGACCATGGAGGGGAGAGCCTAGACTGTCAGAAGCCCACTGGTGGAGGTTGGTTATTGCAGAAGGAGCAGGGTGCAGTGTCCAGCAGAAGAGCTCCGTGCTCGGCTTCCAGGGAGGGGAGCCATGGAGGGAGCTGTTCTGCAGGGTTGTCTGGGAACTGCTGCAGGCTTTGCTTGGGTTTCCCTGCTGAGACACAGCTCAGTGCAGGGAGGCTCAGATCAGCTGTACAAGTGAAGATACATCAGGATCCTTGCAGAGTTATTGCTGTGCTATTTTCTGTTGCAAAGAAATAGCAAACTTCTGTTGAATACTGAAAGCTTCTTCAGAAGTTAGTTTAGAATTGTTAAAGTGATGAGCAAATTTTTTAACTTCTTTTAGTCTGAATGCATAATTTTTTTTTTCTTAAATCAGACCCAAATTTATCATTTACTACTTCCTTTGTGTTCTGATTTGTCATGATAACTGTTCTGATACTGTCCTAAGCTTGTTGTTGTGGGGATATCTGTCTATTGTGGTGAACTGCAGCTATTTCTGAACCCTCGCTCTGTACCTAACACTGCTGTAACTGAGATGTCGTGATATGTTTAAGTTGAAATGTAACTGTCAGTTTCTAACTAGCACATAGTTTCTAAACCCAGAAGTAAGCAGAACCTCATATCTATATTCATCTTTCTAATAAGATAAAGTAGAATGAGGTACGGAGTAAGGACTGAGTTTCCTACATGCAGAGTCCTCTTGCTGGGACACTGCGTAAAGAACAGTTCACAGAAACAAAACCTGAGAAGCATCACAATTGCTGTGTATAAATGCAAAATACCCTGAGTTATTTGGGGCAAAGGGCAGTGGTAGCTCTCACGAGAGGAACAAGTGATACTGTTTATTGTAAATCAATTTATGGAAAAATGACCAGCAGTTGTATCTGGTGATATCTTATGAACTAGCAAGAACCTGCCTATGGAGATCTGCTGGACATCACTGGGCAGTAGTGATTGCCCAGGCTCCATTGACAAGTTCTCCACATCATTCCATATTTTTTCCCTGTATTTCTGCTTTTAGACATCATCAGAAGAATACAAACCCTATGTCATAATGAGAGCTGAATATGTTTAGGCAGCAGATTCTATTTAAACTTGTCAGATATCGCACTAAGGTTTACCTTACTTCCTGTGAGATCTGTTTTCTGCATCACTCAGATGTGGGCCAGTTCTACCTAGTGCATGTTTCTTCTTTAACCTACTTTCTCCTTCCCGTAAAAGGTGTTACTGGTATTGCCTTATTTTACTATCACACGTTGCACAAGATAAACCATTATTGAAAATGTGGTTGAAAGACATTTTAAAGATATAAACTGGCAGTACCCTCAACCTGTATAATCAACTTATAAACCAAATGCTATCTAAAATAATTTTAAGTCTGATTTTTAAAATGTTTTAATGATACAGACTTGTTGCCTTTAGCAGAACAGAATATTTGTGTAGGGCTTATTCTACAGCATTCCTTCTTGGAGCAGACCATGGCTCAGTGTTTCCAAGCACATCACTGTCTACTGGTGTCTCGTGGTACTTTGCTCTTGTGGCTGACAGTATTTGAGAAATGCAAGGATGTTAAGTACATGCTTTCTCCATAAAGAAGTAGCTGCAAGATTCTAGGAAGCAATGCAGAAGTTAGAAGTGAATGCAGAAAGGGGAAAATGTGTTACGCAACTTGCATGCTACTTTTCTGTTTTTCCCCTAAATAATAGGACTTAAGGTGCTCTTCCCTTTTCTTGTGACTTTTCTAGCCAGCAGCCATCAATAAAGGTAACATGGTCATTTTACAACCTTCCTGTGTTGCAGTTGGATCACACAAAAATGCATCCAAGACGTTATCGGGGGATATAAGTGTAGCAAATTTTGTATTATGGGGATTTTTTTGGTATTGTAAAATACTCTTCCCACTATGTGGTTTGTTTCAATGCCAAATGTAAATTCACTTATGCAATAATTCTATAAAGCATTTGCAAAATATCAGAAGATTCAGAGAATAATTTTGGCCTTTTAGCTTGTAGACAGCTTCTTCCCTGATCTTTTCCTAATCTCTTATGTAGAAATCCTCCTAATTAGGTGAAGGGAAGGATTTTTTCAAACTTTGGGGGAAAAGTTTCTTTGATGCAGTCCTCTTGAGTGCTTATTGTACTGAGTCACCTAAGGCAAAGAATGTAATCAGTTTGGTATTTAGTCTTACTTCATTCTCTGGCTTGCCCTTAAGGTTTTAACCCTTTAGGCAGTGTGAGCTGAATCTGTTTGAGGTTTTGAGCTCTGGAAGATAATGGGGTTTCTGCAGCTGTCTTGTTTAGCATAAACCTGGCAGAAAGCTCCAAACCATGTGTTTCACTTCTCAGTAACAGAGAGGTTTGGCTGATTAGTGCTTATTTTGTACTCTGGTGATCAGCTGGCAGGCAGAGGGGAGCTCAGCACAGCTCACAAACAAGCTGCAGAATTGTTAAAAACCAAATTTGTTACTCCTTCTATTTGCAAAGCTTCTTGCAGCATCTTGGTCACTTTCTATAAGAATCCATTGTTCTGTCTGCCACATAATTGGAAATACTTAATTTCTTCTGGGGTAAATTTGTTATCTAAATTTATTTTCTTCAACACATATGTAGGATTTTGCTGCCTTTATCCTTTTTACAAAAGGTGTCTGAATTTTATGTGTAATATGTCTCACGCCTTCAATCTAAAACTTGTGGTGATGAAATAAGTAGTTGTGCATTGTCTTGTCTCAAGAAGGCCTGCTTTTTAATGATCTTTGGGGTATGTTGCTTTGGGGATAGTTGTGCTACTGATGATTTGGTATAATTTTTTGTATTTTAAAATGGATTTGAGATTTGTGGCTAGTGTGCTGATTTGCATTTTATATGAACTGAAGTTTCTTTATCAATTAGAGTTTAAAATGCCGTGCTGTAACTCAGTGTACACTCTTCAAATTTACAGGCAAAGTCAAGTATCAGATGTTTCATAAAACCCACAGAATCACTTGAGAGGTCTCTTGAAATTAACAAACAGAAAGGGAAGAAGAGGATGCAGAAAAGACCCAACTATAAAAATGTTGGTGAAGAAGATGAAGAGGAGAGAGGCTCTGAGGACAACCAAGATGACCTTGATAAAAGTAAAGGTACAGAAGGAAGTTCAAAGGGTGTAAGAACAAGCACCGAAAATGAAGGTGAGTATTCCAGCAAGAGAACAGTGCTTACGATTTAGGTACTTCTGTTTACTGATGGACCTAGTTGTGATGACTTACATGACTTGTTCACTTGCTGCACTAGGTGAACATGGGACTATAACATTTGCTTAAGGCTTTGGCTGGATTTTTTTTTCTCATGTTGAATCAAGCTGTGAGAACATGTACTTCTAATCTCATTAAAAGCTAAGAAAGTGTGTTCATATCTGCCTGTAGGCCTTGGCCCTTATCACAATGCATGCCTTGCACCTCAGTGTTCATGGCTGTGGGCACTTGATAAGCAAGCTTGACAGCTTTGTGACCTGTCCTTTTGTGGTAAGGGAGAGCTGTAGGCACTTCACCTTTGCAAGATAATCAGCAGTATTTTATGTATGTTTCAATGATAAAATTTAACGGGTGTGCTAGAAGTGACAGTGCATGATGGAAGATGATATTAAATAGTTCAAAATTGAAAATATCTTTGACTCTTACTTTTTTTTTTACTTGGACTTTTTCTGCATTTTTCTTGTAACACAAACCTAAGAACTGCTTTTATAGAATGAGTGGTATTACAGCATATTATAACTGTTTTATGGTTACTAACTTTTAGAAGGATATATATAAGTCCTAGTACCTACATTAAACATAAATTGAGAAAAATGTGGCAGGATTGCCTGCAAGCAATTGAAAGCAAGAGTGTTATGCTTTGACAGTCCTGTCCAAACATGACTGAGTTTAGATGTAGGTAAACAGTCCTTTTGAGAAGGCTTTCCTTAAATGGTGTCAAATAACTGATGGTGTATTTTCCACCATGATTTGAAGAAATTCTGAAATAATCTACTGTTTAAACTGATGCATTTAGTTGTAATCTTTGTCCAAATTCCTAAGGGAAGTCAGGATTTGTTTGTTCTACTGAAACTCAGTAGGTGAGAAGCACTGGGGACCAGGTGACCTGTTTGCTGCAGTTTACACCCTCAGTGAAACTTGATGTCCACCCATGCCCCTGCCTCACCAGCTTTTTCACAAATCTTTTCTTCAGAAAGAGGTCTATGGCTTTTCTTCCTGTGGTTTGCATGGGAAGGGAGCTGACTGTGGCTTATTTGCCAAAATGATATGTATATTTTCTGTACATATTTTATGTATATGTATACATTTTTTATAGTGTTACATTCCTTAACGAAATGTAAGCCAATTTCTTGGCTCTGCTGGGAAGAAAATTTGCCCACATCTGCTTACTAACCTTTGTGAGGTAATAGTATACCTCTTATATATAGATGTGTGAGATGCTTTTAATACCAAACAGAAAATACAGAAGAGCTTGTGATAATCTTGTTGGAAATATCACATTTTGGTGGTATGTTTTGTTTTTTTTAGAAATAGAGATGGTAATCATGGAGAGGTGTAAGCTGTCAGAGCTGTCTATCTCTGCTGTGACAGAACAGAATACAACAGATGAAGAAAAGAGTGCAGCTGCTTCTGGGAGTGAGATGACAAACTGGAACAGGTATAAAGGAACTGTAGAAGATGTTGCTGAAATTGTTTGCTTACCTACCCTCCCCTTAAATCTTTTGCTTTTCTTAAAGGGATGTTTCAAATCTGCTTCAAGTTAAAATTACAGGATTTTTTTCTGGATCACAAGTGAGTGAATCAATACAAAAGTGAGGGGTAGCCTCTCTACTGCTCAGTTTTGGAAATTATCCTGTTCCATTCTAGTCTGTGCTTTCCTTTGGGCAGTTGTGATGCATTAAGTTAGTAAAGTTAAATTGCAGAATATTCACATGACAAAAATAGAATATAAATGTTTCCATTCTGTAATTTCCTAAACCTCTAAATTAAGGTGGAAGTTTCATTAATCATATTTATGGTTGCATTTGTCCATTTTGTGTGCACCTATAAGGAGAAAACAAGGAAAAATCTTCAGTTCAGGGTTGAGTTTGGCAGAATTTTAGTAGCAGTAGTTATAGAAAACCCTTGTAACCTTTTACTGTTTCCAGGGTCCATTAGTATGTTTTAGGATTATTGGAAACTTCTACTGGAAATACAGTTTATAAGTGTTTCTGGGAGCAGAAATTACCCTGACTTCAAAATGTAGGCTTGGATATAATGAATATCCCTAAGACACCTTCTCACTAGAGATTTTGCATTCCTGTTAATAGAATATTAAGAAACCAAATGTGCCTGACACAAAAGTAATTGCAGATGTGTCCATTGGGGAAATGCACATGTTTGATAGGATTTAAAATTTATTTTTAAACTTGGGAAATGCTGCCTGGTGTTCCCAGAATTTCATTCTGTCTCCATTATAGCTTTGTAGTTTAGATTACATTCATTAATAAAGATAACATTTAATTTCATTGTAAAAGTGAAATTGAACCTTGACTTGAACTGGCTTTAAAGCACACTGTTCTAGATTATTGATAATTTGACTAAAATATGTGCCAAATGGCTTTTAGAAAGAAATTGGCAGTGAGTGCATGGAATACTAAAGTGACTGGGATGCTCGGGTCTTGAAAAGTGCAGAATGCCTAGAAGTGAGCTGCCAGTGCATCTGGCAGATGTCTGCAGTTCAGGCCTCTCCTGATCTGCAGATGTGGTCTCACAGCATTCTGCATCTTTTCTAAAAATAAGCAACATCAAAGAATGTGCAGAGCTAAAAATAGTTTTAAAACAAGAATATACCTTGCATAGGGCAATTCTGGCCTTTGTTTTATATGGGTTTTTTTTGAAATGTCAGTGGATTAGCTGCTATACCTTAAGATGTTGTATTATTTTATGCCAAGTATAATATTTGAAACAGCAGCTAAATTTCTCAAGAGACTTGCTTCAGTATGTGTAGTTTCTGTCCTACCCTGGTTGGAATCACAGATCGTTGTGGATAGGGCACCATGTGGGAGTGGAAAATGGAGGGACCTCTGTGCCATGCTGGAACTGAAGCTTCCACACCTGCAGTAATCATTAATGCTTGTGGTGACAATGGTTCCTAGTGTGTTGCAGTCTTCAGTTGTGGACATACTCCACAAGAAAAAAAAAAATCTGAGAAACACTTAGATGGCATTGGATCTGCTGCTTCTGTCAAGCCCTTCGTAAAAGACTAGTAAAGGAAGCAAATGCTTACAGAGTTAAGAAATACATTTGAAAATACTTACCATATAGCCTTTACTATGAAAACTGGGCTTTTGTTTAAAACAGTCCAATAGTTGTTGAAAAATAAATGGAAAACAGCACAGATGGCAGTTAAAAATCTGCAGCTGTAAAAGCTAAGTCAAGCTTTTAATTTCCCTTAGCCCTTTTCCTACTGTGAAAAACAAAAGAAAAAGCTTAAGTATTTTAGGTGTTATTTTATTTTGATAGGCCTCACTTCTGGAAAGTTTAAGCTTAAAGACATGTTTTAAATTAAATTAATTTTATGAAATGCTGCACAGCACAGCTTTTTTCCAAAGCATATCAAATCCTCATGCTATGTTGTGGCTTCTGTTGCTATTTTCTTAGGCTGAAGGTTTTCTGGGTCTGTTGTGTACTTAGTCTAAATGAGGAACATTGGTGAGGGGGATTCTTGGAAGTTGTTTCAGCCTCAGATTATTGTGGCTGAGACAGATAATGCCGATAAGATGCTGTGAAGAAGCATCTGGAATGAAAATGGTATCTCTTGCTGCTGTGTAATGATTTATTCATCATTTCATGAATCTAATTAGTATATGGGGGAAAACAATGAAAAATGCATTAGACATCACAGAAGTCATTTAATATTGTGTAATATTGGTGTTAATGGAACAACTACTGATACCTCAGCAGGTTTGGCCTGGTAAAACTTTGGCTTTAATGAAATTATATTAAAAAGTACTTTTATAGTTTAGGGTTTAGGTTTTTTACTGTCTGCTCTTGGTCTGAAAACAACCAAATGTTATCTTGCATTTAAGTATTTTAATATCTTGGTCCTCTGTTCTTTAGACCTTGAAGCTGAGCTCATTTTATGGTGTGAAAAGCCCCCCATCTGAGGGTGACACGGGGCTTGTAGGGCTTGGGTAATGCTTAGGAAACCTGAAGGCCCTCTTGGCTCATTTTCAACATTGCTAATTCTTGAGGTTGTTTTTCCTTGAGCAGTTAGATTCTTTTGAGATCCACAATATGTGGGCAATTTGACTTGAGCACTTAGAGCAGTGTTGAGCTCGGGCAAGGAGGGATCACTTGGTGGCAGTTGTGTAGAGCAGTGCTACAATCCAGGCTCAGAATGCACGGAGGATCACTTGGTGGCAGTTGTGTAGAGCAGCACTGAATGCACGGACGTGCTGCTGTGGCAGAGCTGAGCAGGGAGCAGCAGGGCTGGCATGGTGGTCATGCCTGGTTTCAGTAGGAGGGAGCCCTGTGCTGGCACGTGCCTGGAGCTGCTGGGAGCTCCCAGAGCTTTCTTATGCCTGGGGATTTCCTGGGACTGCTCGGTGTGACCAGGAGGGCACCACGGGGATGGAGTGGGCATTGACGGGTCTTGTGTTCTGGGCTGTGACAGCCCTTCTGACCCCCTGGAACCACAGCAGGGAGCTTGTAGTGCCTGCTTCTTGTCTGCTAGGGCTGAACAGAGCACAGTGTGTTTGCTTCTGTGACTTTGATGTTATTTTAATGGTTTTTCTTTGAATTTAATTTAGATAATGTAAAGATATTTCACTGTTAAAGTACAGTTTAACAGATAGGAATAAACCCTTTCCTCTTGGGCTTCCACACTGTCATCTTCTGATGACATCTTCATCAGAAGATGACATCTTCTGATGACATCTTCATGACTGTATGGGCTTCCACACTGTCATCTTCTGATGACTGTGACACTACCCTGACACATCATTTATTTATCTGGGCCAGTTGTGAAAATATATTTAGTTTTTGCATGTGCTCTGAACTTGAACAGCTGGCTGGATGCAAGCCATCTTAAGACCAGAAGTGAAGCTGCCTTGCCATAAGGCCTGTGCTAATATCAGGTTAATCTCAGCCATATCTGATCAGTCCAAATGCCTTCTGGATTACACTGACTTTTGTTGTCTTTCCAAGGTGCAGGTAAAGAAAAGGTGAACTTAGCACTGTTTTAACTTCCTGTATGTGTGTCATAGGTCACAAGTCTTTAAACTCTGGATTGCAGATGAGCTTTGTTTTCCTAAGCTTTTTTTTTCTTCAGATTTTTTCTCTTTGGATATTCCCTCCTAGTTAATTTTTCTTTCCTATAACTGTTGGACAGTAAAACTGTTGTTTTAGAAAAACCTAGCTTCCTCCAAACTTCTGGTAAAAATGCTTATTTGTAATAGTAAGAACTTTTCAATTCTGTTTAGCACGTCTGTTTTAAAGGAGTTTGTTTTATACAACAGTGATAACAGGTCCTTAAATTTAGTTAGCTGTGCACTTAAAGCAAGCTCTGCAATGATTCTGTGTACTTACTAAACAAGTTACAAATAAACCTAGTAAATGTTTGAACAAGCAGTTCTTGGGAAAGTATTATGTAATGAGTCCAGTTAAAAGTCAGAATTATTGTCAGTATATAAATACAAAGCATGGCTGTAATCTGCAACAGAAACTCTGTAACAGAAGTCTTTTGTTACAATGCCTGAAAATGTGCATTGCTGTGAATTTGCCTCTTCCATTAGCTACCTCTACAATAAGAGAGTTACCCATAGATTTTTTTAACTGTTTCTAAATTACTCCTCTCCACAGGCCTTTTCTTGATATGGTCTATAATGCACTGGACTGTCCTGAAGATGATTACTATGCCCTCTTTGTGCTCTGTCTTTTATATGCAATGTCACACAACAAAGGTAAGTGCTGTTATGTAGAGTTAACTGCAAGGCCGTGGTTGGAAGACACTGTAAACCTCAACAGAGTCATCTGCTGATTTATAGGGTTGTTTATTGCTGTTCTTTAGAATGGGACAGGAAGATCCCCACAATCCATAACTCTGTATTGTTCTAAGAGGTCTCCCAGCAAACCAGCCTTTCCTGAGAAATAACTTTCATATTTCAGAGGAATATGTTAAAGAATGATGAGATTAGTTTCCTTATATGACAAGTCAGTGAAAATTTTACTTGTCTTGGGGAGGATACTAAATAGGCCTACTACAAAATAAAATTCCTATTTAAACATATATGAACAGATTACTTAGCTACTAAAGCAGAATTTAAAATCAGACTTGGATCTTTTCCCCTTTGGCCATTATGCTCTCCAGATATATGGCTAGACTTTGATTTTATTTAGATAGAAACAAATAATCTGAGAATTTCAGAAACAGCAGAATCATTTGCATTTCACCAACCACTTTGAGATTTGAGGGCTGCCACCCAGTAGGCCTCATTTAAGGCTGAGAATTTTCAGGGATGTGCTTGGTCTTTGTTGTTCCTCCTTTTCCTTGTAATACAAAGTCAAAGCCTAGTTTCCTATTGCTAATTGTTCTCTTCTGAGAAAATTGCTGTGGTCTGTTGAATGCTTGCCTCCCAGCACAGCACGCTCCTGTTTTCTAATTTGCATTTTTTTCCTTCACCCCTATGAAAGGACTTGACTCAGTCAAGCTGGAGAGAATTCAACTTCCAGCTCAACATTCTGAAGAGAGAAATTCGTACAATCATGTCCTTGCAGAAGGGCTTATCAGGATAATGAATTATGCTGCACAACCAGGTATTACTTTTCCAGGGTTTGTTTTTTCTTCCAAGGTGAAATTTTTGAAGATATAAAAAAGCTGCTTAGCCTCTTGTCTTTGAGGGGAAAGTGACTGTTCAGCATGCTCTTTGATGAGCAGCATGTAGATGTGGTTCCTGAAAGACAATTGGCTTTTCCTTTGTTGGTGAGAAACCAGAAACGCTGGATTTGTGCTGAGTAGTTTTTATACTCAGAACTATACGAGGATCTATTGTCTTAATTCCTACTTTCTGCACTTTGAATAAACAAAAATTGAGATTTTTGAGTGGTTTTACCTTAATGGATTTCATCCTGAAAATATGATCTGTCTCACCTTTGCTTGCAGAAATAATTTCAGTTGAGAAATAATCTTGAAAACTGTGGTGTCCTTTGCTCATAGCAGTCCTTTGTATGTCAGCTCTAGGTGGTAGCAAATTTTCCCATACTTGTTTTTTTACTTCGGGTTGTATTTTCAGTTCTGAACTGTTCTGCAGAAAACATGGGGTTTTTTCTTCCCTTTTTTTTTGTGAAATGACGGTTACAATGTTCCACAACCTCTTCCATGAAAATAAGATTTTTGTTCAAGCCACACCTCTCCTCCTTGCACTTGCCCCCTTAAAACTTTAAATGGGTAGAATTGGATTTCCCCAGAAACTGACACACTGTCACATTTTTGAATGTCTGTAGAAGAAAAATTTGTTTGTTTGACTTGCAAAACTGCTCTACAGCATATTAACTTGTGCTGATGTGTCAGAGATGAAAAACATGTTAATATATGAAGAGTTTGTACCTGCAGCAGCAGGAAGGAGTGCAAATGAGGATATGTATTTATTTAAATAAAGGCATGTCTGGGAAGGGAGGTGCTGGGGAAGGATGGAAATGGGGGATTTTTGATTCAACTTGCTGCATGATGTGTAGAACATCTCCTTTTCTCTCTTCAAGGAAAAGCTGTGCCTTATCAGTGTGCTATAGACACCTTGCAACTTCTTCCATCCCAACTGTATGGGATCCTTTTGTAATTTTAGCATAATTCAACCTGTGCAGCAGATTGATAAAGGCAGCAAACCCCAATGTTTGGGCTTACTGTTCAATGGTGTTAATCTTTGCCTTCTTCCTGAATGGTTCTGCTTCAAATTTTCTTCAGCTTTAAATTACTCTTCCAGTTTTTTTCTTTATAGCCATCAGCATAGTCAGGCAGCACCAGCACTCATCCCTGTCTGATGGAGGTGTGACAGAGGAGCAAAGTTTGACAATTGCAGGAAAAGTAGAAATGTTTAAGAGCATGGGATGATCACAAGAGCTGTAATAAAACTGCTACTATTTTGTCTGTTGACATTTTCTTTTCACAGATGGGAAAATTCGTTTGGCAACTTTAGAACTTGGCTGCCTATTGCTGAAGCAGCTTGTGTTTTCCAAAAATGGCAGGATCATAAAAAGTGTTCACCTTGATTGTCTTGAGGTGAGTATTTTCTTTCAAATTCCCAGTCACTGCATTACTGGTGTCTGGGTCTTGGTACTCCAAGTTGAATAAATTTTAGTTGAATCAATTTGTTTCATTTCTGATTGCAATAAGCCTTAATGTGAAATTTGAGCTTCTAGAAGATGTTTGTATTGGTAGCTCTGTGCTGTGAACATCATAACCTATGCTCTGTTCTCATCTGTGTTATTTTAACTTGTAACTTCTCCAACAGTTTTTTATTTCTTTGTTTCTCTGAAACTTGTATGTTATCCATCTCAATAATGTAAAGTGCTTTTGAAATAATAAATAATAAACTCAAGCTGCATTTTCATAGGTGCGAGAATTGTATTCTATCAAATTCTGGGATTAAGGCCATGAATTATTAGATTTCCTGTTCTGTATGAGTGTTTGGGTGGTTTTTTTAATGTGACTAATAAATAAGTGGTGCATGTATTCCCTGAAATGCATTTTCTCTTTCCTAGGGTGCAAGGGAGGAAAGTGTTCATCTCCTTCGTCGCTTCTATAAGGTAAATATGCAAAATGCTGTAAGAAAAAGATCCTTTACATATGGGGAATGTCTGCAGCCCAGTCTTTACATAGTGACCAAAGAAGCACCTTTCTTAAGATGGGAACTCCAAATTTGTGATAGAGAAGGAAGTGTTTTCTTGGAGAATTCCTCGCTTTCCACCCTTCCCATGCCCCCCTGACATGGGTCACAAAAGGCTGTTGGAAGACTCACAGGGTTTGTCCTGGAGATCAAGTTTATCATTGACACTGATATGGAATATGTTTGGTTTTGAGATTGCTTTTTGTTTGTATCATATCTGAAATTGTGATCTAAAGTTTTGCCTAATTTTTTTTCTTATTGGAAATGTTTGCAGCTTTTTACTTTTATATGTGTGTTGTAAACAATGAAAGAAATTAAATTTTTTAGCCCTAGGCATTAACTTCTGTATAAGAAGCAGTAAATCCGTGACAGATTTCAAGTGTCTGAAATATCTTCCTGTTTTTCTTAGAATTCTCTTGAAGGATGTTTGCTCAATGTGGCTTACAAAAAATAAGTAGCTTGTGGTGGTTTGACCTTGGCTGGCTGCTAGAGGTCCACTCAGCTGCTCTCTCATTGCCCTTCCTCAACAGGATGGAGGGAGAATAGAATATCTTGTCAAGATAAAGAACAGGGAGGTCACTTGCCAATTACAGTCTTGGGCAAAACAGCCTCAACCTCACAGAAATTCATTTATTGCCAAGAAAAATAAATTTAGATAGTGAGAAACAAAAACAAATTAAAACACTGCTGTCCCTCAACCCCTCCTTTTCCCAGGCTCAGCTTCATTCCTAGCTCTTCAACCTTCTCCCCCTGTAATGGTGCAGGGGCAGTGGGAAGTAGGGATTTGGTGTCAGTCCAGAACAGCTTCTCTCTGTTGTTCCTCCCTCCTCACACCTTCCCTGCCCCAGTGTGGGTCCCCTCCTCCATGGGCTCATCCTTCAGAACAACAATTGCTTCAGTGTGGGTCCTGCAGACTGCAGCTCCTTCAGAGCACATCTGCCTGCTGTGCTCCACCATGGTCCTCCAGGGGCTGCAGAGAAATCTCTCCCTTTCCTAAATGTGTTTTCCCAGAGGTGTCAGCAGTGCTGCTGAAGGGCTCAGCAGTGCCCTGCAGCCCTGGCCTCCCTTCACAGACACACTGTACAGAACCAAACCTGACAGAGCCCAAACATCAGGGCTTCATGGGATGTCCATGTTCTTTCTTTTGGAAGGGAGAAGAAATCTTTCTGGATATGTTTGAAGATGAATACCGGAGTATGACAGTAAGTGAGACCCCCTCTGCCCAGGCAAATCCTCAAACTCAGATCCAGCACAGGAACAAGAACAAGTGCTGATAGCTGCTGAGCACACACTCCCATTTACTGCTGGGAGTAGGATAACAAAATATAGGTGGTGGTTTTGTGTCTGAGAAGTTGTGTTTATACTTACATAAATTATGTGAAACTTCACAGCTCTTAATTTAATAAAATTCCATTACTTATAAAATTGAATATACAAAAATTGCTTCAGCCTACTAAATGGAACACTGGATTTATTGGCTTTCCCTAAACAACATGAAAATCTTCCTATATCTGAAGCTCAGTATGTTCTCTCTTTTGAGAAAGTTCTTCTTGGACGGAAAAAGTTACAAGAAACTTCCTTGTGATTGAAGTAACCACAAATTCAAGTCAAAAATTAAAATTAACCTGGCAGAATTTGGTTTTCAGTATTTGGGAAATGTCTTTTCTCTAATGTTCTGGCGTTGTTCCTGTGTTTTATTGTATGAAAACTTTGGCATTGTGTCTGGAACAATGAGAAGTTGCATGTAGTAAATGAAAGATTGAATGTAAGGAATTTCCTTATTTAAGGAAATAAGATATGGTATTAAAAATTCTCAGAATTTTAAAATACACACCAATGAGTTGTATTTGAAACTAGAGGCAAATTCTTATTGTTCTGTATACTAACCAGTGCTAACATATTCTTGTAGATGAAACCTATGAATGTAGAATACTTGATGATGGATGCCTCAATCTTGCTACCCCCAACGGGGACACCTCTGACTGGGATTGATTTTGTGAAAAGGTTGCCTTGTGGAGATGTGGAAAGAACACGAAGGGTGAGTAAGACTATTTTTCTTATATCTGCTCATGACAAAATGATGCCAAAATCATTGAGTAATTCTAGGAATACAAGTACTTGTCTTTGACAACTGCTTGACTGGAAGCTTCATCCATAAGATCCTAAAAGCTTGCTGAAGACAGACTTGTGTAGAATATATATAATAATTACCTGCCCCAGTGGAGAAACTTTCTCTCTGATTTCTTGTGTCTAGTCAATGCAACGTGTTCTTGCATTGGGGTTTTAAGTTTTCAGACCATACAGAAAGCTACAAAGAAAGGCATTTTGATAATACTCAGTATATTGTCAGCTTTCTTGTGATCTGTTATCTCAATTATGTTCCTGTAATATTCTCTGTGGAAGTCTGACTGTTTTTGTATTGCTCATATTTCTAGACATGGCAAAAAAATTAATTTTACATGAGCGTTCATCTTGGCAAGATAATTTGTGATAGAGATTTGAGAACAAAGAGAGAACCAGCAAAGTATCTATTTTTGTGATTGACACAATCTGTAGAGGTGATATTTACCTGAGTGACAAGATCCTTATTTCCATTCTTGGTTAATCAGTTCTTGGCCCTTATCTGGGTGTGTCCCGGCAGCCTTGCACTGTCAGTAAATCTGAGAGATATGTTACTGCACAAAATCATTATTTGGGAAGTGCTGTTCTCTAAGTTTTTTTGTATTTATATAATTGTATTGTGTAAGTATATTCAAGTACTCTTGAAGAAAAAATATTTCCAGGAATCTTCTGGAAAGGTTTGTTTTCATTGCTTATAAGCCACACAGCTTTTGTTATCACAGCAAGTTAGAATACAGTGAATTATTTTGAAAAGTATTATTCTTAGAAAGCAGGAATGCTTCCTGAAATTCTCTCTGTGGCGTTCAACAGAAGGATACTTAGAAATGCACATTAGTGGGAAATGACTGTTCCAGGATTTTCATGTGCTAAGTAAGGAATAGCTTAACTTCTGTTGGTGGAGATAAAAAAATCAATACAAATATTTGTGTAGATCCTTTGGGATGAAAGCGTCTCTATCACGAGCTGGAATTCCCAGAGTGATTCCTTGGTGCTCCTTCCCCAGTCCCTTGCACCCAGGGTTTGGTATCTCCTCGTTTCCTGTGCTGCTTCCTTGCAGCCAGGCTGCCTCGGCCCGGCTGACCTGCCGTGACAAAGTGCTGGACTCAGGTACACCTTGTGACACTGCTGCTGCCACTCAGCCTGCTGAGCTTCTGAGCATGGCTTCAAATGGAAAATGATTTGATTCCGAGCATGCTCTGACATGATTCAGGAAAGTTTCCAAGTTTTATTTCACTAGCAAGTGAACTTTGGTTACATTATGAGTTCTTAACTGTTAGGAACTTGTTTCCTTGCTGTAGAAAGTCCCTGTAAGTGGCAGCTGTTCTCCTCTTTAACAACTTCAGGAGAAGCTCTCAAAAATCTCACTTTGTGAGAAGTTTTTGAAGTACTAAGAACACTTTTTTGTGGGAATGTAGTAAGATAGTGGTAGGTTTCTCTGAAAATTGCTGTTTCTTTGCACATAGAACATGTAAATGAGGAAATCAGCATCATAGTGCATAATTCTATAATGTAGGTAGAGATATATATTTGTTCCAAGTTAACCAAAAAACCAAAAGACAGCAAAAAAAATTCTAGGCCACAGAACTTTTCTATTGTTTCACTGAAATCTGATGAAATGTGTTAGGCACAATATATTGATACTGGTAACAAACTGAGGGCTGTCAGTGTCATAGGAAGCACAGCACAATTCCCATTTCATCTGATGTTCTTGTTGATTTATTTTTTTTTTTTGCAAAGGCTGAAGTTCTAGTTTTATTTTCTTGTCCTGTACTTTGTTCTGCACTAAATGTGATTCCATGTTTGGAGAGGAGTGTCATTAGTTTTATAGGAAATGAATGTGATAAAAATTAATGCAGTCTAGGAGGAAGAGCTTTGAGGGGAAAGATAAGTGAAAGCTGAGTGATGGTTGCCCTCCAAATTAAAAAAAAAAAGAAACCAAAGCCAAACAAGGTTGCCCTCCAAAATAAAAAAAAAAAAAAAAAAACAACCAAAGCCAAACAAAAACCTTGTTGGTTTAGCTTTTGGGTTACCAAAAATGCCAAGATTTTCCTGTTCTTGATTGAATTTGGCAAATATTAAACCAAATACTGTGAACTCTTCTTGAAGCCCTTGGTAGGAAAACTGCTTTATAGTAGTCCTGTATAATTTCAGTAAATCCACAATACATTAGAAGGCAGTCTGCCTAAATGAGAGTGATCATCTCACATTCTAAAGTGACTCTCTTCTCATGAATTAAATAGTATTATCATATTTTTGTTAGATACCCTTGATGTCCTTTGCTTTGGGGTCATTTCATGGAAGAACCTGATACATGGCTTCCCTCTCTTCATCCCTGTTCTGCCAGAAATTCCTGGAAGCACTGCCAGTGGAGAGCTGGCCAAACACTCACAGTTCTACTTCACAGGAGCCACTGTTCTGTTGATTTTAAAAATAGAGGAGTGAAGGGTTTTCCCTTAAAGCACTTTAGATTTGTTTTTCCTGATACTTCCTGCAATCTGGGAGTTTCTGGGCACTGCAGCTGTTCATGAATTCAATGCTGTTACTGTAAAGCAGCAGTTAATTTACAGTACACCACAGAATTACTGTGTAGGAAACTCTTAAAAAGCAGAACACCGGAAGTAATAAAAAATGATTTTTCATTTGCTGTACTGAAAATGCAGTTCTTGTAGGGAAAGAGGATTATAAATGGTGCCTTTCAAAATGTGGCTAATAAAATGATTGTTCTTTGACACTTGGGTCTTTGCATACCATATGTCATGAATTTGTAAATCAAAACTAGCATATTCATTTCACAGAGCAGCTGTTGAAAGTTTCTTGGGACTGTTGCAGCTTTCAGAATGCTTTGCCCTGGTGAAGACCTTCTGAGAATATAAATTAAGTACTCCAAGAAAGTTACATTGCATGTGGCTAGTTTTAGTGAGAACAGCAAATTAAAATGCAGAAATCCCCTCTGTTTCTCTCTTAACTTGTAGACATGTTGGCTGGACTTGGCCAGAAAAGTTATTACTGTTTTAAGTTCAAAAATGTGAGAGTCTCTGAAGGTTGGTTGTGTAGGTGTCTATAGCATAGAAGTGTTGCAAATACAATCAGTCTTAAAGTAATGATTAAATAAAAATATTCCAAGATTTTTTTTTGCTTAAACAGCTCCTGTAATCATTTCCCTGTCAGTCACAATCTGTGTAAGTGTGCCAGTATGAAAAAGCTCTGCTACTTCTGCTTCACTGAAAATAAATGGCATGTTTCAGCTTCTTTCATGTCTTTTTTTAAACTAAGTTGGAGATTACATTCTACTTTTTCAATGTAAAAGGTATTAAAATTTTAATTTCAATTTTAAATGTATTAAAAAGATTTACTGTAGGACAGCAAACTTGGGAGTTGTAAAAGCCAGTATATGTTTGTAAGATGCTGTTAAAATATGTAGTTATTGAGTGTAAAAATATTCTGATAATCTTTTCTTTAATTTCTCAAGGCAATCAGAGTTTTCTTTATGCTCCGTTCACTGTCGCTGCACTTGCAAGGTGAGCTGGAAACTCAGTTACCACTCACGAGGGAGGGAGATCTGATAAAGGCAGATGATGTTCTGGATTTGAGTAAGTAGCCCCTCAATTTCCTAAACAGTCTCATTGATACAAAAATTACAAAAATAATTAATTATTAATTAATAAATTATTTTTTCCTAAACTGCTTGAACTGCTATTCTTACTTAAACTGCCTGAATTGAAATAGCATGGTGTTAAGGTTCTGCTGTGTGTTGTAACATAAAAATGTATTTTTTGAGTCTTTGCCCAAACAGGGGAGACAGCAGAATATCAGCATTTTGGCATAAAGCACAGAGGATGCACATGATTGCATAGGTGCCAGACCTTGGGAGGAAACTGCAGTGGGCAAAGCATGACCCAAAAAATTACATTTGCGTGCCTTTTTAATATCACTTTGGAGGTGGTGTTGATTTAACAAATTTTCCTCAGTCTCTATTAATACAAGGCTTTTAAAATTCTTGGGAACATTAAGATGCCTTCAGTGTTTATGCTTGTTTGTATACAAATGGTTTCAAGAAGGGAGTAGAGGTTAACATGATCCAGTAATGGTTTCAGCTACTGTTTGGATTTGGAAAAATCCCACAAAACTGTATCAAAATAGCTCCTTTTTTCCTTTTGCCTGAATGTAATGATGGTGTTTTATGTGAGCTTGATGAGGGATTCAAGTTTCTTGTAAAGAAACATTGTTAATATTTTGATGTACATATGTTGAATGCAAACCTTTAGGTGTAGTTACAAGGTTGTCACCAGTATATATGGATGTATGACTAGAGAGTCAGGTCATTCCATCCTGCTGGATATGCAGAATTAGAATTAGATATCCAAAATTAGAACTGCTGTTACTTTGCAGTGTTTTTCCACTAAATTGTTTGGAAACAATTACGTGTTTTGTGACAACTGTTTAACTTAGACTGCCTGTGAGTCTGGAGGTGTTTTCAGTCTTGTTCAGCAGCTCACTGTGTAAAGTCACTGGCAGCTCAAATTACCAGCCTCAGGGCTTGGTTTCAGGTGATAACAGGATTCTGTTAGTTCAATGTTTTAAATGCCATGGCCAAGAGATAAATGAGGATACATTTAAAGCTGTTATTTCTTTGCTGAAACAGAAAAAAGAGTAACATTATAGTTAAGTTTCTTTGCCTGCTTGGCAGACAGAGTGAGCAGGCTTTAAAAGGCCATCACAGTCAACAATTTTAAAAAATATTTGAGACAAGTTTGATGAAATAATTGAGGTTGTAAGGAACTTCATTAGATCATCTAGTCCCACCCTTCTGCTCAACCCGGGGTCAGCTAAAAAGGCATCCAGGACAATTTGTCATATTTGTGGCAAAGAGAGTAAGCCAAAATGTGGTGCAGGTGTATGACCAGGGACACATCCTCTATCTTCAACTAAATGTACTTCATGGGAACAAGGTGGATTCATGATTGGTTGCTTTCTTAGTTAGTAAAGCAGAATATCATCCCAGAAGGGCTGCCTGTTGTTGGGAACAGTTCTTCCTGTGAAGTGGGAGGTGCTGCATTCACTATCTCCAGCTTAATGCTTATCTTGGGCTGCCAGCTGTGTGTACAAAGGGCTAAAAGTTTTCTGTAAGAGCTTTTAATGTCTGCAGATGATTTCTGGAATTGGAATGACTGGAAATTATAAAATCATTAAAGATCAAGCCCCAAGGCAGATCAGGTGCATTTAGACCATATTGAGTAGCTGTTACATTCATAATGATTTCTTACAATACAGTCTTTTCAGGCAAATATTTTTATAAACACAGGCAACTATTTTCCCTGAATTTACATCTTCCACACTGCAAGCAGCTGAGGTCTATAAACTCTCCTTCCTTGGCTGTATTTCCTAAAACTTGGATTTTTCTTGGAGAGAGTCCACAGAAGTCTTGGATCCATATAATGGAGGTGTAGTGTCCAAACTGGTTGCAAGCTTCATTTTGCATGAGGAGAAATTAGCCATTACTGCTATTCTCAGAAGAGGCACTCCAGTTCTCTGCAGCAGTGTCACACCAGGAAGCCTTTCAGCCTGTGGTTCATTGTAATCAGACTAAATTTGAATAGCACTGAAGTTTACTGGGCTTGATATTTTCACCTGAGTGTGGTTGGGTATCTCTAGCTGTTTCATAGCATAGCTGCAAGTATTCTTATATCAGTTCACTAAAAATGTGTTTAACCACATTTCTCTTCTGTTTTGTCATCAAAGATGACAGTTTATGACTCCTCAGCAGCTGTGAACTAGAAACAGTCATGTAAATGACTACATTCAGTTGTATAGGCTCAAAGGATTCCTGTAACAGTTGCCTAGTAAATGAGTGACTTTCCTTTCTGTTCTTTTAAAGACTTTTACAGTAATGCTTTGCTTCAAGGTGTTGTCAGGTCTAAAATAAAAACTTTCTGTTCTGGAAGGCATTCTGCCCTTTGAGTTCCTGAAGTAGTGCATTTTTGTACTTAGGCAGTTGAATTTGTACAGCAAGTATTTTAACCTGCTTGCTGTTGCACTTCAAACTTTGTAAATACTCATCAAAAACTACTATTTGAGAACTCCTCAACTCTATTTGGTGTTGTGGCCTGTTAGTTGATATCTCCCAAAAAACTCATCAGCCTGACATACCCTGTTTGAAGGAGTCCTAATCCAAGCACTTTGTGTCTTGAGAAGAACAGGACTGCTCCAGGAATTCAAGTCAACTGAAATAACTATGTTGATGGATTAATTTGGTTAAAGAGTAAAGAGGCAAGAAATAAAGCATACCAAAATGAGAAATATCCACTTCTGCCTGGTGTCTCAGCTCCTTCTCTAAACAGGAACAGATCCTCCACAGGTTTTTACAGTAATGTTTGCCAGTCCTTTATGGATTTCTTGAGCCTTCCAGGGCTGTGAGAAGGTAATAGCAATCAATCCTCACGTTAACTGAATCATGTCCTGTATGTATTGCATTTATTGATTAAACTTGTTTTCTCAAATTTCAAAAGCTGACAGTAGATTCACACTGGTTAGCATTAATTATCCTCTTAATTGTGTTAGGGTTCTATATCTCATGCTTTTCTTTCCTACCACTCAATGAATTTTGAATGGATCCTGCTGGTAAAGGGTAATTGGTAGATTCGTATAAATGTTAGTTGGAAAGGATCTCTCACTTGTGTTGTGGGGTTTTTTTGTGGGGAAGAGGAAATTGGTTTGATTTTTGAAGCTTGAAAACCTTTGGTGATGTAAATTCTACAACATCTCTGGGTAACCTGCTGCAAAAGAATTTGTTCCACCTCCTGACCATAAGTTATGGCTGTTGTCTATAGTTGTATGACCTGCCACTGTGTAGAGCTGTACACTTTACTTGTAGTTTATCCTGCAAATGTTTCTCATATGAAAAATGGTGTTAAATGCTTGTTTCATGTTCAGATGAGTAAATAAATTCTGTTCTATATAGCCTTCACAATATTTTACTTGCTGTAAGTTGTACTAGATGAGAGCGGAAAAGACCTGTGTGCATCAAATATATGAATGAGAGTATCAGTACGAAGCAAAGGAGAAAGCAACTCTTAGTAGTTAGCAGGGCTCTGCTAGGGGTTGGCACTGCCAGTTTAAGGGCTGCTTGGTAGATTTCAGCTGGTGTAAAGAGGGTGATTTAGTCCCTTTTTATTAATAATGGGTGTCAACTGGATTGGGGCAGTGAGGAAATGGCGGAGAATGTATTTTAGGGTTTGTTGGAGGGGTTTCTGGAGTTGGAGAGGGTATGTTTGTTCAATATAAGTCAATGAAATATATTGGTAAAGGAAAAACTGTCACCTCATTTAACAAATGTTGTCAAAACACTGCTACAATTTACCTGGAGAGTCCAAATAATCTTGAAATTGAAGTGCATCCAAGAGCCAGCATAGGTTTCAGACCTGTACAAAGGTAGCTTGTGTCAGGAGACAAAGTTTACAACAATGTAGAAGTCATGGCCTGCAGTGGTGTTGGGTCTGGCTGTGTTTTTTAACAAGACTTCTTGAGACTTCACATAGTGAGATAAATTGGCACTGTTGCAATTTCACCCCTGAGATGAAGGATGCTTTTTTCTGAAAGGTAATAGAGGCGTTAAGAGAAAGCAAGGTGTATCTAGTACCCATCTTACATTTAACTTGTATGTGGGAACCACTGTTGTTAAAATCTCTCTTGCCCTTTCTGTGTAACTATGATAGGGAAGTTAAAATATCTGTTAATAATGTGAACAGAAGCTTTAACCATGTGTTGTCCAGATTGTTAAATTTTTATATGTTAACATTTTCTCTTATGTAAAATACCCACACCCCAGAATCCTCAACTTCAGTGTTATGTAACCTTTTTCCTTCCTTCCTTCCTTCCTTTAGATAACAGTGATCTGATTGCCTGCACAGTTGTAACAAAGGATGGGGGTCAAGTTCAAAGATTCCTGGCTGTGGATATTTACCAGATGAGTTTGGTTGAACCAGATGTTGCCAGACTTGGATGGGGAGTAGTTAAGTTTGCAGGCCTTCTGCAGGTAAGGCAAGTTGTAGTTTGGGTGGCCAGCTTATCCAAGCTGAAAATCTACATTTTATGTGGGATAAATAGTAATACTAGTATTGGCTTACATATTTAAGCTCTGTACCATGCTTGCTTGTTTCTTTCCTCTTTTTTCTGCTTCCTGCCTTTTAAAACAATTCTGATTTTCTGAAGAAGTTTACGTAGGTAACCAGAGACACAATTGCAGATGGGGTAACTTCCTTAACATATGTTGGACTGTGCTCATTTGTACACTGAAGTCACATCTGTCCAAGCACTTTACTCAAATAGTACATTAATTAACTCATTTAGAGTTCTGATTTTCCTGCACAGGTAGAAGAGGTGGCAGATTGTAATTTCAAAATGGTCTATGCTTATCTAAGGAAGTTTTTCTCATTTCTCTTTCTTGCCTTAACCATTGCTGTTTGTATTTCCTGAAAATTTGCTGTGCTTAAATAACACAATCTCTATAAATACCAATTTCTGAAGAAGTAAATCCAAGTTGTACAACTTACAGAGTCTGGTTTGGTTTTATTTTGTTGGGTTTTTTGACACAGAAACTGTCTTAGTAAGAGCTTTAAAGGAACATTCTCATAGTATTTTCTTTCAATGTTAATATTTAATCTGTAGTTTTAGAAAAGCTTTTTCTTTAACTTTTCTTTACTTTTTCTTTAACTGTTTGCATTCCGCTTCTCTTTAGGATATGCAGGTGACTGGAGTAGAGGATGACAGCAGAGCCCTGAACATAATCATTCACAAGCCTGCCTCCAGCCCTCACTCGAAGCCCTTCCCCATCCTCCAGGCCACGTTTATTTTTGCAGATCACATTCGCTGCATCATCGCCAAGCAGCGCCTGGCCAAAGGCCGCATCCAGGCTCGGCGCACCAAAATGCAGAGGATAGCAGGTGAGTGCTTGTCCTGAAAGGGTGCTGGGGGACAAGAACTGGCTGTCACTGCAAGTCACTCTGTAATGTAAGGCTGAGCCACGCTGAGGAGTGGTGGGCCGCAGAAAGCTCTATACCAGGGCTGAGTTTCCAAGGAACAGATTTAGTTTCATCTATAACTTTGAGTTTATAAAGTGGATATGTCACACTTTAATGCCTTGCTCCATGTAAAAAAAAATTGAAAGCAAGTTTGAGGATATTACAATCTACTTGATATTAAAAATTGTGGGTTGAATGTAATGCAGAGGCATTTCTTTTCTATTTTAAAGCCCATTGTCTCTAACTGGCTTTCTGCAGTATTCCATTGTAACTAATGAATTATTTTATTTCTGCAGGGAAAAACAAAAGGGGTTTTTTATTGTTAATAATTCCTATGGTTTTTTTGGTGCAAGGGGCTTCCTGTAATCCTGGGGTTTTTTTCCTTCTCCACTGTATTTTGAGGTTTCCCTAGTGTGAATGTGGTGTGGACAGCAATGTGGAAAAGGTTGCCAGAAGCACTGACTTTGTTTGTTAGTGCATTTGTAACCATAACTAAGAGGCAAATGAAAGCAAGTTATGTTAAAATCTGGTTTAGTCTTAGGTCCTGAGCAAACTATCAATTTTCTTGTCACCTCTTTTTCCTTTTATGTATTTGAGTAACAAAAACTATCAATTGTGATTAAACATAGCTCTCCTGGATCTTCCTGTTCAGCCTTCAACTGAAGTTATGGGTTTTGGACACAGCTCTGGAGCTGCAGCCCAGCACCTCCCATTTAGATTCTATGACCAGTCCCGGCGTGGGAGCAGTGACCCCACAGTGCAGCGCTCTGTCTTTGCATCTGTTGACAAAGTCCCAGGTAAGGTTAGCATTCATTAACAAGCAGTTTTTGCTTTGTGATTTCTGTCTGCAGAAACTGTACTATAACTTGTCCAAGCAGTTAAAAGCTTATTTGTGATGTGTACCTGAACACACAACTCCAGGATGAGGCTTGTGACAAAAGGTACTCTGAGAGAAACAAGTAATACCTGGGTGTGTATTCTGGGTATGTTGTGAGCAATACTTCCATGGCAGTTTCTCCAGATGTCTTAATACCTCACCTTCCTTACAAATCAAGTTAGTTTAAATCATGCTTTGCATAGTCAGTATTTATGCAACACATCTGGATCTTCCTGTTCAGTCTTCAGCTGAAGTTACGGGTTTTGGACACAGCTCTGGAGCTGCAGCCCAGCACCCCCCATGTAGATTCTAAGACCAGTCCCAGTCAGTTGTGAATATTTCCTCCTTTAATTTGGTTATGAATGTTTTCATGCTGGATTGTGAAAAATGCTGCGCACTGCCTCATTTCCCTCAGAGTGAGCAAGACAAAAAAGGGCCACAGCTATTCCTAAAACATTAGCTTGGAACTGGGATTAAAGGAATTATTCTGAATCAATGAGTTCTTTGCTTTTGTATCTCCTTATTGTCTGTTTCACAAATTGACTTCTCTGCAGAAATTCTTTTCCAGATGGTGACATTTTTCCTTTTGGGTTGTGTCATTTTAAAGGGAAATCTCATTCTGCTTGGAAGTACTTAATTGTGCTGTATTACACAAAAGATTTCATTACCACTTGCTGCCAGTCATTTCACAGAACTCAGCATTTCTCTTTAAATGTGATTCAGAATTCAAATGCACAGAATTCATATTACTTAGAACGCAGATGTTTTACTGCTTTAAGACTAAATTGGAGCTCAGTTACCCGAGTCCTGGCTGGGGAACAGAAATTATAAAACCATAGGTATTGTCAGTCAGGTATTTCAAAGACAAGTGTAGGTTGTGTGAGGGGAGTGTTTGCCTTGTTTGACCTGACTTCCACAGAAAAGGTGTGGTTGTAAAGAGTCCAGAGTTACTACTTCAGCTTTCTCTAAGGAGACTGCACTTGTGTTCCTAACTAATGACTTCATCTTCTAATTTGAAGGGTAATATTGGGGATGATGCAACATAGTCATTTGTTCAAGCAACCACATACTTTATTTGAATCCAGGAAATGTAGACTTCCACTTGCAGATCCAGAAGGAAAAGTGTTTTGAAGTTTTTATTTGATACAAAGTATAAGAAATGAGGCGCGGAACTTGAAGTATTTCAAGTACAGCATCTTTGAAATGCATTTTATGACAGGCAATAATATAATAAAAATGGATTAATATCCTGTTTTTATATCTGATTACAAAACCAGTATCAAATGTGGGTTTGTTATCTTATCTTTGCTGAGGGATTAATTAGGTTTCCTTGTTGCTAATGATTTTTATAGGAATTTGTTTGTGCTTATCTCTTAATCAGGCTTGCAATGATTTTTACTTCAAGAGAATTTTGTGGCTTTGAAAAAATTACTGAAGAAGTTGCAGTTAAATTACTGGCTTCATGTATTCATTTCTTACTGCTACAGCTCCAGCTGGTGTTTGAGTTCTGCAGAGCTCTCTCAATCAGTTAATTTGGTTGTACTTTCAAGAATCAAACTATGCTTTCCCTTTCCCTTGGTGATGATGTCCTTTGTAGATTCAAAGCAGTGTTGTTTTTCTGGCAACATTTTTTGAATACTAATTAAGTAGTATTTTGTTAGGACTGTGTTGGCTGTCAGTGCTGTACATCCAGCATGGTTTTTAAAAAATTAACTATCCTATAAATGTTTTCATTCCTCCTGCAAGTTTCAGTCTGTGAACTTGGATACAGCTGTTAAATCAGTTCCCTCATTCCTATTGTCAGTGAATTTAGAACGTTCGAGAACACTCATTGCAGTTGTCTGGTTCAGTTTCTCTCATAGTGCCTACATAAAGCTCTGCATATTTCACTATAGAGATCTGCAGTTACCTTCTGTGTTCCCTTATTGTTGTCAAACTGGGCTTCATTTTCCTTCATTGCTCCACAGTGCAAAATTAAAATCTTGGTGTCTGGGAGAAAGAGGGTGAGGATTGTTATAGCTTAAAACAGGATTTTGTGCAGGACAAGTGGAGGGTGATAAGAATGTCACAGACGATGCTTCAGAACATCCCCCTGAACACAATGAAAAGTGCAGGGACATGCTGTGATTGTCTCCTGCTGGACTGGACAGTTCTCAGCAGAGAGCAACGTAAGCAAAATCACTTGATGAATTTTATCCTCATGAAGTCATGGCTATGAGTATACTCTAAGGTCTATTTTAAGTTACTGGCCTTTGCTAGAATGTTAGAGCATTTTAGGGATAGTGTAGCTGCCTGGACTGTTCACCATCTCCTGTGTTAGCTGTGTATGAATGTGTTGTACTTCTGAAGCCATCTGTGTAAATAAAGAACGCTGTTTTCAAAGAAACCAGCAGATTTGGTAGGGGCCCTGTGAACAAAGGTTTTCTACTGAAAGTAAATAAATAATGACTTCCTCTTCAAGCAAACTCAAGAGTTTGTTTCAAGTATCAGCTCTATTCTGAGATTTATATGCCCAGCATGTCTTAAGGGAAATGTTAACGATTTCCAGCAAAAGGTACATGTAAATATTTTAACAAGTGCGGTTGCTTACCTACTAAGTAAATTTATTTTGAAAAGCAAAAGGAATCAATAGATTTCTCTTAATATTTTATCCATTGTTAATATCTTAATAGATTATAATAAGGTTTTGAGAGGAAAAAAGGAGGAGAAAAACTGGTTAACATTAGCATGGCAATCAAGCTATAACCATCTTTAATATTAAAGTCTGAAGGAAAAAATAATTCACGGATTTGGAACCCTTTGTGCAATATGAACCAATATTCTTGTCATCATCAGATGAACCTCCTAACTGTTATTTTGCTTCCTGTAGCTATGATTAGTTCCATTCACTTTTTCTTTCCAGGTATTCCCTGTAGGAGTTTCCTGATTAGATTTTTTTTTCTTGGTCAGTAGTTTCCCAGTTACAGTATTTTGAATGATTTAGGCTTACCTTTTCCTCCTACCTAAATTAGCTTCTGTTAGCACACTTAACATTCTTCCTTTCCAATTGTTTGGAGAGAGAAAATACGTTGAAGTCATTTTGAAGGAAATGCTCCTGTGTAAGGACATGAATCAGAGAGTGCTGTTTTGCAGGAGCTTTGGGCTGGCAATCCTGCTAAATCAGGCCAGCTTTCCCTGTGGCAGTCATGGGAGACCTTGTTTACTGATTCCTGCTGTTCTGGTGAGGGTGGAAGGTTTCTTCTCCCTTGAAGTGCAAACTTTGTGGATACAGAATGCTTCAGATGGGTGCGACTTTTACCAGCACTGTAAGGGAAGCTGAATATCTTGATGTAAGCTCTTGTATCAGTGCCTTTAGGAACTCTTCTTAATTTCATTCGCATTAACAGTTGGCTTTGCCTCACTTCTGTGGTCGCAGGTCCACTGGTTATTCCTTGTTTCCCCATCCTAACTGGTATTTGAAACTCTGAACTGTGTATGAAAAATCTAATGTACATTTTCTGTGATTAAAAACTATAGCACTCAGGGCCAGTGATACATGTGGAAGTCTTTCACATTTGAGGTGGTTCAGTTTGTGGTTAACTTTTTGCAGGCTGTCAGGCGTCACTTTGTGTAACCTCAGTTTAACTTGCCTAAATGATTGTAGAAGATCGAACAGTTTGGTTTCTGAAATAAAATACATGGATTTATTTACATGTATAGGATAATTAGCTCCTTACCAACTATTTTGTTTTTCACTGAAAGAGATCTCTCCTGCCTTGGTGGTGATTTAGCTCTTTCAAGTTCATCTTGGACATAGTGAATTGTAATTTAACTTTGTAAAAGTGACATTTAAAGACCTATCTGAAACTGTGCAGCAGTACTATAGAAATTCAGAATAGCATTGTGTTTCTGCAAGTGGTTTTGAGTCTAGTTCTTGGGTAAGTGTGGGAGGTAGGAGGTGTGAGTGCAGATCAAGTCAGATTATTAACATGACAGATGTTTGTGAGCTTTGTTCTGTGCTCTCATCACTGTGGTGTTTTCACTTGTAGCACAGCCTGTCAGTGTGTTGCTGCTAACAGCATTTTCCTGACTTGGTATATCTATGTTTCAAAGCTTTCAGAGCTTCTTGTAACATGTCCATTTAAAGTGAGTTTTGGGTGGCTGTGTCCTGTATGGTACCAGCACCTTCCCCATATTGGAGATTCTTTGAGTGAATAATCCATCCAGTGCCATGGGAGATTCCCTGTATAAAAGAATAAAGAACTGTGTGGTGCATTTTCAGTCTTACCTGATTGTCAGATACTTTCCCTTTCAGTGTTGACTATTCATTGAAGGTAGCAACTAGAGTATTGTTAGGTGTTTTATAGGCCACATGGTGGCTGCTATCAGTAATTCACAGGACTGCCAAAACTTCTGAATTAGTAGTTTGCCATGGGAGAGAAGGAGGAGAGCTGCAGAAGCAGAAAAAGGCTGTGCCTCACCTGACCTACAGCCCATGGTGAAAACACTATTTTTGCTGTAAGAAGTGCATCAACTTCTGAAAAGCTGATTGCTATCAAAACTAGAAGTGGCTATAGGTATGTACTTAGAGAAAGAGAAAAGAATGAATGCAAGGTGGCCAGGAAAGAAAAAGATGCTACATGCAAAGAGATTGAAGAAGTATTACACTAGAAGCCAGAAGATGACTCATCTGAGTGTTGTCAGACACTGTATATATAGACCTTTCCAGTCTTCAGATTGGAAAAAAATTAGTTTGTGAGAGCTGGATGAAATTCAATGCCAGCATTAGATGTGATTGATTAAAACTTTCTGAAGTTATGTCTAGTAAAAAATGTATGTCTTCTATCCAAGAGGTTTTTTGTTCACTTTTGACTTCATTATTTTCCTTATCGTGTTAAGGTCTGTGACCTGTGAATATATTGGCTATATCAAGAGTTTTGATGTGTTTTGACTGTTTGTGCAGTCTCCTCGTTTTAACATGCTTTAAATCCTTTAAACTCTTTGCTTATTCACTGATCAGCACTTGTAGCCTGTTTTCAGTAGGGTACATTCAGACTTTTTGGTTTCCAGGATGAAGGAGGGAGAGGACACATCCTCTGGGTCACTGTATGAGGTTGGCTTCACCTTGATACAGGATTTGCTTTTACCCTTTCCCAATTTGTTCAACAGCTTAACTCTTTCAAGATAATATTTAACTTGTAAACTTTACTGTCCTGTTTTGCAGGCTTTGCTGTAGCCCAGTGCATCAATCAGCACAATCCATCCCCACTGTCGTCACCATCCCCTTCCAGTGGCAGTGGCAGTACAGGGCGCTGTGATTCAGTGACTGCAAGCTCGACGTCCACTCCTTCTGCTGCTCAGAGCCCAGCAGGTATTCACTCAGCACCTTCAGCCTAGGCACTAAGGCATACAGAGCAGTTTATTGTAAAATTAAGTTGCTGTGTTATTGGATTAAAAGAGTAGGGCTTTATGGTTTTAGATCACTTAATTGACTAAGCCAATTAAAAGTAAATTGTGGTATAAATTGCAGGGATCTCTTCAGCTTTCTGGAACTCCAAATACTTGGCTTTTTCAGTAGAGACTTCAAGTACTGGTGCAATAATGTCCTGTTTGTCTGACTTCTCTCCTAGCACAAACAGTTTAGAATGTTGAGGGGGTTTTTTTTGTCGGTGGTTTGTTTTAACTGAAATATTGCTTTGAATAAATCTGTAATGTAAACTAGTAGCCTTCCACTATAGTGGATAAGTTGATTTTCACATGAAGCATCTTTTTTTAAACTCAAGAGACATGTTCTTTTGTGTGTGTATCTCTTCCTCAGGTTAATTTGTAACAGTGGGCCAAATATGAAATATTTGAAAATAATTATTTAGGATGTTAATATTTAAAGTTTTTGCAATAACACTTTTGTGGCTGAACCCCTCCACATTTCAGGAGGCTGTTTCATTGGTGCAGAACAGGCTGCAATATAAATAGACTGACAGTGTAACTTTCACAAATGTAGGTTGCATGTGTTTGCATTGGTCAGTATTTTTAGTGGGTATGCTTAAACTGGAACTTCTTGTTGTATTATTCCTCCTTTTTATGTAGTATTTGTAGATAACTTGTAACAGTGTCTGTTCTGAGTGCAAATTGTGTGAGGCAAAGCCTCAGGCTGGAGACTAGACAAGGAAGTCCCAAAGAGTGCATCCTGAAATGTTTTCATGCTGGAAGTGACTAACTCTGCCTCATTTGGGTTATAAAACAATAGAGGTAACTTGATTCTCAACTTCTTTTCAAGCAAGCCCTCATTTTAATGGTTATTTCCAATGCTGATCATTCCTTGAGAGGGTTGTTCTGGCTTCCATTTCTAAGACATGCCATTTTGCCTTTATTTGGAAGGCCCATCTAGATCTAAATTTTTTTGCAGTCCTACAGGAAATCATGCAACTTTGTTAGGTATTGAGTGTTTTTAGGTTTCACTGAACAGTGTCAGCAGATCAATGTACCTTATATGTTTAAAGTGAGTCTCCCTGCAAGAAATACTGCTGGAAAGGGTAATGAAAGGGTGCAAGGGTGTTGATGAAGTTAAGGAACAATAAATATTAAAGCATTCTAGTACCCAGATTCTAGATTAAAAAGCATCTATTTACCTTGAGAGACTAACATATGGTCAAAATAGTCCTGCAGTATGTGTAATTTCAGAATAAAATTTAGAGTGTTTTTTTATATACCATCTATTCAAAATTTTATTTTCTCTGTTGGCAAGTGATTGCTGTTACCCAGTCTCTTCATGGCCCAGGTAATATGTAGTCATTGCACAGAGAAGTGCTGTCATTTGTCAGAACCCTCAGGCTGGATCGACACTAGAAGAAAACATGAATTTGATGACATGTTTCTCCCTAGCAGTGTGAAAAGGCTCATGTACAGTGTCCTTTGCTCTATTTGAATCCTCTATGGTCAAGAAGAGAAATGCAGCTACAGATTCTTACCAAGAGTGGCTGAGAGAAAACTGTGGTAAAGGAAATGAAAATAAAGAATCTATATTATTTCTCTAGGTATAAGCAATTCAAGCTAGTTCACAAAAATATCGAGCAAGACTATGCTTTGTTTCAGACTGAGGTCTTTCAAGCACACATAATCTGGCTTCTATGAAAAAAATGCATAGATCATGTAATTAGTTATCAAGTATGAAAAGATAGTGAATTATTGAAGTATAATCACAGACTGCAGTTCACAAAATTGCAGTCTGCTTACACAGTGTGTTGGCATTTGTGTATCATAAAATTCTGTTTTTCCTGCATTTTAAAAAGCTTGGTGACAGGAGGCTGCTCATTGATTTCCAAAAAAAAAAAGAAAAACAACAATAAACTGCAAACTCTTTCCTACTCTCCTCATCCCCCAAAAAATGAAGATGAAAATAATGGAAAAACCCAAACCAAAACCAGAGGAAAAGTATAAAAGTATTTTGGAGTGCCTGGTTTCAGTATGCACTTTACCAGTTAGGTTGCATGAACTGCCTACCTTGACCTTCATTGTGACTTAATCATAAAGTATGTGCAGAATGTCACGTGTTGTGCAGGAAGACTGTCTTTGGGTGTGCATTGATTTTTTTCTTTTTAATGTGATGCTGTAGCAAATGTAGCTGTGAGGATCCAATTCTGAGTCCTACCACTGGGCCCAGTCACCTTCAGCCAAGTCAGAGGAAATGAAGCTGCCAATGGCATCAGCTGCTTCAGTCCCAAATCAGCAACTTGCACTAACCTGCTGCAGGGATGGCTTTTATTCTCCTCAGAGGGCAGTTGCAGAGAGGAAGGCAGTGACTTTATGTGCATGAGCAGGTATTTTATCACAGTAGGATAATGCACAGTTGGTACTGAGGTGCATGCATGTGGCTTAGGGATTTTGCTGGACCATATTTGCTCTGACCTTTAGGACCAAGAATCCTTGCCATGTACGTGGCCGTTCAAAGGACCAGTGATCAGGTCAGATTAATATGTTGCTGTTAGTGTTGGAAGTGTATTTAGTGCATAGTTGCAGCATATCTTATAGTTCAGTTTCTTTCTAAAAGAATCTCATTCATGCACAGAAACTGTTCCTGAAATCAGACTAAAGCAATAAGTGTGCATAATTCTTCAAAGCTGCTGCCCTGGTTTGTACCAAGCTGCTTAGTGTAGTTGCAGGCAATAAAGAGCACAAGTAGTGGTTTAAAACCTGTGGCTGAGTGTCTGATGGTGTCTCAAGGTCCTTATTACAGACTAGTGAAAATTCTGAAATTCCTGGAGCTAGGTCTTTTGGGAGGTGTGAATGTAGGAAGGGTTTTCCACAACACCCCAGAGCTCTTTTGACACTTTTTGCCAATACTCAGTGTCCATTCAGTAGTGTCATTCTTGGGATCGGTGTCTCTGCATGAACTGATTGACCAGTTTACTGCAAGTTTGAGTGTTCTCCCTTTTGTAGTACTTACATGTAATTGTGATCTGTAGTGGAAACTTGACAGGGACATAGCATGAAAGTTGGGTCTGTTTGGCATGTGCAGGTGGCTGTTCCGTGGGCTTGTGCGTGGACAGAGCTCTGCTGAAGTAGGTGACAGCACCATGAGCACAGTCTGTGTTATATCAGGTCATACTGACCACTCAGCTGGGATATGGAAACAGTTGTTGGTAGTCACTCACTTCTGAGTAAAGCAGTGGTTTTCCCTTAGCTAACCACTTGAGGACAGTTGAAACTAAAGTGCCTTTCCTCTTCTGCTTCTCAGCAGTGACTTGCATGATGTGAAGTAGCTCCTTTGAGGAGGAAGTAACGAGTCTCTGATGAGCAGCAAGCAGTTACCAAAATCTATTTTATGTCCCAAGGTAGCCCTGGGATGCTGCTGCCATCTGTCACATTTGACTCTGTGTCATTTCCCATTCCATGTTGAACACACACATACACATGTACACACACACACACGTGTGTGTGCCCCTCTCTGCCCCTTCCCCTCCTTCCCTGCTCCCCTGTTTGTTCTGGCACCTGCTGAAGCTGTTGAGCGTGAAAAGCATCCTGGGTTGCTCAGGAACTTCATACAAGAAGGCCAGACTAGATAAAGGGGAGATGCCTATCTGGATTTCAATGAAACTACCTCAACTACCTTCCTTAAGAGCAACATGTTAAACCACACAGCTTTTTATACTGTGAACTTGTGATTATAGTGTCCTAAGCTACAGTCTGTTGACAGATTTAAACTGATCAGGGTTTGATATATTAGAGATGGTACTTGTAAATCTTCACAGAGTTGTTTCAGGAAATAAGATTTGGAACATAGACACCAATTTTTATATAGAACAGTGATAGATAAGAACAAAATAAAGACAAATTGCATGTTAATTAAGAGAAAATGTTACAACAGAGCATGCATTGATGATTAAACAGCAAAAGAGCTTTTAAAAATGTGTAAAAGGGAAAAGTTATGTTAGTTCAATGTTTTGTAAAAGTAATTTGCTTAATACTCATACCTGCATCAAAGAGTCCCACAAAACAGAGCATGCATTGATGATTAAACAGCAAAAGAGCTTTTAAAAATGTGTAAAAGGGAATGTTATGTTAGTTCAATGTTTTGTAAAAATAATTTGCTTAACACTCATACCTGCATCAAACAGTCCCACAGTGTTGCATCAGTTGCTTTGTCATGAGTGAAATAAACTCCTGTGACTCCCAAGTTCATTGGCTATCCTACCTAGTAATTGTCACACTGCTTTATGGCACAGATATTTTAAAGGCTGGAAACTCCCCCATTTGCAGTGTTTGGGGATTAAGCTTAGCCCTTTACAAGATTATTGTTCTTTAAAATTGAAAAAGCAGAAATCATCCCTTAAAGAAAGTAGAATGCTTAGCAAGACAGAAAAATCAGTATTGGGTTCTGCAAGTGCTGCTATCAGGTTAGTTTCTTCTTCGTATTTACTTTTTTTTTTTTTAATTATCATGTGCTTTTGAAATGTTGCTATGCATAAGGTAGAAATGTTCTCATTAGCCAGATTTTAGTCATCAAGTTTCAGAGCTTAGAGTACAGGTCTTGGCTATCCCTGCTGGAACTGTACACTTCTTTAAAGTGCTTATTTTCATATATGCCAAGGATTAGATATAGAAGCTCTCTTACTGTAAGTTAGCAGTCTTCCAGAATTATGAATATATTAATCTCATCTGTGCTGTATTTTATTACTTTTTAAGCTGTCTTAACTTATAAAAAGCAGTTGGCTTCAGTACTTAAAATGTTTACATCTGAGCAATAGGTAATGAGGGCTTCACAAGGCACTGATCTGTGCCACTTGAGCTGTATTTTGTGCTTCTGGCAGGTATTGATGATAAAAGACCTAAAATAAGTACTAAGAGCTGTCCCTTGTTGCAGAGAACATATTGGATTCCAGTCTGTAAAATTAAATTTCCATTCCAAGGAGAAGGTGATTAATCAAGCTTGGAGAGCTTATAAGAGCAGTGCCTGCCTTCCTATTGAAACCATCTCTGTCTCTTCCCTCTATAATAGTAATGTAAATGTGGTTTGACCTCCTGTTCTGTGAAGCTCTAGTAATTTTCTGACTAGGTGAGGAAGTACTTTTGTTCTTAGAAAGTTTCTTTTCTAGGAACTTTCTATGCACCAAGCATCATCATCTGAACTGCTGTTATCTTTTCAAACCCTGTATTTGACTTTATCATAAACCAAATGAAAATGCTACTGTTGGGTTTCAGAATAGTAGGGCTGAATGGTCTGAAGTGTTGTCACCTGCACAGTACTGCACCACATATAATTCATGCCCAGGGGAAAGGAGAATAATTCTGTGTCACCAGAATTTGTGGTAAATAACTTCTCTCAAAGTTTCTAAAGCAGGTGAGTAGATTGTAATGCAAATAAATACCTGCCAGCCCTCCTTGATGTAAGTTCTGTTGGTATTGCCAGACATAGCCCAAACTTATGAACATTTTCAGATAGGAAGCAAAAGCTTAAATTCATATAAACTCATTTCTTTCTAAAGAGTAAATACTTCCAGCTTCAGAAGTATTTCCCAAATGTAGAAGGCTCTCGGTGTGGTGTCAGATTGTATTCAAGATACCAGCAGTTACGGGTGTGTCCTTGTCACTTATTCTTGTTGCTGCTCTAACATTTATCCTTTGTCTCCATTCCAGTTTCCCTCCCCTGTGTCATTGTTGAAGCCTCTGTATGATTTCTGGCTGTGTTTCCCTCTAGTAAGGTCTGGCAGGAAAGGACGCCGGCGGGTGTTTAGTCTGTCGGAGGCTGACAGTCACGGTGGACACTGGGTTTAGGCCTTCCAGCAGCAGCTGCAGCAGAAACTCCCGCAATACCCACTCAGGCAGGTTCCTCCATAAGCCTTCACAAGCCCATAACAATCAATAGAACATATTTGCTTTCCATGCTGACAGCAGTGACAGTGAGGTAGGAAACTGAAGAATACGTCATAATATTTGTCTCTGCGTTTTGTTTGGGAGAACTGTGAAGCAATGATGAGCTGTTTCTGAAAGCCTTGTCTGTAGCTTCTCCCATGTCTCTGGGCACTCGTGCCAAAGGTGGAAATTGTGCTATCAAGCTTCCAGCTTCAAAGCAGCCATGTCTTCATTTGCACAGGGCAGCCCTGGCTGTAGTGAAATTTAGTAAGCACAGGCTCCTGAATGGACAGTAATGCAGGTCCTTGGCCAGCAGGAAGAAATCTCTTTATAGCACAGGTCAAATGGGCAGGCATTCAGCGTAAGACTGTCCTTGGACTCTGATGGCACAAGCTTAATATTTCTGTGATCATCAGATTCTGGCAGATGACTTCATGGACTGTTTGATTATCCTTACCTGAGGAGGTGAGGAGAAGGAGCAGATGCAAACAAATATGGAAATACACTTCAGATGACCTTTGTTATATAATCTGTTTGAACTTGTATCTAATTTTCTTTTCTTTTGTTACTGTCATGGCATGAAGATATTTTACTCTGTTAATATTTTATAAACACCCTTTTTCATCTTTATAGATTTATTTTGCAACTTTTTGCCTCATGTCTTGTAATTTGTATTTTTGTTACCCTTTCATAATATGTTGCTGTATAGCTTAGGACACTTTTCTGTGGATGATATTCATTCTTTCCTTTTTCTGTTCTTTTCTAACTTCTTTCACAATAAACCTTCTCAACATAAGTTAATATAACAAGTTGAATGTTCTAGTTGGGTTTTTTGCTGTGACAATAATCTTTGTAGCATTAAAGAAGTACTGAAAAACATGTAAGGCTGGTGAAGGCTCTGCATCCAAAGAAAGCTAATAATACCCCAAAACCTGCAAAACTACACCTTGTTTTCAATAAGTACAGTAAGTTTGGAGGTATGGAAGGCTGTTTGTTAGAGCTCAGTAGTAAGTTAAAAACCATTTTAAGAAACTGACTTCACTCTCCCTGGTTTTGTTGCAGATTTGGCATATATTTTGTGCCAGAACATTCTTGCCTAAATACATAGAGACTGGGGATAGATAAATAGAAATGCTGTTTTCGAGTATTAGGCAATAACCTTCTGATATTTAAGAGCAGAGCACCAGTCTCAGTGACTGGTGGTTTTATCCAGGGAAAAATTACAAATTTTCTTTCTATCCAAAATTCAAACTGCAACAAAGTGTTGGGAGTTTGGCTTTTTTGAAAGCCAGTTAGTATTTTTATATATAGTATAAAGGGAAGTTCCAGATAATAAGTAGAGAAATTAATCTGTAAACATGCTGGGTACATGAAACTCTTTAGAAGCAAGAGCTTGGTACCTGCTTAAAGACAGACATTCCTGGGAGCTCTAGACAATGTTCAGAACTCTCCCTCCTCCACCCTTCCTTGTGCTGGGATTTGCTTTCTGGTCATTTTGGCAGTAGTGCCACCCTGGGTTACAGCAATCAGCCACTGTTCCCTGAATTCAGTGCCACAGTGGTGGAAGTGAGGCTGGCAGTGACTAAAGACACTGAGAGGAGAGAGACTGGCTTCTAGCAATGCTAAATAACAGCTGGAGGGAAGCAGAGGAGAGCTCTGATCTTGTATTCTCTACAAATGCTGCCACTGAAAAATCACTGGGCAGCATATTCTGCTTACAGTTTTTGATATTTTTATCTTTCTTAATATTTTTCGAGACTTTTGTGTAGAAAGTTTGGACTTGTTAGCTCCAGATACTTTTTTTTATGAAGACTTTTTCCAAATACTTTTTGTTTGTGGCATTAAGAAGGGAGTCACTTCAGCATTGATTTAGAACCTACCTGGAAGGATTTGGGGACCAAAACATCCAGCATAACAAAATAATATAATGTCTTTCATCATTTCAGTAAATGCAGGTATTAAGATAAGACATTGATATTCTATTGGCAGAGGGGCAGGAATTATTTAAGAAATGAAGTGCAGATTCAGAAGTTAAATAGAAATGTGCTGTATACAACATTCTGAGCAGAATGCCATTGATTGATAATACTTTACTTACCAGAATGCCTCAGGTTTCTGAATCCTGAATTGGGTGACTATTCATGCTATACTATAAGTAAGATTAAAAAGTTATCTTGGCAAAGAACATTTGATGTCCTTTAAGATTGTATAGTTTCAAAAAGCAGAAACTCACTGTTCTGTGCATACTGAAATGTTAGTGTTTAGCTTGGAATTCAGAGAAATGAGCCTGTATTTCATGGTTTTAGCAGTTCATTTGCCATGCAACTCTTGCATCACTTCCTCTGTTACCAGTTGCTACATTCTCACTAAAGCTTCTTGACAGAAGAATCTGTGAGGTTACTTTGAATATGTCCTTATAGTTCAAAAATAACCACTGATGTCTCTTTTATTTAAAAGTAGACTTTTTTACCATCTATAAATCTTTTTATCAAAGCAAGAAGCTTTAGTCACCAATTCAGCAAAAAGTACATGTGAGTGGTTTCTGGAGTGAGACTACACCATTGTTTGGGTTATCATACCAGAAAGGTAAAAAAAAATCAGTAATTTTAGTGTTATCCACTGTTACCTTACTGATACCCATTCCATTCTCTACTTTGCTTTTCCTTTTTTTTTTTCCCCTTTGTCTTATGTTCATGCTTTCTGTTCTTTTCCAGGACTAATTGGAATCATATTGAAACGGAAATATTTTTAAGGTCACTGTGTATTAGAACCATAACTTAATTCTTAGCTTCTTTATTCACTACATTGCCTCGTAAGCTTTTCTGAGGATTCCTGTACACTTGAACACATGCTGTTTCTTACAAAAGCTTTAAAACTGGTCTGTCTTGAAGCTGGATACCTGTTACTTTAATGGCATCTATTATTGTAGTCTGAAAAGAAAAAAAAAATTACTTTTCTGGGCATACTTGATCATCTAAGGCTGATTCACCTCATCCCGTCCATTCCCTCTCCATCCTGAGCCAAATGAACAGCTTGCTTGACAGTTCACTAGGATTTTTAGGGGGAAAGGACAGCACAAATAGCTATTCATGTTGCAGGGTTTTTTCATAAAGTAGGAGGTGCAGCAGCATATCAGTTTTCAGTAGCATGTATGCTTATTCTCAGTTTTGAGTGCTGGATGCTCCATGCTTAGAGGACAAAATGCCCATGTCTCACAAGGCTGTGTAAAGCAGGCCTCTTGCAGCACCTTTCAGTTGCAGTAAGGAAATGATCCTCCTTCCTCTTCTGCCATAATTCTGCTTTCTGTGGTTGAGGTGTTGCTTAAATGTGAATCTGGAGGATGAATTAAGAGAATGACTTCCAAATTTTTGTAAGAAACAGGCCCCTTTTGGGAAAGCTGGCTGTAGAGTGGTTCTTCAGTTTTTTCTTTCATTTCTAAAGATCTTCCTGATAAGGGGTAGTGGGTTCATTTTAGTTCATACTAAATACTGGAGAGGTTTTCTTTCCCTCAACTTCCTCTCTCAAAGAATATTTCTAATATTGATACATATTCTAATACTAAATGTACATAATTGCCTGGTTCCTAATTTGAACATAATCCTGCTGGCATTTTAGTTTATGCCTTTATAATATTTAGCTTTATTTCTAATTACTAAAATGTGGATATGTAAACATAGTGCTTCACAGAACTGCGTTCTCTACCCAGTTATTCTTGAGCACTCATGAATAATGGTGTCTTGTTAGGCTTAATGTGCATACTGACTTGAATATTGATTGTTCTTGGTGTTCTCTTTTCTCAGATGATGCTTCAGCTCCAGAGCAGCCTCTGACGGCCAGTTCCAGTCAGACGATGTTGACTGATGAAACTCTTTCAGCTGTTTCAAAGTCCAGCAGAAATGCTGTAAAAGGCAGTGACATAGAAACAGCCAACCTGTCTCCCAGCCTGATTCCTGCACAGCAGCCCACGATATCCCTCCTCACAGATGACAGCACGGACACGCTGAGCGTGGAGTCGCTCACGCTGGTGCCCCCAGTGGATCCACACAGCATTCGAACCTTCAGCTGCATCCCTCAGGCCTCTCTGCAGTCTGAAACGGAGCTTGACAAGGTGAAGGAGGTAGAGGAAGAATCTTCTGACTAAAGCCACCATGCAGACTGTAATAAACAGTGAAGGAAGTGCAACCAAATTGTGATTGTTTTTCCTCTGGGAGTGCAGATACTTCTGGAGGCCTGAGAGGCCTCAGGTCCACATGAAGGGACCAAGTGGTGACAGAGAATGTCAGCAGTTTTTAGAGCCAACATCGGATACTCAGCATATCTGAACTGGGGAAGAGAGAAAAACCCAAACTTTTGAATCTGGATTGGTTCTTTCCTACCAGTTTCTCTTATACAAGAATATGGACATATTTCAGAGGACCTACTGTCTTTCTAATAGGAACTAATTAAGTGTAAAAGGTCTACAGTATTATGGCAAAGTGAAGAGACTTTTGGATACCCAGCTTCATGGTACTGCATTACTACGTCTCTGAAACGGGAGACATGCCATTGACCAGAAAAAATTATATATTATAGGACAGAGGTAACACTTCCATTTGAGTCAGGGTGTGTTTTTTCAGTTTGGTTTGGGATTTTATTTGTGGAAGAGGGGTTTTGGGGTTTTATTTGGTTTGGGTTTGTCTTTGGGGTTTTTTTATTGGTTGTTTTGGTTTTTGGTTTTTTTTTTAATCCTGATCTTGTTAATCTTTTGGAGATCTGCACAATACCAGCAGGCTTGGCCACATTCAGTATTGTCTTTGTAGGACTCCAGACTTAAATATTATGTTTTCCATATGTAATATTTATTTCAAGGTTTGATTCAAATTTAAAACACAATGTTTGTTCAAATTAACATAAGGGATTTTTGAGACTACTTTAGTCTTTGCTTAGCTACCTAGAGAGGAATGTAAAATGTTTTAAAAGATTGCTATAGCTTGTTTGTTCACTTCTGACAGTCAAATTGCTACACATCTGAGGAATGGTGATATCCCTGCAACTGAACAACAACTTCAAGAAGCAGACAGAAGCAGTTTTACTTTAAAGAGGTTTTTCAAATTTTTCATAGTCATGTAGGAAGAAAGTCACCATATCTAACTGATAATTCCTTTGCAAGTCTGATCTTGAAAGGTATTGTGGTTTTTTTTTTTCCTGTCTGGGATAGTATCCCAGTTAAACAACATTGCTACATAAAAGTGTTAACATTACTTCCTAGATCCTGACACCAAGTTGACAGAAAAGGGAGAGATATTTCTTAAAGTTTGGAATGTGCTTTGCTGATTTGATACATAATTTAACATGAAAGGAATTTAAGATTTTTCATCAATTTCCAAGTAAGTTAATTTAAATTAATAGTAAAATGAGTAGCTTGTCATTGCTGGTCTATTCTTAACACTGAGCTGGCAGTTCCTCAGAGCAGGACTGCTGTTTACTTGGTATTGATTTCAGTCACACTGCAGTCTGTGTCCTCATTCTGTCTCTACTGGCATTGAGTTCTTACCAAACGGGTGAACCTGCAAAGTTTTTACACTTCCCAGTTGCTTATTGAACCTCTTTCTGGCTGTCATATGGAATACTTGAAGTGATTTTTCAGTGATACCTCTGTGTGTGTGTATCTATATATATACACATGTACAGATATATATGTGTATATGTATATATATGAGATTGACTAATTCACGGGTACCACTTTTCTCACTTTTTCTGTCTTCTCCTTCACATAATAATTGAATCTTTGCCAACTGGATATATGAGGTGTCTGCTACTGAATGCCAGTAATTTTTTCCCCCTGTTAACTTTTTCATGCAGCTTTGATTTCTGATTTTCTGTGATTTCTACTTTATCTCAAATTGAATTTACTGATACTCTGACCATTCCAGAGTAGCCCAGACTCTAATTGAACTCAGAGTTGGGTGTCCTCAGCACTGTGGTGGATTTTGTGTGAAAATCTCACATTACTGGAATAAGAGCCTACTTTTTTTGGGTTTTTTGGTCTCATGCTGAAGATGTATTTGCACTCATGCAGTCACTATTGCAGCTAATGTGCATGTACCTGAACAAGCACATCAGTAGCAATCTGGGCACAAGAACCACATGAATTTTTATTAGCTGAAGTGATTGCAGTCTAGACTTTCTCTAAAATGGTACAGCATTACACTGTAGTCTGAGTAATATTCTGAAGACCATTATAAAAAAATGCCTCACTTAATTAGAAAGCATTTTATGTTCGTTATTAACCTTAAATTCTTGACCCGGATTACACAAAATACCACTGTGCAGGCTCAGTTCCCTTAAATAGGATTCATTTTAGACTGGAAAACCTTGATCTTAATTTATCTCATTTCAAATTCAGTTCTAGCAAGATTAGACCCATTCACAAGGAGTCTCTTCAATGCATGTGAATAATCTCACCCCTGAGCTATACTGCACAAGAAATGGGGCAAGGAAAAGGAAGGTGACTTTGTGCTTTTCATTACCTTTGAGTGGCTTTTAAATCTCTTGATCACTTGTTTAGTGAGAGCTTCACAGGAAATAATTTAGATACTTTATTAGGAAAATAGAATAATAGGTTTGCTGTTAATTTGTGATTACTTCAAGCAATGCAGGAATTCAGTAATTGCCCTGGAATTGAGTGTCATTTCACTAGCAGTAAAATAAACTTTATGCTTGAAGAAGCTACCAGACAAGCAGGTTAAACTGAGTGTAAGGATGAAGCCACTAAGAGCAAACATGTCACTGCTGTGGTGCTGTCACTCTGGGGCAATCAGTCACTCCCCTGCAGGGCACAGGGAGCCCCAGAACAGCCTCAGGAGCAGTGGCACTGACCACCAGGGAATAGCAGTCACAAAACCTCCGCCAAGCTAAGCATCCTGCTCTTGTCTCCACTAACCAGCTGAAGTTAAACTTGCTTTTAAAAGAGCATTGCCTAGGCGGGCAGCTGCTGCCTGGGAAGATAAATGGTTTAGTCCTGTAGTTGAATCAAAGATCTGCAGAGACTTCAGCTGGGGGCAGGGAGACTGAGGCCTTTTGCCTCCAAGGTAATTAGTTTCCTTCTTTCAGACAGCCTAATGTAGCCATCTAAATATATGTTGAAAATTGTCTTCTTAACTGCTACTGTCCTTCTTAAAAGAGTTTTTTGGTGTGTCCCTGATTCACCACCACTGCCCTACCCTGGGATATCATTCACCTGGGCACTGCTCTTTATTATCTAGCAATTTTTGGAGAAGTTCTCCTGTGCTTGCCTGCTGTGTTTCTCTTGACCTTTCCCAACTTTTTCAGCATGAATTAGAAACAAATAGAATAACTCTTCCCATCTCCCATTGGATTCTGAAAAGCAGAGGGTGATCCAAGCAGGGCTTATTAGGGTGGGATGTTTTTAGGGGTTGGGAGGGGAGTAGTTCTTGGGGGCTTTTCTGCTGCTCAGTACTTGAGCAGCAACAAAGACATAGGAGAAGCAGTTCTTGACTGAGTCTCAAACAGAGGGTTCTTTCATATGGAAACATATTTTTATATTGCATTTGTACAGAATTTTCCCTATTTTGATCTCCCAGCATTTTTAGATTTGCACGTTGCTCAGATTTGATTTCTTTTGCAAGGTGTTATAAAATATATATTTTGTGTTTGTTAATGTATTATAAATGTAAAGCTAAATTTTGGTTGTCTAATAAATGTGCACTGTGGTGGTATCTGGTTTATTGTTTTGTTAACTTGAATTGTTCGGTTCTTAATATGAAAAGGAAAAACTTGTCATTGTTGGGGCTGTCTTGTTACCATAAATAAATGTGTGGAGTGCATTTATTTTAAAAGTAACTAAAAATGGCTTAAGCAGGTAATGATTAAGAATACTTGATAACAAAAGTTAAGGTCCAGACTAGTTCACAGGATTCTTTTAAGATCATTATCTGAAGATTCCTGAGATTTTTATCTTGTTTCCCATTAGTTTTTGTTATGGATACTCATACTCAAGTGACTTTAAGACACATAGTAATTGCAATCTGGTAGCATTTATGAGAAGATCTGAGGGTGAGTGTTTGGCTGTATTTAAGGACTAACTGTGGCAGAAGTATTTACAATGAACATGAAGATAATTTTTTTACAGATTGAGAATAGATTCAAGTGTGCAAATTTATAGACTATTACAATGTCTAGGAGCTTTGTTTTGTCCAGAGACAGCACTAACTATACATTGTCACAACTTCAGGAAACCCTCTGGAAACATTACAAACTTTAGAAGATCATTTTAGGCATCTCCACTTGTAAATAGCTGTGTTGATATTTTTGTTGCAAACTTTTTCCTTCATTTTTAGCTGCTTTGTAAGTTTGATTGTTTTCAGTGCAAAGAGGTGGAAATGTATTTTTCTAGAAGAATGAATGTACCTGGGATTTAAGCACTACAAAAAGCATTTAATGAACATGGACTGCCTTCCTATGAAATATATTTCAGTAAAGTTGTCTGAAATGTAGTTCATTTGAGAAAAAAAGTCCTGAACATGCACTTACATTTACATGGAAAAAAGCCCAAACATGGTGTGAATTAAATTCTGAAATGTCTTTCTACAGGCAATAAGTATTAATTATTTAATGTAAGTTAAGTTAGACGTTTGGAGTAAATGTGATATCTTATGTTAATTTAAAGAACAATGTAACTAAGCATCTGGGAAGGGAGTGGAATTAGAAAAAATTGGTGTATGTTTCTGAAATCCAGACTTTTCAGTCTGTATTTGCTAGCATTGAGAATTTGTTGTGGCTATTGAAAACCTGGACAAGAACAAGGAATAGACCTTTCTTTGTAAATGGAACTTGGCAATAAAAATGGTGTTACTAAGAAAACTTCCTTCCCTTTCATGTGCTGCTGCATGCATTTGATTCACAAGGACATCCACGAGCAGTGAAAGGCAAAATTTGCAGAACCTTGCTTTTATTTAGAAGAATATTGTGCATATGTGACTTGTTAGGCATTTTCATCTTTGAGTCAGGTGATTTGCACTCTGTATGCAGGAAAGACATAGCAGGAGGGGGAGCAGAAACAGGCCTGGAAGGGTGATGCAAAGTACATGAGACCAAGGGTTAAGAGGGGCTGGGCAACATCTAAAATATCTGTGAACCACTTGGAAAGTGCCTGTCATGTGTGATTTCTTCCCCAAATATATGCTTTCACCCTCTGCCTTTTTCTCTGGTGCATGTTGCCAGATCACTATATGGCTTAAATCCAACCAAGTTATTAGTTAGGTTGTTGTTAATTAGCCTCTACATCTATAGGAATTCATCACAGTCAATATACATTCCTTGGGAAATGTTATTTCTCAAAATAGTCATTGCTCCAGAAGCTTTCTTAGGAAGAAATTCAATTACATTGTACCATCAAATAAGCAAGCTAGGTATCAGAGGTAGGAGACAACACTGTGATTTACTGTAAGATACAAATATTAAATCATGGTGTATTGTGGAAAATGAGTTAAAATCTGCTCCTGGCAGCTGAACTTCCTACATTTTGCCAGTAATACTGCTTTAAGGATGCCAATTTGTGGTCGGGAAGGTCCCTTCCTTCATGTTTAAAACTGCTTTGTGGTTCTGTATCCTGATGCTTCAGAACTCTTGCAGCTTTTTGTCCTGTCATTTTTCCTGTGTCTCTGTACTAAACCTTTCTAGGCTTGAACACTGAGTCAGATTGAGCCTCTTGCCCTGAGTTAATAACGATCAGAGAGGGAATGAAAGCACTGCCTCCAACCTCTTGTCATGCTGAAAATTGAAAATTTACTGGACAGAAATGCACTGCTGCATTAGTTCACTCTTTTCTTAGTCCCCAGAAAGACCTAAGTGTAGTAACTTGGACAGCCCTATTGTAGGTAAATCTACGTCTTTATCAGCAAGATAATTTCAGCATAGGTATAAAAATAAGTGAAATTCTGCCAATACATATGTCTTTGTCAAAGTAACTCTTGTCTAAGTAAAGAGATGGCATTTGGAGATCTCTTTGTTCTTTGACACGTAATCTTTGTTTCCCTGTCAAGGAGGGAGTTCTTTGTGGCTTCATGGATGCAGAAGAAACAGCAATTCTATTCTGCTGTGTTAGAGTTTATGTGAAGACAAAAGCTGTCTTGGTACTTTCTGGTGATCTTGAGTATGTGCTGCTTACAACTGGGAGTGAGAGATGCCTGTTTATGAGAGTGTTCCCTGAAAATTCGATTGAGTTTTAAACTCATATGTTTAATCTCTCAAATAAGGAGAAGTAGAGGGAGTTGCAGCACCTGGATTTGCAAATTTCCAGTAGCAAAATTGGAAGAAAGGTTTCAGACAAGTGTTCACACACAGTTAAGGCAGTTGAGCTGATGAGAAGTAAGTCAGTGTGGTTGGATGGTGCTCAGTTGTGTGTCTGCTCTCAGCTGAAGGATTTTACCATCAGCTTATCTGCAAATATGTCTAGGTCTTAAAATTATTACTGATTTTCTATGCCAGTTCTCTAATGGATTTTATGAGGTGAAATTTCTGGTTATTAAGTGCCTTATTATTCAGATTTGAGATTTTCTGAAATAAGTTGAAATTTGCCTGTCCTCAGACACTCAGCTCTACAAAGCTCAGCAATGTTGTGTTTGTTGAGTGGAAAATACTGATCTCGGCATTCCATTCTCACTGTCTTGTCCTCAAATGAAGGTTTATATTTCACAAAGGCCACAGTTTAATTTTTTTTTGTTGCCTGTTTGGATGACTGATAAGGACAGATGAATTCTTGAGCTCTATTTCTTAGTTCCACAACATTTTTCTCAGCTTTAGTATGGAATAAACATCATTACACCGGATGGGAAAACAAGCTGTTACTTTGCTACAGAAACAAATTTTGTTTTTTTGGTTAATTGAATGAAGACATATTTGTGTAAATTTGTCCTCATTTAGGGGTCAGTTATTTGAAGCAGTTTTAAGCAGCTGCTTGAAACTGCTTTGTTGATGGACCAGTGCATTGAGAAGGAAGACAGCCAGACTGGGTCACCACTGCACAGGTGCTCAGAGCTGTCTCTGCCTCAGCAGCCAGAGCTACCAGAGACAGAAAAAGGAGTTTCTGAAGGAGGAGAGTGGCAGGTAACCATAATGTCTTAGGAAAAAGAATTTCTAGTCTGCAGAGAGAGATGGGATCTGCAAAGGAGGAAAGTAGTCTCACTCTTTCTAATAGCTAATTTGAGGGACAAGAGAGAAGAAACATCATTTTATGGTACTTTATATGAAACCATGACCTCTGTTCAGGATATCAGTTACTTAACTGATACTGCAAAAAGCTCATCACCTGTAAGAACATCAGATATGAACGCCCATAGCCATACCTGTGTTTAAGTCTTACTCTTTCTCCACCACCATATTATCCTATGCAAACCCAGTTGCTGATGTGAGAGGGGCGTAGTTAATTCCAGAGTTCTTGGGAACAAAGCTTTGCTTTGCTGTTCTCCACCGTGCAGTTCACTTGAATTTGCTTATCACAGTTTATCAGCTTCAAGGCTTTCCTGCGAAAGTGTTGTTGGTAACCACTGTCTGTTAAATAATTTGTCATTCTTAGGTAGCTGCCAAAGTGCTTTGGAGGGGGAGATAGGCTCCCTCAGCTCACTAAATTTTGGTGAAAACAGGTCTTGCAAGCCTCTTAGAGAGTTTCTGAACAGATCTGCACATGAGAGGTTTTGTGAGGGAGGGACACTTCTCAAATTTTGTCAAACCACAGATCTCTTTGAACAACAGTCTTGGAGCCAAGCTTCCTCTTGTTTTGTCTGAATCTGCAAAGAAAACCAGAGCTGTTACGGGAAATCAGAGGTGCCTTTTCTCTCGCTGCGTTCAGGTCAGCTCACACTGCACAGTGTGTCTCAGGCTGGTAACAGCAGCCTTCACCTGGCCTTCAGCTTAACAGGACGTTGGACAGGTCCTTCCTGTTCCTGAGTTCACCCTTTTTACACAGATTAGTGGTGCACTTGGGAAGCCTAGTTCGTGTTTGTAAAGTGCTTTGATGTTGATGTTAAGCATTAATCATTTTATCACCTTGTCTAAAGAAATGTCATTAAAAACATCATTCCAGTCTTACTGCTTGCTCCAGTTAATGTAGCTCCTGCTGAATAGCTGTAATTTTCAAAGCAAATACTATTTGGTTTTTTGTTTGCACCATATCTGTGTCATCAGAACAACTTCAAAACTATAAGGAAAAAAAAAAGTCTTTCTCCTAGCTTCCAGGAATGTGTGATTTAATATTTGGTCATAATTTGCAATGGTTTGTTATTGTCCAGAATGATTAGTTCACAGGAATGGGTTTGTTTGAAAGGAAGCCTGGTTTCTTCTAAATTTAGGGAGGGGAAAAAAGGAAGGGAAAAAAATCAGTATATTTAAAACCTTTTCAATCTTTTCTGCTTCAAAGCAATGACTGTAAGGAAATTATTAACTCTCTTAGACATCAAATTGAATGTGTGAGTCAGTCTTAGAATGTTGAAACTGTTTTAAGCGTCTGTTCATACATAGGCTAAAACAGACTTAAGGAGAACGATATTGCTAAGAAAAGCAAGAAAGTGAAGAGTTTGCCTTCCATTTAACCATAGCAGTGTGATGTACAGACCACCTCTGTAAAAGTCTCAGGTATTAGTAGCACAATTATTTGAAAAAAAAATGCAAGAATGCAATCTTTCAAGATATGACAGTAAAATGCCAAGTCACTAAAAAGGAACACTTTTAATCTGCTTCAGTGGCAGCCCCGTGTCTTATCTGAAACTGATAGGAAGTGTAATCTGAAATAGTGTGGAGGGGTTGGTGTAGGTGAGTAGACATTCCCTTTTGCCATCTATGAGTTGGGACATGAGAAACTTTCCTCCTTTGCTCTGTTAGAGGGAAGTGTTACATGTTAGTAGTCATGAAGAAATCCTTAACTGCTTGAGTTATCAGTTACACCACTGAAAACAAGGTATCTGTGAGCCTAAGAATCTCCAGTAAAGGTCAAGTACAATAAAGAATTGTTTGTCAGAATAATTCAGCAATCCCAGCTGGTCTGTCTCTTGCACAGAGGATCTGTCAAACACCATAGGAAGCTTGATTTTGGTACAATTTTTCACATGGAGCCTGTTTGTTAGAAAAAGATTTATCAGGAACTAGCTGAGAACAACTGGAATGGGAATAGATAGTCTGTATGCAGAAAGAAATAGATAATTCCTTCTGAAGCTTTTTTAGATATCCCAAAATGAAGAACCAGAAGTGGCCAGTTGTGTGGGTCCTATAAAGCACTACAAGACCAAGATCTAACCAAGACTCACTTGGTAAGTATTTCTTAAGACAGTAAATTAAACTTTACCTGAGTGAATGAAGACAATGTATCTGAGGGAAACTAGTCTGTTGATTTCTCTGTATTTTCAAAAAAACAAATACAGAAGTCACTGCAACCTGGTGCTACAATGTACCCTTGGTAGGATTTCCTTACCCCCTGGTTCATTCTGGAAACT